TTGAATAATTATGTAAGCCATATATGTTACTCGCCACTACTATGTTATATGCATTCACTTTTTTGCCTTCGCCCATCAATATTAAATAAAATTGAATACATTGAAGTAAAATTATTACATATTATTATACCTAGTTAAAACAAGCTATTATCTCATTAACATTCAGCATGACTATAGTATTCACACCCACATATAACATTGATTTTAATAAAATGCTGTTTCAAGTACCTAAAACCTAACCGTGAATCTTAATGCAACTAAGAATACACCAGTTATCAGTAAGTAGGAAAAAAATCGTACTAGGGACGGAATTACCTTTGAGTTACAGCTGTAACCGGTTTTTCGTGGGTCTTGATTTTTTTTTTATAGCTACTACTACTTGATGGCGAATAAATAATTTGTAATTATTAGATTTTATTTATTAGGATTGTATGTTTTTTGCTTATATTGATCAACCGCCCATCACGTCCCCAAGGTCTTCTTAAATGTTGACTTTCACAGCCAAATTAGAAGATAACCTTCACGCGCACATGTTATGTTTTGCGGTTTTCAGTTGATCAATCAAATATCACTATAACTTTACGGATACCAATCGCGGATAACGTAGACGGTTAATCTCTAATTTGGATGTTATTTGTAGTTAGTACACAAAGCGTAACCAATTTGAACAGTTGTTAATAATGTCAAACAAGTATCGGTAATGATAAATATTATGGACAGATATAAACGATAGAAACGAGTCTTTGCTGGACTAAGCAACTGGCCGAGGTCAACGGTCCGGCATGGCGTCGGCCTGCAACAGGAATGGTTACCGACTGGTCGCCGGTACGGCTCAATATTGTTGCATAAAGGTATAACCGTTGGTTGGACATTGACCAACCTACTGTACATTAACTGAGGATAGGGGAAACGTCTCATAAAGCAAATTCTTATAGAGGAACTATGTATGCACGGTGCTCATTAGATATTTATGAAAAATAAAGATGCGCCATTCAACACAAAAAAAAGGGTAGTAGACCGGGAAGATTAAACTAAAAAAAAATTGAATATTTCAAAAATGTCGGCACGCCTGCAGAAGAACGTGTTCACCGTTCGGTTATCATGATCATTACGTCATGGTCTGATGAAAATGCCATCATAATCAAAAACATTTGTCCTTGCTGCTTTAAAAAAAAACCCCCATTCCATTGTTTTCGGGTGTTGACCAGCACAATTTCCCAAACAACACACATCCGACTAGGGGAGTCTTTCCTCTAATTAATAATCGACCGTATCGCACAAGCGATGCACTCTTGATTAACGGGTAATTATTTATAGATAATAGGTATTGAGTTATTAAAAAAAAAGCTAAATAATAAAGCTAAAAAAATAGTTATCGTTTTTATTGTTTATATCATAAACTATCATAACAAAAAACGCTAGCATTCCGCATACGAAGTAGAATACCGTTTTATAAACAATTATAGTGAAAAGCGATTTTTTTTTAACTTTGAAGTCTGGTTTAATCATTTAATGGTCTGATCTTCTGGTTCAAATTTTCCTATCAAAGTTATTAGGGTTATCACATTTCATATTAGAACCAAGTGTTATTGTTTACATTGGTAATGATTTGTTATTATCGTGATTTGTAAATTCATTAAAATTTTTTAATGATAAAATTCGTTAAAAAGCAAAACACTACTTTCTTTCAAAGATTATTTATTTTAAACAATTATTTTAAGTAAGTACATATCGAAGCTAAAATACGAAAAAACAAAGATCTTAAGAGATTAAATGTAATCATTTTAGGTCAAGACCAAACGAAAATTAATAAATATTTTCAATCGAATAACTCATAATTTGGTACTGAAATCATAAATTTGTTAATTTATATTGTAATGTCCGATAACAAATGTGTTTTTTGTGTAATGGGGATATTTTTTTATGGGATATTATAATCGGGAATATTATAGTTTGGAGATATTTTGCGTTTATAAATCACATAGTTACTTTGATGATGATATTTTTTAAAAATAGACCAGCTACCAGCCCAGTTCCCACGCCTATACTTCAAACTAGTTATCACTCTGAAACTGAGTTTTGTAATCACTTGAATTATAAAACAAACCAAAAAACAGAAAACTTAAAAGCCTAATATCTGATTTAACTGAATTTAATTTATTATTTTTCGTATGATAAAAAAATATAGATCGTTGAAAGTATTTACACACATACACGAATGGCGTTTTCAAAACCAACTCGTTTTAAAAAACACATTTTTACTTTAAACTAATTGTGTATAGTACCTAGTACCTTTGTTTACCGTTTTACAGCTTTTTAGTGAGAGTGCAAAACGATCGTCGGCAGCAGGTAAAATAAAAACAAAACAGTAGCATGTAAAAAAAAACGACCTTGGCACGACAAGTTAAAACGAAAACCCTACTACTATGACTCTCATTAATTAAAACGAAAATAAAGTGAATAACAACGCAATCAATGGAGATAGCTTTTAAACCGAACGCGTGTTTTTCCATCCAACGAAATTCTTAAAAAAAAAGACGCTATTTAATTGCCGCCGTCAAATCAATTATTGTTATCTAAACGGTTTTAATACTGCAATAATCCAATTTAATCGCATGGTTATATCAACAAGTTATAATAAGTTATTGGTTATTTTATCAACCAATTATCTAATCAAACGAATATCAATTACTTGTGTATTCTTCATAAAACAAACGGTATCGCCACAGTAATAAACAAGCATCGAATACTTAAACACTCTTTCATCACTGAGCAAACAAGTGTTTTGCATTATGCCTATACTATGATAATGTGCGTTATAAGAAATATTTCTTGGCGGAGTAAATAAAAAATATATAAAACTACTTGCAAGTAATGAACATTGCACATATATTTAACACGTATTTTTAGCCTTTTATCATTAAATAAATAACGGGAACAACTATTTGTTGAATAATAATAAATTATTTGATTAGTGTTCATTGACAAAATATTTTTTTAGAGCTTAAAAAGTAGTTACATTTATTCCAGGGGTTCGCAGTCCATCTAGGTAATTTGGAAAGTTTTATAATATTTATTTATTAATTTGATATAATCTAATGCACACAAAATAAATCAAGGAACCAAGCCGTTCTCCGTGCGTTTTTGGAGGTTTTTAAAGAACATTCAAGAATTACTTGAAAACCACTTTTTCAAATTAAATGATTCTTTTTGTGTGTTATAGAACCACATATGATCTTTGCTGGGTCGTTGATAAAGACGTGGAAAAAAGATGAAGAAAGCTCAATTTTAAGTGATGAGTACAAGAAGATCTTAAAATTCGCCTTTCCCTCCCATCATTATTTTAAAAAAATGCCAAAAAGGACCTCCCCAAAGTACAAGAAAATATAAAAATATTAAGCAGGCCAATATATTTTTTTCAAAATCTAGAATATATTATGTATCTTAAATGGTAGGTAAATACCTTAATTTTACAGGAGCCTTATACCTGGTCACCTTAGCAATTTCAAAACAATATATAAATTGTTTCAGAGCTTATAAATATTTATTGTCAATCAACATAGGTTTGTGAACAATTTTTTTTTTCTGAGAATAGAAGGTTTTTTTTGAAAAGATAGTAGAATGTGTTATTGCCCAATAAAAAGGGTTCAGGCTTGATATGAAAGAAATATAATGTTACAATATATTGCAAGTAATTTATTTGCACTTATGTAAGGTAGCAATTTTTCTAATACAAAATTAAACACAACTGATAATGTACAACTAAAAAATGATAAAAGTGAGCTGTATAAATAGTGACAACTTTATAAATAGTTAAAATACTCAGAATATTAAATATTATTAATTGTACGATTTAGTTTCAATAATAAATAGCTTCATATAGAAAATTAATTTTTTGTTTTTATAAAAAGATTTATTGAGGATGTATTTATTTTTTTTTTTACTTATCTTTTACGATATCTACAATAGTATAATTTCCATAAGAGTTGTTAACAAGGCCAGTAATTGTTATTTGAATACTGTAAGCTACATATTTTAACATTTTGAACACATTTCAAGGTTTTACAAAAACACAGCTAGATATTTTACTTACAGGCATTGTGACTTCATAAAATAATTTACCACAGTCGTATTTTACAATTTAAAGTATTTGTCATGAAGAATAACAGTAGCTATTACAAATTATAAATCTAAATACACAGTAGCCAAAAAATTGTTTTTAGGAAGTTATGAACAAAATAATGTGTATACTTTAAATTATTCTGAGTTTCTGAGGTTTGCGCTTTTATACTTAGTAATTTGATGTTTTTATAAAAGTAAAGAAATTTTATATTTTTATAATAAATACAGAATAATTAAAGTAAAGAAAAGTGAACATAAATCTAATTTACAACTCTAATCAGCACAGATAGCAAAATAAATCATTTTTTTTTTTAAACTTTATTTCCATCTAATGTTAACGCAATATATAAATAATTTATTCTATAATCTATAGTGGCAATCTATGGGTATATTTTTAAACTAATACATAGATAATACATTATTAGTATGGCCATACTTCTTTTAAAAATAGGTTAAACATAATAGTATATCTTTGAATTATTATAAAATATTACTGAAAATGTTTCTTAATTATTAGACCGCTAACCCAATTATGTATCATTACAGCGTGATCTCAATAAAATTGCAATTTGATGCTAAGACACTTAAAATAAATAATTAAATAATTCAGTTAAATTTCATAATTTAATTGATAAGTAGTAAATTACAAATGAAAATTTAGAGCTACAAATAACAAAGATAATAATTTGCCAACTACACATTCATAATACCTAAGAACTTTCTATTTAAATAAATATATTATATCCTGATATTATCTGTAACTAGGGAATTAAAACTATAATTCAGAAATCGCCAATGTATTTGGACTTCACTACTTAACAATGGTCGAGACTAAACTATTATTAGTACACATATTAGTAGATACAAATATAAGTTACTTGTTTGTTTTTGGGTAAAGTCTCCATTCCATTGATGATTGGCGCCTTGTCTGCGTCTTTATCCGTATGCTCCGTATTGTTTTCGACGGTCGGCATTTTAAAAAAACTCGTAAAACTTATTCCGTTCACTACAAAAATAATTTAAGTCCTACAACCGATCAAGAGGAATTTTACATTCGCCGAAGATGAATAATTAACGTTTACAACCACGAATCGTATTTTGGCTCATTATGTGTCCATACCATCATTCGGAACTCGGCTCGGCAAAACTAACGAAATCATCTGTAATTTTAAGGAGAAATAACATTATTATAGCATATAATTTTAATTATTACGAACGTAAAACAACAAACGGCCCTCACACACACCGAAGAAAACACTAACGACAGTCGACGGGAACGGCGGTAAGTTCGGCGAGAAGTGATTGTGATCAGATTGTAAACAAATGAAAACAGTGTAACAAACATGACGCCACTAAATACAAATATTGTACAGCAACCGGTATTGGTATTTTTGATTTTTAGCAAACGCGTATCTACGTTCAGTTTAATGGTTGTAATCGGCGATTACCAGGTTGAAGTATACTACGTCTTTCCAACATGTTCAGTGTTCAAATGTAGTTTGTTTTGCTCTCTTTGATTCACGGATATACGACAGCCAAAATGGTGAGTACCGAATTTTCATCTGATTTAATCGATTTGCCTTTTAGCCTAAAATTCTTTTAACTAAAAGTTTCTAATTCCATTACTACTTCGCAAAAATATTAATCTTATTAAATCCTGATCCCGGTACTTTCTGGATACCGTTAATCGCTTTCAAAAACTAGAAGCCCTTTACAACCCTTAATTTTGATAAAATCCTTTACACTAATATTTATAACTATTTAGCTAATAGAAACTTCATAATTGGTTAGAAAGTTGAGAAGGATGAGACGTTTAATCAACTATAAATATTACCAAGATCTAATTTGAGCGATATAAATCATTGTAGAAAATGATCTAAAATTCTAAAGCATTTCAATAAGTTAATACTAGTTACTGTATGTCGTATCAATACATCTAAACTATTGTATTTCGTTTAATTTGAGAATAAAATTTCATATTTTTAACATGAAAATGTATTTTTAGGTTGCTAACACTTCTACTGCTACAATTCGGACTCGTAAGTTCATGACAAACCGTCTGCTATGCAGAAAACAAATGGTGAGTACTTGTGAAACTTATATATGTTCGTAAAACAAATATATATTTTATACAATAGCTTGTTATCAAAACACCAAAAACCTCTAGATAATTAGGTAAATTTATTGTTTGTGTAGTTTTTTCTAATAAAATAAAATGTCAGTTATTAGTATATTTTTAGTTGTACAAACTCAAACAACTCTACAATCCCCAATTATACTTTGTTGGCGTGACCAGTAACATAGTTCCACATTTTAGTTTATACATTTTTTTAGTTCATACAGGCATATCTATCAAATAGCTTTTCTAAACAAGAAAGTCTGTATATATTTTAAAGCTTAATAGTTGTTATCCTTGTTCTTAATTCATCTTGGATAATTCTCATTGTTTAATATTAAATGTGTTTTAAACTATGATGTTGTTGATATATAATATATATTATATACAATTACTTATTTGTATTAATAATAAAACAAAAGTTTTTCATTGTAGTTTTACTCTTAAATAATGAACATTATAACAATAAATATTGATAATTTGTATGTAATTTACATATTTTAAATTCTGGTGTCACCATGAACTTTTACTATTTCATTATTTTAAAAAGACATTAAGTAATGGTAAAATATTAAGTTATTATATTGTTGCTTTAGAAAAAGGCATCCTACTTTTTTGTCAAATTAAGTAGCAACACTGTTAAAAATTGAATAGATGTATTAAAACTTAGATTGGTATTCTGTTTTATTCTTTTGAATAAAATATATGGTTTAACATTATTGTATTATTATTATTTTTAGGTTGTTGATGTCATGCACCCTGGGAAACCTTCTCCTAAGAAAACTGATATTAGAGAAAAACTAGCTAAGATGTTCAAAGTTCTCCCTGATGTAGTATTTGTCTTTGGATTTCAAACCTGTTTTGGAGGTGGAAAATCAACTGGTTTTGCACTTATCTACGACACATTAGATCATGCTAAGAAGTTTGAACCTAAATACAGACTACAAAGGGTATATATTAACTTATTCTATGACTTGAGTTGAATATATTTTATAAAAAAACCTTCCTTTTTTAGCACGGACTATACGAAAAGAAGACTCAGACTAGGAAACAGAGGAAGGAAAGAAAGAACAGAATGAAGAAGGTACGAGGTACTAAGAAGACTAAAGTTGGTGCAACATCTGGCAAGAAGGTAGTATAAAATAAACTATTATATTTTTACAATACAGTAAAACCTCACGTGTATACACCCAAGGAAAAATAAAAAATATTTGCTATAGAAAAGTGTAGATTATCTAGTGTGCCTTCACTTAAAATGCATCTATAAATGGAGGTTTTGCTGTATTAGTTAATTAGTTTAATTATTATTACTTAACATTAAATATGTTTTTCTTTTTTTTTTTTTCAGTAAACTAATTGTTAGAAGTGTGTCTTTGTACTTTGCGGAGCAGTCCATATGCTTGTAAATGTAAATAAAACACTTCGTTAATATGTTGTCTTCATTTATTTTTAAATAATTGCTTATTTAAATTTTTAGTATATTGATGTGTAGTTTTATACATCAAAATATAAAAATGATAACTCCTGGTTTTTTTTAATATTTACTCTGGTGTAATAATTTAATCCGTAATATTAAAACGTATATGAATTCTGTTATTGATCAAGATAAAAAAAATAATGTCTAGATTGCTCTTTTTATGACTACTATGAGTAAACTAAATGTCTAATAGAAACTCATTTTTTCATTACAACGAAAACAATATACTAACGAAACGTTCAACCCTAAATTTCACAAGGAACATCAGTTTTCAACATAACAACTTAGTTTTAAAAAAAAAAAAAAAATGTAAAGAAAATTTAGGAAACCGTTTTACAATTTGAAGTATATATTATAGTCAAACTGCATGTTCCAACTAAAATGTATTGGTAATATGCTTGCAATGGATACCTAGACAAAATATGAACTTCATAAGTATCATTGAACTGTGGTTTCGTTATAGTTCATAGGCTGTGGAAGACCGATAATTATAACACAATTTGTACACTGTATAGTTTAAAAACCAATCTCGCATAAAAATTCCCTGCTAATTTAATTTTCAACTACTTTAAACCCAAGTATTTGTTCAATAATATTTTGGATATTAATTGTCTCCATTTTATACAAATTTAAAATATATTTAAATATTATTTTATTGGCTATGCAAATTGCCATATAATTTGTGACATATTTAGTAGTCGCCCAGTTCTAGAAACTTAAAACTACTATAATTTAATTATAACTACGACCCTTTACATTTTGTGTATTGTAATTTTTTTTATTTATGCCAAAAGGCTGATGCAATCTCGGTTTGTATTTGGCAGCATATATTTAAATATTTTTATAATTATTCCCGAACCTAATTTAATATCATACAAATATTAATAAAAATAATTTTTAGATATTGATTATCTGGCCAAAAATGTATTTTACAATACATATTTTAGTTTTTTCTTCAACTGGATAAAATGTTTCAGCTACAGGTTTGTTTTATTAAAATTAAAAGTGTGCCATATTATGCTATTTTACAGATCATACGTATAAGCATTGTTTATTTATTTCAAAAACTTTTGATAATAATGTACTGCAAATTTTAATTGATCGTTTTTTTTTAACCCCAAAAATTACAATAAAAGTAATACGTTACCTGTATAAAATTTACAAGCAATTTATTAAACTATTTTAAGGGTATTGGATACAGACTTTTCATGTTTCTGTTTATCTAACGCAAAACAGAGATGTTGACATATTTTTTGTCCATCGCACTGGTACTATTAATAAAGACCTGAAAACTTATTAAGTATTTGTAAAATGTTTATTTAAGATTAATTAATTTTTTTAATTATAACGCTTCTCGAAATTGATTTAAAAATAAAATATGTATCTATTATTTAAAAATCCATTTTAGAAAGTGTTGAAATTCAAATTAAAAAAGGGGCCTCTACACTAGCATTTATTAAGGCGCATTATATAGGTAATTTTTCACTAAATAAGACATTATGCTAAAACTAGTAAACATATATTTACATATGAAAGAAGTACCTATTTCTTCTACAACGCATATAGCTATTTTTGTACAAAAATATGTTTCTACTTCGAACAGTAGTTGGTTCTTAATAATATTCTATTCAAGTTTTGAAGAAACATTAGGGTTCTTCATAACATTTACAGATATCGATTGTGGCAAACTTTTAAAATAATTTTTACAAAAACATTTAAAATGAAAATTAAAATTGTACTTTGGTCGATACTTTAAGGAAGTATTACAATTTGAAACATCTATATCTGTTTTAAAAACTATTGTCGGATTTGTTTTAGTACGGTTAAAATTTTAAATATTTGTAATGGATAGGAAAATTTGCTTGTGTAGAGACCCTATAAGTAAACTTTACGACTAATTCAAATATCATTTTAGATCTTTTATAACACTAGTAGGTAGATGGACCAAAAATACGTAAAATATTGAGCTTAAGATGTACAGATATGAGAATAATCAGTCGGATACTGATCCCATTAAGTATTTACCAATTAAATAAAGGTACCAATATTTAATTTTATACAAATTATTTTTATGTCATAGTATAGAGAAGTAAAAAAAAGTTTCTACCTTTTATAGGGTTTAGGGTTAATGATAATTTCATTTCGTTAGGTATTAAGGTAAAATATAATATTTTTATAATAATAGTAAAACAACGTAAATTTAAAAAAAAAATTCACCTTACGAACATTTAAAAAAAAAACTGTTGTGTAAATGGATACAAAATAAATTTTATCCAAACTTCAATTGATTTAACTGCGGATACGCAAAACAACAAGAACTATTGATAAACAAACAATTATCAGCGGTATTCTCAAATAATAAAACATGGTTCGCCTTTTTTGATCTGGCCATTAAGACTTGATGTACATAACCGTGAGGGTCCAAGAAGAATATTGTAAATAAGCCATATTTTAGCCCATCGATGATCGACATCATATGCCTAAGTACATTTTTAAGCACAATAGATTAATTATTAAGTAAATCTTCTGTAGTTTTTAACTTTATTTATTTATTTTTTTTTTATGTGAATACGTTTGTAAATTCTGTGCCATATACAAAAACTTGATTCGTACACAAGACGTCTGAAGCGGTAAAGAATACGGCTCGAAGGATACTTTTATACCAGCTTAATTTTTAAAGAACTACTGGCTTGATTAACATGCGTGGTTTTTGAATTCGTAGACAATTCCTCGATAAATGTGGTGAACTATGGAAGAAAATCGGCCGAGGAAATAAAATTTCATCGTCCTGTCTGCTCCTTTTCAGTATTCTCAATTCTGTATTATGTACCTCAAATTTCCTCGAATTTTGAACATAGATTTTAAGACACAAAATATTATGTTATCAAATTGTTATTAATTAGAGGTATATTTATCAGTTTGTCTATTAAACCTGAATTTATATTTATTTCGATATTATCTATTTACTATATTTTACATTTGTGGAGTCAAATAAGGTTTATAATTTTTGAGAATTTTAACCTCGACGCTCCTTGAAAAGTTTCTAAATACAATATAAATAAGATCAAAAAAAAATTTGAAAAATATTAATTTTAACCCGTGCCCCATAAGGGTTGAAGTTTAAATGCGATTTAACATAGGATTTCGACACTTGTGCACAAAGCAACGCATAACTTTTTTCCTACTTCTTAGTTTTAGCTAAGTTTTGATGGTTTTATAGCTTGGAGTCTGCTAAACACGTACACCATACCAAAGAGTTGCTACCTGTCAAAATTTATGCCAGAAATAAAAATTTAAAAAAATTTAGGCGTTTTTTGATACTTTTTTCCGATAACATTGTACATTAAACATAGGCGCAAATACGGGGGGCTAGGGTGGGCTTAGCCCCCCCAAAAAAATTAGGTTATGCATACAATTTTGAAATACAAAAATATATTTACTTATACATATATTTTAAACAAATTTCTAGCCCCCCAAGTAAAAAATTGAAATTGCGCCTATGACATTAAATACTTAAATAAATTCCTAAGAATTAGTATTTTCCGTTAAATTTGTAAAATCTACCAAATAAATTATTTTTGCAATATATTTATAACTATTAACTATTATTATTTTTATAGGCATTTTTTTACAAGTTGAACATAATTTCAAGTTTTTCCCGTCGCTGTTTAGTTTTTCAATATTAGAATAGAATAACTACCATCTTTCATTAAAATACTTATAATTTGTATTTAGTCGATAAAAACTAAAATACTGAATGTTGCCCATTCCTGCCAATAAATGTATTGCATAAACCTTAAACCTATAATGACTATAGATTTTTTAAATAAATAATTTGGGTTAATAAAAAATGAAATGAAAATTTGATTTATCATTTGTACAAGTGGTTTAAGTTTGAAGTGCCGGCCCTAGAGTCATGACTGAGTTGCGGCCCAGCGGGAAAACTCCGCTTTCGGTGGCCCGCCATCTTAATCCTCCACATATCTGCAGTTGTATTTCCGACTACAACTTAATCATTTTTTGTAATTATAACTGCATTAATGCCAAATTTTTGAGTGCTGACGTAAAGGTTTATTGATGAAATGGGAAACCGTAGCTGTTTTCTTTTAGAGGAATTTACGTATAATTATTAGGTACAGTAAATCAATGGAAATTATTTGTGATTAGAATAGCACTATTTGAATAGTTTATTTTGCTATAGATTAATCTATTATTAATGTCTCCTGATTAATCGATTAAATATGTGATTAAATCATCTATTCTGTGTTTAAATGCATAAAATCACAATCGATAAGATAAAAAGCCATCAGCACTGATAACCCGTCTGTTATCATAAACGGGACTGAATATAAAAATATATTATCAGCACAGATATATATAATAAACTAGATTGCTAACTAGCGATAAGAGTTGAAGCCGACGGTCCGCCATTCTGGTGAGATTTATGTGTGTTATCAATGCATATTATATATTATATCTGTATATATTATTATATCAATTTTATATATATCTGTGATTGTTATAATTTATAAACATATATTATTCTTATGTGATAAGGTTCTAATTCCCACCAAGATGGCGGAAAGTGGCTGCTTTAATCTGCTCTATTGGTGGCATGTACCATTAGCAATCTAGTCTATTATAATATACATCTGTGATTATCAGTGAAAAATAATAAAATCCACGATTTATCCACGAGGAGCGCTAGCAGTATCTTACTTTTTCATATTTTTACATAAGAACTATTGTACATAGCACGATTAAAGATAATATTATCTTTAACTGATTATTGCGAGGTATAGGCAAACGTGAAACCGTTTATACTACATCCGTGGTTATGCTTAATCATTGAAGTGATGAGAACCAAAAGGGTACAAGTAACATTTTTTCGTAAATTTTAAACTAATAAAAGGAACTTCAAAAATATTATGAACATTTTTTTAATAACAACCTATATCCATCTGTGTTTGTTTTACAATAATTGTTTATACATTTTTGAGAGAGATACCCAAAAATAGTGGACATGCCTGTAACCCTCAGAATACATAGGTTAGTACAACTTATTTTCGTTTTGCTCTCCTGTAAAATTTTTATAAAAATCACTTATACTCGCCACTTCATTTACGATTATTTAATATAAATATAAAGGCATCCTTTACATATGGTTCAATTAGTCCATGTTAAAGTATATATATTTAAGTCACGGGTGCGACGATTTCAAATAAGCGCGGCATAAAAAAAGGGGACGTTGGCTACACTGCTAGCCCCCAAATTCTCTACTATTTCGACTGACCGAAGTGCACCGAATGCCGATTGGTCGGTGGCCAGTGGCGTCAGAGCAATTGTGTGGCACGAAGGCTCGTCGTCACCGCGTTGCCGACTCCACCGCTCCCGTACATACCGCATACACATACCGCTCACCGCGCAATGGCGTCCGACAATGGTGACTTTGACACGGATCTCGCCGCGGCACCTGCAAAACGCATGAGGTATTCGTTTGCCGACGAAATCGCCCAAAATTCACAATTTCAAACTTACGGCCATCGGTTCACAGGGTTTTCGTCTGGCGATTCTTACGGTAAGTGTTTAAAAGCGCGCTAATCCCGGCGAGCAGCGGCCGACGCTTACAGCGTCAAACATGGCGGATTTCCCGTTGAGCGTTTCGTTTGCGGCGGGCGGACATTTTGATGGGCGCGCTCCCCACCCCTCCCATCCATCACCTCCTCACCCGGCCCGGTCCGTATTGGTCGCGGTTGACATCGATGATGTCATCGGGTTCACTTTCCTTTCCACGACCGGCGGCTTTCCAAGCCCGGCTTGCTCAAAATAACATCCCATACCTCCTACAATGTCATGCCGTGCATGTATTTGTATTAATTTAAACTTGTTATTGTTTACGCGCCCGTCTACTGATAGCGTACTTCGTTCCTTATCACTCGATGTTTTTTCTCGGAATAATTTAAACATTTTAGATCATTTTTAAGACATTATTATTTAATTACATTTCGCCAGTTGATCGTGCTTGCGATCCGCTGATATTTTTTTTTAAATAAATGTCCCATTTTTAATTATTACTTAACTCCCTAAACACCCTCGAAGTCCGTAAAAATAGCATTTTGATTTTCTGGTATATGCCTAGGTATCTTTATTCTTAGTTTATGAAATATGTAATATTAAAAATATTTAGAAATTGTAGATGTTATTTTGGTACGAAGTTCTCTATCCAGAATTTAATTAACAATTACTTTTTACCTGCATACAAAATTTAAAAAAAAGGACTTTTACGAAAATGTTTAACAATATGATATTATTAATTTATAAGATTTTATCAACCAAAGTAAAGTAAGGATAAAAAAAAGTCCAACTATTTATTTTAATTTTTCTAATACTGTTATTTTACTATGTGACCCCAAAATACAGTTTTTGCTAAATTAATGTTAACAACTTGCAAAAGAGTTTTGAATTACAATTAGTCACCTTTTCCAGTTTGTTTTATTACACAATGCATAATTCAAGATATTGAGCCTCGCTAAATAAGTTGGAACAGGGGTCTTAAAACATTTAGGTTACTTCATGTTAAAAAAAAACCTAATGTATAATAATTATACGTTTTTCTTTAGATGTTTTTTTTGTCCTGATACATGGTTCTAACATATCTAAATTATTACTAATCGATGGGGGTTTTACTTTTTATGTTTAGCAACCATATTGTTTATTTTTATTTACAACTTGTAATTTAACCATTATTTTCCTCTAGATAAAATTATAACGCGGAGATATTTACAACATTAAATGTGTGGCATATATAGTAATCTTCTGTCTTAGGTATGGTTTATTAGATATCTGTTCATTATTTATTATTATATTATAGTTTCATCTATTTAAATAATGTGTAATCCACCATAATTGTCAAAAATATTCATGAGTGAAAAAAAATGAATGTCAAATTAACAACATGTAAGTTTCTGAATATTATTATAGTTTTAGAAATTATAAATAATATTTACCATTTGTAATCTTTGAAGACGCATTCATTATTTTTTATTTTGATAATATTAATATTCATTAGTTCATTCATTGATTTTAAGTTGGAAAAGTATTTTAGGTACAAATTTGCCATACTTAACAAATGTTTTTCAGTAAAATTTCTTTTAAAATATACATTTTTTATTATTTATACATTTTATTTTTATTACGATTCACAATTTTTTGTATTTCAATTTCAGCCAACAATTTATCATATAAATCAATTGACTCGTTATCATCAGATTACCATCAACCGACTTCACCAACAACACCTTTGGTCATGTCTTCGAGTCTACCAGAATCTCCTGAAAATTCAAGGTAAGTCTATGTAACCTTTTTAAACATAATATTGTTACTACCTATTTCAACATACAATATATTCCTTTATTATTAGGTTTTAATACATGTGTTTGATTTTTCATAGTTTATTTGATGAAAACTCCGATAATAAGGAAGAAGTAGAGGATGATGATACTTCTTCTACTTCCAGTTCTGATTCCAGTACACATTCAGATAACGCAGACTCTGAGAAAGGAGCTCCAGGTACTTAACATAAACCAACATATTCATTATCAAATGACATAATAATCCCTCAATTTTATTTTACTTATCATATTATTTATTTTAGGTTCAATGAGCTGGGTACAGAGACAAATAATGAACGGAATAAATCCTAGACGATTGTTGCACCAAGTATTTGGAGCTACTGTTCCATCACAGCTAGAGGATATAACACTATGGAGGGTACAATTGATTAATTTAGAAATAAAAATAACATTTATTTATGTTATGGTTATTTTTTAGATAATTTTGAGTATGACTGATGATTGTCCAATACGAAATCGATTGCGCAGTGTCAGCACACTAGACGATGTTATTAGGCTTTTAAAAACAAGCACACGTATAATGGTCCTCACGGGAGCAGGGGTAAATCTATATAAACTTTTAATGAGCTAAATAATTTTATATTGGTATTAAATATAAATACTGGTATAATAGTTTAGAATTTAAATTATTGCGTAGGTACTATAGTTGTACCTGAAATTAGTAGAATTATTTTTAACTTTTGTTATTAAAGGTTTCAGTGTCCTGTGGAATACCCGATTTTCGCAGCCACAATGGTGTTTATGCTAGATTAGCTACTGAATTCCCCGATTTACCTGATCCACAGTCTATGTTTTGTATTGATTACTTTCGAAAGGATCCTAGACCCTTTTTCAAATTTGCCAGAGAAATATATCCTGGACAATTTAAACCATCGCCATCTCACCAGTATGTTTTTTTTCTACTGATAATGATTATTATAACAATTGCATATTAAATTGTTTAATGTATTTATGTATTTTTTATTTAGATTTATTAGAGCTTTAGAAAAAAAAGGACGACTTCTACGTAATTACACACAAAACATTGATACCTTAGAACAAGTTGTCGGTATTGAAAAAGTAATAGAGTGTCATGGTATGTCACTATTTTATAAAGCAATGTTTTTATAGGTCTATTATTTTGCTTCCTCAATGAGGATGCTATGGTTCTTGACATTTTTTTTTTCGAATATCAGAATGAGAGTAAGACTATAATATGTATTGTAATAAAAAATAAACAACTTGTCATTTTGTCCGTGGATGGGTGTGAGTGTGTGCAATGCCTATGTACTTCTAAAGCGACTATGTTGTTTCAAATTTTTACCCAACATTTAACGAAAAATAAAATAAAAAGACATTATTATTTAATTAGCTTTGCATTGATGCTTTGAAGTACACATATGTGAAATACTTATATTTTTTTCTTTTATTATAATAAAACTTTGAAAACTAGGCCATTAGTATGCATTATATTATATTATTATTTATTATATCATATTTCTTTGTACAATGAATCGTTCTTAGAAAAATTTTCTTTCAGTATACTCAGTCTTTTTGTCATTACAAAAGATGTATGTTACTTATATAATAAATATATGCTAGGATATTATAAAATTAATGTGTATAATATTCAATAATGATAATATTTTTTATGTATGTTATGGTTAGGTTCATTTGCCACTGCGTCTTGTACCCAATGCGGTCACAAAGTTTCAGCTGATATAATCAAACCAGATGTGTTTGAGCAAAGAATTCCTAGATGTCCAATATGTGTGGATGGCAATGGAATAATGAAGCCAGATATTGTATTTTTTGGTGAAGGTTTACCTGATAGCTTCCATAAAGCAATAGAAGAAGACAAAAACAATTGTGATTTATTAATAGTGATAGGGTCATCATTAAAAGTACGACCTGTTGCTCGTATTCCCAGTAAGTTATTTTAGGTGTTAGTATAGAATATTTAAAGAAGTTCATTTTAAAAAAAAATAATTATTTTTTATAGGTATGTTGAGTAAACGTGTGCCGCAGATTTTAATTAATCGTGAAAGACTTCCACACATGAATTTTGATGTTGAACTTCTTGGTGACAGTGATGTTATTGTTGATCACTTGTGTCGCATGTAAGTAATCAACGACAACATATTTTTCAGTGATGCTAATTTTCATTTAAATATTTATCAATAGGCTGGGTTCAGATTGGTCCGATATTTATTGGTGTAAAGAACAACAATCCGAAACAAAAAGTCTTAATTTACCTACTTTATCACCTAAGTAAGCTTTGTAATATATTTATTATTTTTTATCACATTGTGTTTTTGAATATGTGACTCATAGCAACCATGATTTATTGTCCTCTTTAGGCCTAATCCAGCTACAGTAGAAATTGTTGAGAATGAAATGTCCACCGACTCAACTCGTGATAGTGCCAATAGCATGTCACCGCCACTTAGTGATGACAGATATGCAGCCAGCTCATCTACAGGCGAACAACGCCATTTGTCGACAGACTCGACTAGGGATAGCGGTATTGATCCAGACGATCCACAAAAAACTAGTCTAGCTGCTTATCTACCACGTAATATAATAGGATCAGAAGTCTTTTTATTTTAGAATGACCACAATTAACAACATAATTATTGTTTTTAGCAAATACATATTACATGTTGAAGAAACGAAGGTATATGTTTTCTGGTGCCGAAGTAGATCAAGATGTAAATGACATGGATGACGACAGCGAAACAGAATCTGATTCTAGCGACAAGTCTGAAACACTACTAAATTAATTAAATCCATATTTATACATTTTTTGTAGAAAAAATGCTTATAAATAGCTCAATTGTTACTTATCACAATTTATCGATATTGATTTTGCTTTCTTGCAATAGTGTACACTTCGGGATTTGATCTATAAAGTGATAAAACTAATTTCCTTATATTTTGTATTCCTTACAATGTTTTCTCTATCCTTTTTTTTATTTCTTTTATATTATTATTTTTATAACAACTTAGAATTCTCTTCTTTTTTTTTTATCCGAGATTTCTATTTAAAAAAAAATATACATATAAATATGTTTATATAGTACTTTCTTTTTTTTACATAAATCTAACATTTGTATGGATGTATAAATAAATAATAATTGTGTCTAATTTTAGTGAATATGGAAGAAATAACCATAAATTATTTATTGTAAAAGATTTCTTTTAATATATACCGAAGTTCTTAGGGTAAGTCATATATATATATATAGACTTTTTTGTTGTATCTTTGTAAATTATAATTAAATTTAACATGCTTGCAAATTATATTTAAATTCATAGACATCAAAACTTCAAATATATATATATATATACAGGAGTTTTTTGATTCTGAATCAAATGTTATAAGTATTAAGTAAGTGTTAAAAAAAATTGCTGTTGTATTGTGTTTTAAAATTAATAATTTAAATGTTTTATTAAAACAGTCAATTTTTTAATGATAATATAACTTGTTTTATTTTTTATACCTTAGGTAGAATTATAATATAGTACCAATGCTTTTATGAAATATATTTTTTTGTAGCCAATCTAGCAAGCACTATTGTTTATTATGATGTCATTGTCACTGCTATCATTTTCTATTGATTATTCACTGAAGGTCAATTCATTTTATCTATACATTGTAAAAAAAAAACTTTCCTCCTACTCATCAAATTTTAACTGTCGTTTCAATGTGCTTAATTATTTGTATGAAGAGTAATGACAAATTAATTTTGTAAAAACAAAAGAGTTAATTTTAATGGTGTATTAAATTTCTGATTAAAAATACAAATATCACTCAAATGGTTGTGCTAAAAAATATAAACAAATTGTACATAGATTGTTATGATAAGAAAAGTTGCCTATGGGCTATAGAAATGCAATATGTTATGAAAAATATAAGATTTATTTTTAAGTTAGTTCTATAACTTATATTATAATAAAGTTAGTAAAATTAATTTTAAATTTTATAAATAATATAAAACCTAAGTTTAATTAGTAAACATTGATAGGAAAACCTTTTTGTTCAAAACTAATATAATATATACTATTATCTAACTGTATACTTTGTTGTTTATTATTTACTAATAAGTAGTAATAGAAACTAGGTTTACTGTGTAAATAAGTAAAACTATTTGAATATATACATAGATAATTTAGGTAATCAATTAGAAAATGTTTAAAAACAAGAATGTACTAACTAAATAATTATTTTTTATAATAGGTATTTTAAATTATTTATTAATACAATTTGATGTTATTCTTATTCCATTTGCATAATGCATTCAATTTATATTAGGCACGGTATGAAATATCATTTATTTAAAAAAATAAAAATCAACTTTAGTTCTATTTGTAATTAAATATGATTTTTTTTCCAAATGTTCTTTCACTAGCATATTTTAATTGACGAATGTAAGGACAAAGTGACTGTTTTACAGCAAAGCATTTAAACGTTTTCCTAAACATTTTTTTACAGAGTCAATTTTTTTTATAAAATACAGGGAAAAAAGTATATTTTAAACAAATACAACAAGGAAACAAGCTAAAAAGAAAATCAATTACAACTAATGCCCTTTATTCCATAAGGAGGTATACGTATAGGACAATTATATATAGGTAAATACATCCTTAAGAAATAAACGACAATTTTAAATGTTAATATTTGTTACCACATATTAAAGTATTAAACACTTACATGACTACTTAATAAGTGTTTTATAGTCATTTAATAATTAATAAGACCAAAATTATGGATGTTTTTAATTACCTTGTTATATAATAAAAATAATTGAGTAAAAGGGACTATTAATTAAAATAAATGTATTACTATACCAACAAAGTACTTACCTATCAATTAAACTATTTTTTCCGACTTTTGCTCCACTACCTTTTTGTTTGTACGTATACGTTGTACACTAATAATTTGTTTCTCCAGAGTTCAGAATGTAATATTTATTACAAAAATTGAAAAGAGTACCTATATTGGGTATAACAATATAATTTATGTTATGATTTATTGTAATAAAAATATAATAATACCTCAGTCATTAAGTCTATAATTTATTGGTGTGATAAAAATATCGGTATAAGTTCTCATAATATCGATTAAATATTTAAATCCCTAAAATATAATTTAGAAACTTGTGTGATGCGTTAAAATCGTGAATTATTATATAAAATTATTGCTAAAAAAATTCTTACAACTTTCTGTCTTTTGAAGGTATTAATTATTGGTTTTTTTAAATATTAATTTTGAAACGAACGTTGGTTTTTACTTTTGTTCTCAAACAATACCCACAATATGCATACAAAATTAACAAAAAAATGGTTGATTTGATTACCAGGCGTCTTAGTGTGAGGTTATTAAATAGGTAGGTAGGTTACTAATATTTTTGTGTACTGACACTATTTAGTATTTTTAACCTAATCCACTTAATTCTAGACCCACATTTTCATAGAAGCGTAAAATAAAAATAAAATAAGTTGCCAGTCCCCTGATTATGCGCTATTGTACTAATATACGACTGATAACTATTATTTAAGGAATTTTGCAACTTTTAAGGAAGCATTAAAAATTATTATACATGTATTAGTCGATGTTTAACATATTTTGGATAATTGTGAATAATCTGAGCTGATTGTTTCCAGTTATTATTATGTACCTTTTACATACTTATAACTTATAAGGTATACCTGATTCATAATTGCAACCGCATAGAACTTATGCGTCCATCAGGTACGCATCTTACACCATTTTTTGGGGGGAAGGGTGTTAAGCTTTTGATATTTTTTTCTGTTTACACCACTGTTGAAATATAGTTACGCAATTTTCCTCAGTTGCGATGTGAATTGTAAATTATCATAATTATCGTAATTATATTTCATGCATATATTACCAAAATATAACATGTATAATTAAATTTAAATAAAATTACGCAAACGGTTATGAGAAAATTTGTTCTTAAAAAAAAGACCGGGCCAAACCTCCGGTTTTACCAATTATTTTTGTGCTAAAGTCATAACACAACACGGAGTAATTTATGATATTGTTTTTTACCTTAGTAAAACTATACGTGAAAATGCTTAGTGGTGGAAAAATCCATTGAAAATATATACCGTAAGAGTATTAAATTTATCTTAGAGTGTTGTAGGGTAATTAACATCTCTAAATAATTGTATTTTGCCTAGAGCCATTTTAGTTTATGTTTAACTTTTAGGTTTACAGTAAGTAAAAAATACCATTTTATTTATGGTGGTGGTGGTGGAAAAGTAATGATGTTTATGGTCTATGCTAATAGTATATGTGACACGTATTCGTAGACCGTTAGAAATTAAAATTCTTAAAAAAAATATGTAGGGGGGTCAACTCCCCCCTAGCTTCTCTGCAAGTTAAAAAAATGTATAACCAATATACCAAATTTGTAAGACCTATTGCAAAATCATAGACGGTCGCCCTCTGAATTTTTACCTTTTTTTTTTTTAACCAATTAAACTAACCTGGGAGGGAACTGTTTACGCACTACTTCCTCCCTCTGAATTTTTACATGCCCTTGCTTAGATATGTAATTTTTAAAGGATATTGCTTATATAACCCAACTAACTGGTATGTTTTCAAATTTGTTCACTTAGTTGTACAACCTACACCCTACTATGCTTTTGATAACTGATGTCTGAAAGTGAAATTATTATGATATTAAGGATACGCATTTTCACACAGTTTGGTATTAAATACATAACCAATAATCAAAGTCCAGAGGAGGACTGAGGAGATTAACAGACTTTGGGGAAAACATTTCAGGTTTAACGAATCGAGACAGTACATTACAGTGCAATGCGCAAATTAAACAAACTCGCTAAAATTCTGTCACTCACGCTATTGTCAAAATAATGTATTCATACTTTGTCATACTATGCTTATATCGTGCACAGTCTTTAAGAAACTATTAATGTGTGAATTGTGTGTAAGGAAATTATAACTAGGTCGGATCGAAAAGATTATAAGACGACATTTTTTTGTACGCAGATCGAAATTGGAAGCGTTGTCATAAATGTAAACAATATATAAAAACAATGATAAGTTCCAAGAAATAGGCTTATATGTGGGAGTGCTAACTCAACATTTTATAATTAATTAGGACTTATGTGATCGTTTTAAAAAGAACAGTGGTAAAAAAACTACGGTTGCATTTTTTAAAAATTAATTTATATTTAACACAATTGCATCTTATATAATATATTGTATAATCTACTATTTTATCGTTAAGCCGAAAGAACTATATTATTTTAATCTATACTCCGGAATCCGTAATTTAATTCCTATTTATAGTTAATTATTTTTAATTATAAATTATAGCGGTTGTTTCTTCGATTTAACTCGTTAACTGTTATTATACTACAAGCTTTTAAAGAGTTACGTTTATTATTTACAACCATCTTGGTGAGTGCTAGCTGCTTAAAAATTCCAGTCTTAAAAATATTTCAAGGTTGTAATTAATGTGACGGTTTGTCATATTTTTCAGGTCGTTCGACTAATTATTTGTTTAACGTTCGATAAGGGGAGAGGCATGGTTAGGTTGAATTTTAGCTATTTTATCGATTAAACATCGGTTAAAAAAATAGTTTATCTTTGTTAAATATGTCTAAATGACGCGTGTTTTTGGAAAAATATTTGAATTTTGATGTTAGAAAACTAGTACGTTTTTTACCTAAAATATGTGTTTAACAATAACATCAACATCAAGATGAAATATCAACTTCTACACATTTCTTCCTTGACGACTGACGATTTTACGCTGGGTAATTAATAAGTAAGTTGATTATAAAAGAACAAACTAACCATTTAATAATGTTATATAGATAAAAAATAGTCAGTAATCGGGTAAAAAATAATAGTTATGATAAAAATAACCAAATTACTGAGCACGAAAATTGAACTGAAATATTAGTATTGCCTGTTGGTTAATTACTATATTTACCTACCTAGTCAATGCAATGTCAATCAATAACGTTAAATTAAATAAATAACTAATATATTTACATATAATCAAACTACTGGATGTTAATTTTTAAAAATATCTATTACATATTAAGATAAGTAAATAACTATTAGCTATCGCTATCGCAAATATTATTACCATATAATATATAATGAAAAATGTGACAATTTATGTTATCTTTTGTACATACAAATACAACAATATGACGTATTTAAAATATATACCTGCTATAACCAATATTATGATCTAAAAACTTAAAACAACATTAACGAATCTACATTATGTAAAAAAAAATCCTACATATTATATTACAGATAACCATATTTTTAACGACTAATAGTTCGCTGATAACATTTTTAAAAAAACGTACTTCCAAAAAATAAGTTATTCTACGGGTAATATTTTTAAATCACAAGACGATAAATGTTAATAAGGTACTAAAAATGTTTTTTGCAACGTTGTTACAGTTTTTTAATTAAAAATACTATTAAATATAAATAAAATTATTAAATAGTACCTATAATTTTTCACACAAAAATAATAGTTAAAATTAAAAAAAACAAGGTTAAAGTGAGTCACTAAAAAAAGTGCAGGAAAACTAGGAATGGTATAATTGTAATAAATATATGCTTTATTAAAATTTAATTTAGAACAAATTAGTTCCTTTTTTAAATTAATTTTTCTAATTAAAGTTTAGTATAATAAAAATAAGTATTAATAAAATTACTGCCAAGATTATTTTAGAACTAAAACATGCTTTATAAATCGTTGCTGTTCGTTTGTATAATATTATTTAGTATAATAGATTTCGAGCTGTAAGCGATTGCAGTTATACCGGCGTGAATACACTTGTTCAAGTAAATTTAAACGGTTTATAAAAAAAAAAAGAGTTTTATGTAATCTGAAATTTATTACTGGTGATCTGCTACTGTAATATTTAGTACTCTAAATGGTCTGATGGTTCGGTCAAGTGAACGTGGATATCTTGTCTTACATCCCCCATTCACCCTTTTGGGACGTCGAGAAATGCGTCTTACGTCAAACGTTAAACCCTTTTTAATTTAATTTTAAGTCGAACCTCATAGGTATCTGCATATATGTATATATATATATATATAATGTATGTATTGTTTTTCTACAGGTCCCACGTAATTTCAGTGTCAAATCAATAACACCGGGTTTGCAGCGGTGGCGGAAAGGAGGAACTTACCACCCATATATGTTCTGAGCATGCTCAGTGGACGAGCTTACGGTGTCATTCTATAAACGTCAGCCGGACGCGACCATCGACCATAACAAACATCCCATCAGCCGTTTGACTAAACACACTGTGCACTCGAGTCATTTGGAATGGACTAAAGTTATGGACTGACCATACAATCAACCATCCAAGTCGAAATGTTGAGGTATGAATATATATATATATCGGTAAGACGACCGAAGTGTTTAATAATTATTCTATTGTCATTCTCGTTTTAGAATTATGTTCGTCACCACAGCCGTAATGTTGACGGTATCATATTTAGTGGCCGCCGATGTCAGCACAGAAAACAAAGACTCTACTTCTTTTCAATTTAAACACCACAACAACAAAGAAATGTTTGAGACCCTGATGGATGTGCATGAAAAATGTCCCGCTATAACCACTGTGTACAGGCTGTCAGAAAATTCAGTCGAAGGCCGCCCCTTGATAGTCATCGTCTTCTCAGTACATCCCAAGATACACAAGCCACGTATGATGTTTTATATTATATTGATCGGTACAGATAAATATCTTCTTAGCTTCACATAGAAGCTATTAGTTAACACTAAACTTCAAAATTAATGTAATAAATTAAATCAGAACAAGAAATCGTGATATTAATCATACTTTCATCTGAACCTTGGGTCCAACCTCATATTTTGTAACTTTTAGAAAAGAAAGATGTAAAATTTGATTTTTATTAAGGGCCTATGCTTTTTAATATTATACGGATTTTCTTAACAACATTTTTTTTTATTAATCTTTATTTTTTAATAAATTCGCTTTATAATAATTATATTAGTCATTAAATTAGGATATACTACCAATAAATGTCACTACAGAAGAATTTTCCTTGAGGAAATTGCGAGACCGGTCAGAAAAAAATCACCAAATAATAAAAGTTGGAGAAATTCTTAATTTTGACATTTAAAAGGAATATGGCATATATCAAACTCTATTAAATTTTCTTATAGAGTCTATAGTATGCAGACGAGGTACGAGTTAAAACACGACGGTATGAACTAAAAAAAAGTATGAAATAAAATTATTAAAACCAATTAACAATGACAATTTTTTTGAAATATTAACATAAAAATGTTAGTATTTTAGGAGAGATGAAACATATTATAATAATTTGGACATATGTGACTATAGAATACTAACTCATTGACTACAAAACTGATCATTTTAGGTTCAAAGAACAGACATGTTTTGCAAAGCATGTGTCATTTTGTTATATAGTATATATTTTTAAGTAAATTTTCTAAAATTAACACTAGGAGTTGTAAAAAAAATTCTGTAGGCCAATCGAAAAAAACATGAGGCCGTTTTGAGATAAATCTTATATATTATATTGTGTACCTATTGGACATTAAATTATTGCAAACTGATGTGTATGTGTGTGTATTCCAGTGGATCCAGAATTCAAGTACATAGCCAACATGCACGGTAACGAGGTACTGGGCAGGGAGTTGCTGTTGAAGTTGGCTGATTATTTATGTGAAGAGTACAAGGCAGGTAACGCGGAAATCGTCAAGTTGATCACTAATACCAGAATACATCTGATGCCGTCCATGAACCCTGACGGATGGCAGAAATCTACCGACGACGTATGCCATTTTCATTTGATAATGATTTAAACATGTATTTATATATGTATATATTGTGTGTACAGGGAGGAAGCAATTACCTAGTGGGTAGAAATAACGCGGCGGGCATAGACTTAAACAGAAATTTCCCAGATCTGGACCGTATCGTTTTTGACAACGAAGCCTACGACAAAAATATCAACAACCATTTGGTGCATATGGTGGACCATCTATCGTTTCCGGTAAATCAACTTAACTCAATATTTTAATGCACCTTTAAGGCTTCTAAATCTTTAGGTTCTGCCTAAAAAAAATAACAGATATTATGGTTTTCATATGAACTCAATGCCTTAAACGCACGTACGAGTACATGTATAATGATGAGCTAATAACGGTATCGAAACTCGAATATATTATAATGTAATGTGTTTTTTTAACGTGCCCGCATATAGATACAACCCGAGACCAAGGCTGTAATGCAGTTAATTATGACAGTACCATTTGTGGCGTCAGCCAATCTTCATGGAGGCGATTTGGTCGCCAATTATCCATACGACGCTAGCCGGTATGGAAACGTGCAGGGTGAATATGCCAAGAGTCCGGATGATGACACGTTCAAGTATGTTTGGTGGTGTCGATGATTTTTCACATATTGCATCAGCAGAAAATATTATTATAGTCATCAAACTTGAACATATTTTGTAGGTGGTTAGCTATGTCGTATGCTACACACCATGCAGACATGGCTAATCCGAATAGAGTGCCATGCAGAGGCGGAGACACAAACTTTGGAAAAGAAGGCGGCATTACCAACGGTGCTAAGTGGTACAGTGTAAGAGGAGGTAAGACATAATAATTACAACGATCTTGTTTATAGGTGTAAGGCTAAAACTTAAAAGTTATTTTTTAGGATAGAAAAATTACAATTTTAGAACATGAGCTATTTATAAGTATAATATTCTTCAATTATCACCTACTCCCTCGAAGGATCATCGGCGGATATCTATACATAATTTTAGGAGAGAGAGAAACTAAAAAAAAAATTAGATCCACAGACCACAATACTATCATATTGCTAATATTTATAGTAGAGAATTACTTATACTAATAGGTGCAATAACTAAAATTATAATGGTGGCTATTCAAATATTTTAGCGGGCTAAGCTAATCTTAGATAATCTTCCCAATATTTCCTTCTATACACTGTGTAGGACAAAAATAAAACCTAATAATAGATGACAGATATCCAGATATATTAAACTATATATATTGTTTTAGTTATAATAGTTGTCAGAAATATTAAAAATAAAATACATTTAGATGCGTTTTACCAAAACATAATATTATGCTGCTATTGATAAAAAAAAACTATTAATTCCACGCATGATTTATATTTTATATGTATACTTTATACAGTATAATATGGCGTGTTTACGAGAGGATATGGGGATATGTCCACCTGTTTTCTAATTTAGGACAATCTAAATTGTTTTCAAAAAACTGAAGCTGGTTGGGATACTGTGTTGATGGGTGGAGGTGAGGGAATAAAGTCTCCTCGGGTCTATGAAATATTTACCAATGCATATCCCTATTGACAAAATCTTAAATATGCCACTGAGTGCATTAACCTAATTTGATTTGTTTGCATTTTTACTTTTAAGGTATGCAAGATTTTAACTACTTGTCTTCCAATGATTTTGAAATAACCCTGGAGTTGGGCTGTGACAAATATACGAGCGAGGACGCACTAGAACACGAATGGGAAAAGAATAAGAATGCACTCATCAATCTTATTTGGCAGGTATGTTAAACATAAGAACAATAATATATGCGGTGTACTTTCAAACGAGTGAGCCGTGACATATTTCTCTTGCTGACAAATTTTCATGTAATTTAATTTCCTGCGATTACGAATGAGTAGTAAAAATTATTTTACTATAATAATATTACGGTGACACGGTTTTGTTTTATGAAAATCTGTTAATTATACATCTTGATTTCATTTTATTTTAGAGTCATATAGGCGTTAAAGGTCAAGTTTATAATGAGTACACTGGGAAGCCATTGGCAGATGCGTTCATCAAAGTGGTAAATATAACCAATGGCGAAGAGATGCCCATTTTCCACGACGTTACATCAGGTAATTTTTATTCTGCTTTTCTAGTGTTAAAAAAAACAAATACACTGTGCAGTTAATTAGTTTTAAAATTGTCTAGTGTCCATTTTTGCGCAAGAGTCTTTTGACTTTTGTATTATGCATAACATATGTAAAGGAAAATAAAAATTAATTTCGAGGACTCTCAACATTCAGATGTTAGAATTACAGTAAAATGACTATAGTGAGTTTTCTTTTCCATAAAAACAAAAAAAAACAAAATGTTTGTATTCGCAAAAGCATTTATGTAATAAACCTACCTACACTATAACTACAGTAACCAACTACTGAACGATTTAGCTAGTGTAAGTAGTTAAGGGTTAAAGTGTGCGTTTCTAGCTTACTATTTCAAGTCGTGCATAATGCGTTAGCCATCGACTAATAGTGTTTCTGATTTATTCAGTATAACTTTGTTTCAATTTGAAACACTAACAATAAATGGCACACTCATTTTACCGAACATTTGAAATGTTAATAAGATGAAATTAGTAACATTTACACATATTAACCCTAACGAATTAAGTCAAGGACCTAGACATAGAAGAAGGGGTGAGTTAATGTCATTCTTAAGATGTTTGGTTGCCCAGAAATGAATATAACAACACTTCGACTGCGTCATTCTTATTAACAAATAACAATAAAACAAAAGTAAATAATAACAATAATCAACGGTTTATGAAATGCAATTAAAATATGATTTGTGGTTACTAAGTAGTGTTAAATTAATATATGGAAATGTTTTACCCAACTAACTAGCAATAGTTACGAGTTGAGTAAATCGCATGTACCAATGGACGCCTCTCTTGATTTTACAATACATAAACGTTAAAAAAATATAAAATTTTAGAAAGGGATCATGTCCACAAATCCAAAAACGGCCGTCATATATTTAGCAAAATTGCTCATATAAATTTTTGGAAAACGAGATAATTTTTTTTTAAAGGTATTAGTACAGTTTTGCCTAGCCAATGTTTTGGTTTTATATGGACATGTTCCCTTCTGCAATAATTAGTAATTCATATATTACCTATACCGTTGGTAAATAATTTATTTACAATCAATGATTATACAAACAAATTTGAAATTAAAAATCTAACTTTTGTAGTACACGACGGGGACTATTATAGACTGCTGACAGACGGTGAATACCGGATCATAGCTTCCATGCAAGGATACTTTCCTAAAACAGAGGTGGTTGTGGTGAAGAATGAATACCACGGCGAAGCAAAAATCTTGAACTTCGGTTTAAAACCAGGTAAGTTCTAACAAGTATTATAATACGTTTAAACCAATTAGGACCTAAAAATTATTTATATAGGGTGATCAACTTTAATGTAAAATATTAATTTTCCCGGAAAATGTTTACAAATTTATAGTTTTGAAAAATAGTTATATTTATGTAATTCTACAATATTATATAATGATCAAATATTTCTTTTTTTTAGTATTTTCCAGAGATCTATCGACTTTTGAAACGTACATATAGTTAATATACTTATTACTTTAAAAATTATTTGCTGAACATTTTGACTTGTCGATAATCAGTTTTAAATAATTATTTTTAAAGTTATTAAAGTTTAAAATTTAGAACGGAAGGTGAAGTGCGGTAGAGTAACGAGCGCAGGAAAAAATAATACTACACTCTAGCTTTCCTCCCGTCCTCAATTCTAAACTTTAAAAGTGGTTATTATCCAAAAATGGTTATCGACCAGTCAAAATTTTCAGCAAATCATTCTTAATGCAAAACGATAATTAAATACATACTATACCATACAAATTTCGAAAGTTGGTAGAGCTCTGGAAAACACTGAAGAATGTAATTATTTGATTGTTGTATAATATTGTTCCGTAACATAAATACCTAAATAAAATTTCAAAAAGAAAAACCATAAAATTGTAAATATTTTCCGAGAAAATGAGTGACTTACGTCAAATTGATCAATAATTAATTAGTTGAATGTTGGTTTAATCAATAATGTTATTTATTATTTTACAGATGTTGGTGTACAATGGTACCACTAGAAAAAACTTAAAGCAAACTAATGGTTGTATAAATAGTAAAGTAATTAATATTTAAACTTTTACCCAAAAAAAAATATTATTTATCTATGTGTACACGACAGACTGACAGACGATCAGTTTGTCGTTAGTTCTAAAGATGACAACATTGTTGCCAAAATACGTATACGCTTAGAGTGTATTATTTTTATTGTTAATGGTTTAAATATTAATTTCTTTACTATAAATGGTACCACGTTTAGAAAGTTATGTTTGAAACGGAAAATAAAGACATTTAAACTACACTACTTAATTAATTGCATGCCCAAACTAATTCCGTAGCAAAACAAAAAAATTAACAACGATCTGGACAAGATAAATACAAAAACATGTGCAACTGTCGAGATATCATAAATTTACAATGTTATACCTAGGATAGTTTTAAAGTTTACTTTATACATGTATCTTGTAATTGAATTCTGTAGACTTCGGTAAAAGAGAAATATAATATATGATTACATCGATTAGAAATGATTATTATTCATTAGTTTATACAAAGAAAAAAATACATATTATTTATATAATAGAACACTTAAATTTTAATAGGTTATAACATATAATATATTTCTTCAGCTGATACTTGATAAGCTATATTTTGTTGTGTAATATATACCAATGTAATTTAAATATACAGAAATTACGTTAATTTAACATAAACTAGATATTTTAAAAGCCTACATATGATACTTACTTATTCTTCTTGCTTATATCCTACAAATAGACCTAAAGTAGTAGAGTATACAAATTTCAAAATTATCATTTGTGATTCATATTTCATAAAAATTAATCATTTGCTGTGTTGAATTAGTAGCAGAGGCGGATTGACTAAACGGGAAAATGAGAGCGACTTACAAGAGGTTTCCCTCCGCACACATTATTTTATACTTTACACAAAACGTTTCCCTATTTATTATTTTTATGTATGTTTATTATGTTTTTTGAAAATTAAATTATAAAATAAAATGTATTTTTTCGAACCTTAAAAAATGTAATCAATATAAAAATAAATATAATAAGTGTCAATCATATATTAATAAATACAGACATACATTTTCCTGAATAATATGTTAAATAATAATTCACTGTAGGTGTTGTTTTTTATTCTGTTATTCTTTGTCTTTTTATTTTTGTTTTTTTTTTTATCAGAGAAATATTTAAAATTATTATTTATTAGTAGGTAAAATTAGTTGGGCTCTTGTGTACATTCTCATGTGTTGAGTAGTGAACACTGTAAAGTATATGTAAATATAAAGAAAGCCTACCAAAAAAGGACCTACCGGGATTTGACCGGTATCCTGGGTAACTTATCTGCCTATGGTTAGTTGCAATATTAAATAGAACCAGTTAGATGTGTGTAAACATTGATCATGACATTGTTGTCTATAAATTTTATTTTTTTAACTTAAATATTTAGTTAATATATTTTTAGTCCCGATTTTCGGTCTTGTATAAAAAACAATTTTTTAAGTTATTCAGCTCATATATACGGAAGCGATTGTATCTAAATAATTATGAGAAAACCCTAACCACAATAAAATATATACTTATTTTATAAACGTATACACGCATTTCGGCGACTATGTTGCAATCTTCAACGTTAACCGCAGATTCTCCAAAACAGAATTAATATTTCTTATATTTTAGTCTTTCTTGAAAGTCTAAATATTTCTATACACCATGTTATGCTGGGCGGGAAGAAAAACAAACCGTTACATACATTTTAAACTGCTAACATTTTGCCTACACCGAAACCCGGCTCACACAAATATGACGTTTTTGTAAGCTACAAAATTAAACCAATAAAATAGTTATGTGTAAAATAATGCTCAATTTAAGTATTTTGTTATCAGGTTTTATAACCACCACCAAACTTTTGACGGTTGACCGTTGTAAATTAATTTTTTTTTGCTGGGATAATACAAAGGTAGTTTTAAAAACTATAATGTAATAATAATCAGTAGCTTGTATTTGTTTCGCACGAGTACATAAATTTACAAAGGCCTGCCAGTTGCCATGAACTAAATGATTACAAATATTTTGAGAATTGCTCGCTTCTAGCAAAATGAAAACAAAATATTATCTTGTCCGACGACCACACAGGAAGTCGTCATACACAAAATATACTATAAATGACGTTTACAGTATTTGTCATACCGCATACGATACACAATTGACACCACACATGGTCTCATCACCACAGTCAGCTCTAGCCTCTAGGCTGTATGAAGTCTATGAACCGTGGCTGGCAGCGGCAGGTATTCAAGTTCTGTGTGAAAATATTTCGAACGAGACGATTTGGCCACCAAAGGCAATGGCAAGCCGGTCGACGGTCGAATATTTTTCTTCCCCGGCCGTGTCAACACTGGCTTGGTCAGTGCGGCCACTGATTAAGGCGTGTTTATCCGACCCGGTCCCCATTCGTGTGTGTGAGACACAAGTCAACGTGAGTCCGTGACGTGATTATAACATTCTCCGTTTTGACGTTGTGAGTAATGTACTTTTGAAAAAAATTCCAACGTTAAAAAAAAAATTAACAAATATCTAACGCGTTGTGTACACATTAACACCGAATCCCATAGTGCACGGACGTCGGGATAAACGAAATAATACTTCTATTCGGTAACAACGGCTACGTCTTGTCGTCGGCATACCTTTGGAGTATATAATCTTCGAACCGGGGTAAGTGTTTTTTATTTTATCTCTGTTAACATTTTTCGCTAGTTCCATTTGGTTGGGGCTCGTCTCGATGCCAACATCCCTCTTCGGATTTCACGACTTGGGCATCCCTTGGTGTTCAAAACCCTCGAAATTATTCACTTCATATAAAGTCGGTAAACGCACGTTAGATTATATCTCGAGTAGGTAGGTATTATCAAAGATAACTAGGCTGGGCGCCTTACCACTAACCTTGATTATGTAACTGCCGCCTCTACAACCATAGGGTACATTAGTTACTACACAGTTTCGAATTCCCATAATAATAAAAATTACCATTTAAAAATTCAATAGCTTATGAAAAATCTCTACAAGCTCACAAATTATCACTTTAAATATAAAAAAAAAAAACATTTAGAACCTGAAATAAGAGAATGAGTTTTGAGTGTGCCATAAATTGGTTAATGTTTACATAACGACATTAATAGATTAGGAATGTTTTCAATGGAGTGTGTTATTTGTATTATAACAAAAAACTAGTTTCATAATAATTGTTTCACTATCAGTTGGTGCTTGTAACTTATGACAAATATTCATATAGTTATGATTCATCTAACCTAATTGTGTTAATTTTTTTTGTATTTTCAGAATTGTATGGTTAATTTGTTCCTCTTTGCTTAACTTAAATTCAAGATGCCAAAATCCGTAAGTTCTAAAATTAATTATGTTGTATACTAATCATAATTTAATCAATATATTTTAACATATTAGAATGAGCAATACATAGCAGTATATTATTTACTTCATATACAGAGTAAAATGGATACCTGGAACTAAATTAACATAGTTAAATTGTCAGCAAAAATATCTTATATATATATATATATATATATATATATATATATATATATTTTTATTTATTTTTTATTTTTTTTGTCTTATGATATGATTAAAAACTTTCTATTAAAATGGAACATTGTTGATCATTTCTTTAAAAAAGAAATTGCTCTTGCCTCATTTGGTTGTAGTTACATTACTTAAGTCTTAGCCCTATTTTATTAAATTTTGTACTATGTAAAATACTGTGTAAAATGTGCCATTCTATACCATTAGGAAGTTATGTCAGATGATTGTTTATTTATTTTTAATAGCAATAATTTAGTTACATAACTCAATTCGCATCTTATAACGAAAAATAAACTATATCTATTTCTCCATTAATGTATAACACCTTCAAATGCAATTTGCTTTGTACCATAATATCAATCTAAAATGTTCACATCATTTCAATGTGTTTGTTTTTAAGTTCAGTTAAATGTTTTTAATTTTATAATAGGTAACTACAATTGTATTTATAGGTAGTATAAATACTTAATTAAAAACATTGTTTTACATATTATACAGTGTTCAATAAGTTTTGAAACTTGTATGTGTTTAAATAGTATAGAAACTAGTTTCCAATTTAATTGAACAACTGATACAGTCTATAGTTATAGTTCTGCTTGTTTATATATTGTATTTTAATCTATACTTATAAAATAGACAGGAATTTTTTTTTTTTTTTTAACAATTTCTAAATACCATAACTAGTCCTTTAGTAGTTTATTTGAATAATTTTTAGTATACTAGAATATCATTTGTATAACTGAGAATGACTGGGCAATTATGTTTTAACACTTGTCCAATTTGTTTAGATAATTTATTCTCAGAAACTGTACAGTAATTATTATTTGTTTTATGAGTTTATTGACTTAAGTAAAAGTTGAAATTACACATACATTAGTAGCACTACATTGGACACTAATTGATTTCAAATTTGAAGTAACCCTTTAATTTATACTGATTAAAAATAAGTAAATCATATTTTTATCTGAACTCGAATATTAATTTCTGGCCCGAGTTTCATGCTACTAATGTAAGTTAAAAATTTATTCTGTGGGATATGTAATCAAAAATTTAGTTTTATGCATTTTGTCTACATAATTTTATTTTTTATAAATTGTATAGTATACATTTGAGTATTATAATTTTAATTTCTAGATTTAATTCAAATTTTAAATATTTTTTGTAGAGCTTGAAAACATTATCAAGCTAAAATTTACATTATTTGTTTTGAACACATGAAATATTGATTAAAATTAACAATATTATGATATTCTATCAGTTAACTGCTTACCTGATTTTGATTTTATATCCTAGAACAAAACATTTATTGTACATTTATTAAATATTGAACTATTGATTTGAGAATATGCCGATTAGCAGTGCTGTGCAAACTCCGTCCACACCATTCGGGTTTCCCCATGTCAATAGGAGTGTACCTTATCTTTGCTTAGATAGGCGTGTTGTGAATACGGCATTTAAACTACTACAAGGTATATCTCATTTGAAGTTAGTATTAAATTTATGCTTATGTAGCATGTTTCTGTTGAGTGAAGGATGACTTAGGTCCAAAGTAGGGTATTATTTAGATAAAAATGTATTAAAATTATTTTTTTATTCATATAGCCGTTGAATCATTTTTTCATTCCTATGACCGTTAAAATATATTTTGATTCAAATAATTTACTCAAATGACCAACGAAAAAAATGTTTTATTCAAATAATTTATTCGTATGACTGACACGAAGAGTATTTTTATTATTAAAAAACTAATTATATGATTTATTCTAAGCTTTTATTAAAATTTTATTTTTCTTAGGCTAATTATTTTATTGATGACATAATTAAAAAAAATTATTTAAATAAATCATCTTCGATTATCTCGAATAATAATGTTTATTGAAGAAATCATCTTAAATAGTATCGAATAATAAGATTATCTGAAATTAATTATTATTCGTTATTCTAATCAAAAACGCCGAACTCTGCTTAAGTCATGTTCAGGGGCAGGTGATATAAGAAAGGGAACATCATTTCATACTCTCTTGGCCTGATAAAAAAAAAAACAATTAGATGCAATGCAGCTAAATTAAAATCGATTTTTTGTAAGATTACAGGTAATTGATAACAGAAATATTACAAATAATCATTCTATCTATTTTGAGTATTTAAACTTAACTTAATTAAAGGAAGGGATTCTCATAGAGGGATGGCTTCTAATCAGTTTTTAGAGTTTTGTTATTTATTATAGTTTCTGTGATAACAATGTATAAAGCTGAAATTAAAAAAAAAAGTGCACCCATTTATATATTTTACATATACCAAGGACGTAATGTTAATCATTATTTTTTTCGGTAATAATGAAATATTAAATTTACATTTTGATAACACTAACAGCCCACCACCAAATTAACGAATTTCGGCGTCACCTGTTGTCACTAACTGCTACAATTATATTGTACCTATTGTTGTATCCATATCCATACTTCATCCTACTGGTGCTCTCTTAATTAGTTAGGAAATAGTGAAAAACATTATGAAAATCTGATATAATATTATTGGAAAATAATTATTATATTTTATTATTATAATTTTTTTAATAGTCTATGTTGAATATAGTATTCTGTGAAAAATTACCTACACAATACCATACTCCTTAGTATGGTTAAATAGGGGTATATAAGTAAAAGAGTTTTAAACGTTGCCAAAAGAAAACTAATATTATTTATTTTTGACATGACTTTACTATATCTGGCAATTATTCCACTTTTTCATTTCCAGGAAACGACTGATAATAAGTGCATCTAATACTAATAATATAACAGCTTATTCCGCTTCGCATCATCGCTAATTGTGCTTATCTCTGCGTACATAATACATTATTATTATTTATTATAATGATAATTAGAAAAATATTACGTGCCGCGGGACTATAGTTTTTTATTATTAATGCAAAATATAATAAAGCCTCTGCGTACAGTCCAATGGCGTGCAATAATAACAACGACAACACACGCGTCCCACATGATAATTTTGGTACCACCGTGAATTGAACCGGCGTTATTGGAACACAAAAGATGTAAAGTCAAAATATGTAAAGATTTAAAAGATGTATAGGCCTACTCGATTTTCGTCTTAGACAATAGCGTGTTCGGTCGTAATAACGTTGCCTGTTTTATATAGGTACATGTGTAACTTACTTGTCTATAACAATCGGTTCCCGTATCTCCCTTCTGGTGTAGCTTTATAATTTGGGTCCGGTGTTGCGTGGTCGTCCGACGTGCATTTTACACGGTACTCCTTGGTGTGTTCGGTGTTGCTATTAGACTAGCTATTCCATAAATCCTTTGATGGGAACCCAACGCACATCTCTTGTCTAGCCGACGTTCCAGAACAATGTTGCAAGCAAAAATCGGCAAAACGGAAAACTATTGTGACCTTTTTGCAACTCGAATAACTCGAGAATCAGGTTCAAGTTATGCAAACAGCTTTGAGACAAACTTGACAAACGAATAAATATATATATGTCCAAAAAGTGGATAAATAATAAATAGTTTAAAAGTAAAATCGTATGTCCCGACCAAGTGGTTCTTCGGGTTATTCGAAGGTCATGTTTATGACCATTGGCACATAACAGTTAATGTCTGATGGTAGTGCACCCTAGTGATTAATGAATATAAATTTAAATAAACCAGAATGGCCATTGTTACTGGTTTATACTTCTAGTTTTTAAAATCAAAATCTAGTAAGTATAAAAAAAAAAAACTCATTAAGAAAATTAACAGGAGGAGAGAGAACTATTGAAGGTTGTGCGGGTGCCGACCACTGTTTAATGACGTCACGTGTCAGTTGCCTTAAATTGTTTTTTTTTCTAATGAGTATTTTGGAATTTGCTACTCCTTTAAGCCATAATCAGATAGAACATATTTTAAGTGATTTTTGTTCTATGGAATGACCGTCCAAAAAGTGAGTTAATGTATAAAGAATAATGTATTTAACGGACGTAGATATATTATTCATATTACTAATATAATTTTTGGGTATCTTTTTTATGAACTCCAAACATACTAATTTGTGATAACTAATAGCTCGACAGTCAATTTTTAGTACATAGTATTAAAAACAAATAAGTATAATAAATAAGTCTGAAAACATAGATCGGAGAGGGAAATTATGGTGGTTTAGAGCTCAGAGATTATATAAATATACCTATAGCAGGTTAACAGCAAAGTTAATCTCAATAAGAACGTTTTTATTTTGTGTAATTTATCAAAATGTATTTGTGCATTTTTAAAAAAAAAAATTTATTTATACATTCTTTGGGTGTGTAATATTTCGTTGGTACAATTGTTTTAAATTAAAAATGCGCGTGTGTTGTCATACGTTTTAGATGTTTGTTTGTCCACCACTACAACAATAACAATAATACTAATGACTGTTGTATATATTTTCTACCGTATATACATACAATATACTATTCATATTGAATATTTATTAAATCTAAGTAGGTATACTTAGACGAGCAGCCCAACCTAATATTTATGCACTTATAATTGTAATTCTGAAAGTAAATCGAAAATGATTTTATGTAAATCAATAAGTTCTGACGTGGCACTGGCACCAATAGCAAATTTATCAGTATCAACGTACTATGAAATTAATTTTCACCGCAGTGTACGTGTTAAACGCCCAGCATTTCAAATTGAAAAATATTATGTAATTTCCATTATTGGTGCGAATTTCTAGAACAGAATCTTGTTATATTTTTACAATTGCATTTTTATTTATGTTGGGATCAAGAACGGTCATTAGTAGATTTTGAGGCGTTGGTATTGAATTGGAGTTTTGGCATCGGGCAAGTCAATTAATTTTTCTAACTTTCTAACCTTTCCCGTATTTTTTATTTGTATATATACCATACGAATAAATAAATAAAAATTTGTATGTGATATTATATTATATGCGATATTTTTATGGATAGTACTCTAGATTTATATGAATTTCATTGTCTCTGAATACCTCTCTCTCGTGCTCGAGCTAACGGAATTATTTTTAAGCATATGTTGTTTGTATACGGCTGTACAACACATGTTTAAATAAACGGTTTGGCAAAGTAAACTTAAATTATGAGACTCCCTGAATAATGATGGCCAGGTGTTTAACGGTCAAGAAAAATAACATACGCTACACTTTTATTACATTTATGTTAACGCATTATTTTCTATGCGGATTATGGTTTAGGAAAAACGTAATAGTACATTTTTCTTTTGTAATACATTATTCTGTAAAAAAATTCTTTTAATTTTTTTCCCTAACAACACTTGTAAAATGATCAAGCTACAGCCGTATCGTTTATTATACGTATACTTATCGTCGCTTTAGGCTTATTAATATGGTTTATGATATTTTTCTGTCGTGTTTACCCATTATATTAATATGTTTCTGTCGTGTAGGTACGTTACGATTGCGTTGTTCGACGGGGTCGAATTATTACTGTCGGGTTTCCAAATCAAACTACACCAACAGCATTTTTATAAGTAATTAATAAATTGCTGCAATGTACATAAATTATTTCCTCGTCGCAAATAAACACTTATAAACAAAAAGAAAGTACCGTTGTCTGGACTGCCAGAATATTTCGAGTGAAATTGAAATTATATACACACACTTGGGTCATTGTTTAACAATAAAATGTTATATAGATTAGTTAGCGCTAAGTACTATAACTTACCGTAACCGGCTATATGACACTGAATCGAAGGAAACCGAAACCGTAATAAATTCTAGTTTCTAACCGCTTGACCCGTCGTGGCCGTTAAGATCCTCTTTTCTCGAGTCTTGTTGCAAATCAAAAAAATATATATATACTACAATTATTATTGCTCGTTCTCCATAGAGATAACCTAAAAAACTGTATCACGTGGTTTGTTTAAGGCGAGGATCTACATTTCGCCTATTCTTATTAATATAATAATGGAACTTTTAAAAATACAAATAATTGCCTTAGGGTAGGGTGGAGAGGAAAATATGATCTTAACCCTAGAGTGGAACGTCCAGCTATTTATCAATGACGTAAACTTTTTATTACTTCTAATCGGTATTATTATTATTTTATTAACAAATAATAATGATTAGTTGTGTAAACTATGCCGGGTATGCGAATCGCTTATGTATATTGTATTATTTTTTATTATAGAAGCGTAAAGAGGAAAAAACCTGGTGTTAATAATAATATTACTGATAAACCAAATACCGGGCGGTGGCGAGGGCTTCGTAAACTTTTACATAATATTTTTTTTTATTAATACCAGGCGGTCAGAACGTCTGTGCGACGGCACCTTGAGAAACGGGCGGTGGATGGCAGCGGCGGCGCTTCCCGACAACCGGTTTCCACGAGAGCTCCCTCTCTACGGTGGCCGGGACGCGCCCCACTCATGGCGTGTGAGATTTTTACCCGTCAAAGTAGCCGCCGCGCCGCTACCACCGTCACCGATTCACACACGGCGGCGACCAGGTAAATCGAGCCGTTACCGGAGTACCGGACTAACCAGCAGTCGACTGCAGTTTAGTACCCGCAGATACGTCGACCGCCGTCGGTTATTGTCGTGCGTGTGCGTTCATCACCGTATTCGCCGTTCCGTCAAAAATCACAGTGGTGTTTTCAAAATTGTTACTTCGAACACGAGCCTGGCCGTTATTTTTACAATACCTTCTTACCGTTAACACTCCCTTACCCCGTTTGCATTGCGTGGTTAATTTAACCTTTGTAACAGCCTAACTGAAAACGACAAAATGGTATCCGGAAAAACTGTAAGTCCTTGAAACTGTGCTCTTTTTTATATTAATATTATTTCAACACTAATGTTTTGTACATTGTGGGCGGCAATGCGTGATTGATGTATCCAAAAATAACACTGGCGCACGTCATTTCCTCTTTACAAAAATATCATCATTAAATTGCAAATACAGTCAGCGGAGTTTAAAGACGATGACATCACACGCGCGTATTTAATTTTTTTCCCTTCTACCCCGCCATCGCCTATTCCAGTCTTGTATTTTCCGCCATGTAACGCTAGTTTGTAAAACACGTTTCGTGTCGCATATTTGCCCTCAACAAAATTAATGTTAATCAAATAATTCAAAAAAAATATATCGAAATTTTCCAGATGAACGTGAGGGTGACCACGATGGACGCCGAGCTGGAGTTTGCAATCCAGCAGACTACCACCGGCAAACAACTGTTCGACCAAGTGGTGAAGACCATCGGGCTAAGAGAAGTGTGGTTTTTCGGTTTACAGTACACGGACAACAAAGGCGACATGACCTGGATCAAATTATACAAAAAGGTACTCGTTTTTTTCCCGTTAAAACGAATAATAATTTGGTTTAAAGACATGTAAACCCTGGGTAGTCAAACGACAAACGTCGATCGCCGGTGTGTTTAATACAGTCGTTAACGTCTGGCGGGCGACACGGCGACCTTGTATAAAATAGATAAGTCGCGTGCACGTTTGGTCGTTATTGCCGCTTTCAATTTCAGTGCGATTTTTTTAGTTTTACGTGCTTGCCTAGAATAATATGGCCGACCGATACATAAAAACCACCGCAGCCGCCACCTGTTTAGCATACTTGAAGACTGCGTGTGACTAACGCAGCGCGCCAAAGTCACAGTTTAATGTCATTAAACAATTAGGTTATGCAAATCCACGGATAGACCGTACGGGCTAGCGTCTCCATAATCGCTGTTTAAACAGGCATACACTCGATTGAGATAATGCTGTTCATCTATATTATGTGGCAACACGTTTTTTTTTATGGAGCACCAAGCAACAATGATATGCCGTGAAACGTTTTTCTTTTGCTTCAAAATTTCATTATGACCTTAAGGGCGGTCGGCTCAAACAGGTGTGCGTCCCTCCTCTCCCCTCCCTGACAACAAGAACGCTTTATTTCTTCGGTCGTCGTACGTCCAGACCGCCAGTGTACTACCCTCGACCGTCGTGTTTCCGCCAGAAAATGTGTTTACTATTATACACCAATATAATAGTCTATGTCATATTAACTTTTGTATACGCGTGAAGGCCGTGTTCAGGTCGAGGGTGTGGCGGCGGTAAAATTGTCGTCGACGATAAGAATAACCCGATAAGCGGTTTTTATGGATAAACCGTTTATGAAACTTGTGCTCCGTTTCGCTGGCACTATGCTTACCGGATCACCATTGTTTTACCGGGGAAATGGTAATAATTTAAAAATAATAACAGTTTCATGTAAATTCTATATTATTACAGAACTTTTACGGTCGTCGGTCTCAGCTTTAGTTATTCTTTCTTATTTCCACTCCGACATTTTACTTGTAGGGAGTATTTCAATACATTAACATGCAGTTATTATCAATAATTGGAATTGAGTGGAAGCGTTTCTTGTCGCCACTTACACCCTCTCCTAAATAGGAATGACGACAAATGTTGTAGATTTTGCTCGATTTATTTGATATGAACAGCCGTTTTATTTATGCGTACGTTTTAGCGTGAAATATCTGTTTTGGAAAAGTAAACGTTGTCACCGCTGGTCGATTTCGAGGTCAGGTGAAAATTTTTATCGCAAGTCCTAGCGGGGGATGTTACAGGAAATGTTGTGAAACACTACTAGTATTGCATTAAAATGACGCCACGCAGTATGACACGCCCCTCCATTCATAAGATGCAGTTGTCTTTGCCCTTTAACGGGTATTTTTTCCTCTCTAAATACTACTTGACTTGTGTGTTATATTGTACTCATTCGCCGTGACTTTCGTTATTAATTAAAAAGCACGGTCAAACCGGATGTATCCGTTTTAATTGACGGCTAAACGTCTTTCGATTTCTCTCTAAATTGTTATTACCGAGGGCAGTTTCTATACAGCTGTGTTTGTGTTTTTATAAATGATTACCATAACCGCATGCATTTGTCCGAAACTAAAGGAAAAATAAATGCATTTAAATATTTATTTAAAAAAAAACTCGTATACAACCTGTAATCACATTATATTATCGCGTTTAAACAGCGGCTTTGCGTGCATGACAGAAGAGAGGCAAACGTTTTATTTAACGATTTCCTTTCGTGCTTGTTCATATTTTTATCAGTTAAATTTTATTTTAACGACATATTAAAAATTACCAAGCGTTCCTAAATTGTTCACATATTACAGGCCTCAAAGACCTTGCGTATCTCTTATAGCAGACTTGCTTGCATGCATGCATGTATACATAATTAAATATATATACACACACACCCCACCGATACTACTTTCTAAAACGAAGATACATCTTTGTGTCAAGGTCGTCGCATCGAATGCCGACAAAACCGTTTGTATACATTGTAGACCGCAAACGATGCCGGCGTGGCGTGTGAAGAATATTAAAATAAATGACATCAAATGCAATGATGACGATGGAAAAAAAAGCGCGCACACACTCGGTGATAAGGACGAATAATAGCAATTAAAATAATAATTGTTCCCCACCCTCAGTTTGTAAATGGACGCTACATGTCAAAATCGTTGAATTCCTGTACACGCAAACCTGAGAAATGTTTAAACAAAACATATAAAACACTAGCGATTAAATACATACATTTTTCTTGTGCAGGACAAATAACAAAAAATTGGAAAATAAAGGTATTTTAAAAAAATGTCTGTATAGATATAGTTTACTATCGGGATTTAATCAAATTACCTGGCAACTTTACTGTTTACCTTAAATTACATAGAAATTACTATCACGATGTCTTTTTTATTTTGTTTATTTCGTGTGGCATAATATCACATTAATTAATATTTTTTTAATAAATGTTTGAAATTTTATGTAACTAAAATTTCGATTTGATTACAGTGGAGCCGTGTTTTATTACAAGTACCTTAAGATTAGTACTTACTTGAGCTCACCGTAATGTTCATATGCATATGCTATGTTACTGCATCATTCGAGAGGGGGTGAGGATGCTTTGGGATGTGGGTTTTTTGGCGAACACGAACAAACATAAGCTCGTGTTACATTACACCAAAATGCTGCTCAACCTTGAACCCACCTTTAGAAGCCTATGGCGTACATTTCCCATTAAGGGGCCTCTACACCAGCATTTATTAAGGCGCATTGTATAGGCAAATTTCAACTTATAAACATATTTATTAACACAGGAAGGAGGAATCTATTTTTTTATTTAACGTAAACAAGCTTTATTTTTGTACAAAAAATAAGTTTCTTCTTAAAAATAATCCAATTTGAGTTTCGAAAAAACAATAGGATTCTTGACCAAATTTACATGGTATCGATCGTGGCACAATTTTAAAATTATTTTTAGTCAATTAATAATTTCCATGTGAACAATTGTAAAATATATAACGATTTTTGCAATAACATTAAAATTGTACTTGGATCGATACATCGAGCAAGTATTAAAAAATCTTTAACTGTTTTCAAAACTATTGTCGGATCTCGCGTTTCAGAGCACTGTTAAAAATAAAAGGAGTTGTATTCAATAAAAAAATACGCAGGTGTCGAGGCCCCTTAAACTTTGTTGAAATGTAGTTATCTATTGGTCTGTTTATCATAACAAAAGCGCATACCTCAGTATCACTAGAGTTTGATTTGTCACAACTCGAAAACTAGAAAAATATTCATTCATATTCTCGAAGTCGTCCTTGTGCTCGCTTTCCGTGTTGTAGCTTTTATGCGAAGTCATGCCAGTTTTTGTATGCAGCATTGAACACAAACAACAGCGTTTAACTTAATTTAAAACAGTTTTGCAATAATAAAAAGTGCTTGATTTCGGAGTGGGAAAAACCCTACGTTTTTGTTTTAAGCTTATCTTGAAACAGAACTTTTTAGGGCTCACGTTAACTTGGTAAATGGGTGACTACCAAACATTTTCCGGGCTTAATAAAAAAACCCACTGTACTTTCTTATTTAGTTTTTTTTTCAATCAACTCTGCTTGGTTTGGTCTACGGTTTTTATAACCAAATATTGGATTTCCGGTTTTGATCTTGTAAGAATCTGGGTAATGCAATTTTTGAATTTGCTTGATGTTTTATTATTACCGACAGCCTGTTCGCCTACCATTGAAAACACTTGACTATCGTCTACCATCTGTTACCAATGTGTGTGTATGTATCATGCAAAGGCGACCGCGGCGCAGCGGAAACAACAACTTGTCTACTCAATTTGGTCACTGTAGGCACATTGAGGGGGGTCTTTCTTTGTCGATTATCTTGACATCATCTGTTGCACGTTTTTTTTAACACGAACCCACTTAGCTTGATGTTAATACTATTTTAACTCTATTAAATCAAAGATCAAGGTGAATTATAAATTTAATTTTGAGCTAATTCAAACGAAGCGTTTGTCTGACTCATTTGGTCTGTTTCGAATATAGTCTTACCACAGTTGTACTGATACTACTAAAACCTTATTGACTAAGTTTTGTGATGTGTCTCGCACGCGGCACACAGCCGGATAATTTATGCAAAGTCGTGTGGAATTATTGGCAAAACAGGAAATCGCCCGTTGAAGATACCATTGAATACTTCGACCCAAGACACAAATATTGGTCACAGGTACAGCTATGACGTGTAATAAATACTACTAGAAATGTTATCGGATAGCTGTAGTGCAGCCTGTACAGTTACATTATATATTTATATATATATATATATTTCACCTCTTATCATTCCGACGCATCATATTCTATTATTTATTTATGAAGTATGTGTCCCCTCCGCTTTGTAGTGCCCAGCAGTTAGTGTATTATATTTTTTACCACACACATATTGTCGATATAAAAATATCGCTCATTTTTTGCGTGCCTATTATAATGCAGTCACTCTAATTTTCCATCTGACCATTTGTATTGTCAACGTCCTTCGTACACACAATTGCTGACATAATAATGAGTTAACCCACTTATTTTAATATGTTTTTTTATAGCTTTTCACCGTTTGCCTAGACTAAAATGTAATTCGAATGTGTATACTTTAAAATAATATTGTATTGTTATAGTATTTCTCTAGAAGGTATCCCTGTAGTCGTGTGAATTCGAATGATTATTTTCACATATTAATTAATATAATAAAATAATAATATTTGAATGCAATATTTGCACAAATTGTTTGTAATTACGAAGTTTTATGCTTATTTCACGTAACACATAATATTCAACTAATCTAGTCCCACGGAGAATTTTTCATTAATTACATTTTTATGATTTTCATAACTGTTGAGAATTAGAAACGAGTCGTTTAAAAGTTTAATTGGACACCGCGTAGTGGATTTATAAAAAAAATCCTTGTTTGGCACGCATGAACAATTGTGTATGAAGTGTAGTATCTACAAACTACAAATGAAATGATTGAAGAAAACGGTTCGGGTTTTCATTGGGTTTATTGATTTATTTTGTAATATATTCATTTGTAAAACATACTATAAAATAAAAATACACTTCAACAAATCTCATGCAGCCCAGCCCGTATGTGCTTACTGCTTAATATAATATTATGTACCTAATAATAGATTTGTGATAGGAACACGTTTATCGTAACTAATTTGAATATAATAAAAAAAAATAATAATAAAAAATGTAACCTAGGTTATAGAACTGGTAGCAATGAACGAGTTAGTGGAAAATTATGTTTAGATACCACGCGGTGCGCAATCGGCATGTCGGTTAACGTTCTACTTAAGTAATTATTACATTTGATTTAAACCACGGTTTTTCGTTTATTACAAATTTAAACACCCATGAAATATGTACACTTAAAAAATATGTATTACCGTGATTTTTTCATGTACTTATGTATAATTTCGTTCACGTGTTATAAGGTCGTCGCGATCGCGACCTTCGCTGTATTCCGTAATTTTTAATTGTAATGACGACCGCAAAACATCATACATAGGTTAAACCCAGGGTCGGGTTGACTCAGAAATACCTACCATGCCACTAATTTTATATAGAGCCTATAAATCCAGTAAGCTCGTTAAAGAATAGGGCAAGCAATTTTACAAATAACTTGGAAAAAACTCTTAATATTTACTGGGGATCTTTGTGGTTTGTAATTATAAATGGTGGCGTTTGTGTATTATAATTTATACATACATGTTTAAATTTTATATGTATACTCCATTTCAGGTTTTTAGACCTGAAATGAATGAATAAACCTCAATCTTCATTTCGGATCGTTAAAATTTCCAATTATATATTTGTGAAGATATTACCGGATTTTGCTTCTATAATAATTTTTTATTAATAAAATGCCAGAAATGTATTAAAAGTGGAGGGGAAATTGAATTTAACATTTACTTATATTTTTGGAAACATTCTGGTGCCCTCTTGGCTAGTGCGTAAGTTGGACGGAAAGGATATATATTAAAGTGCAAAAGATTGCTGAATATTTGATAAAAATTTACCCAGGAAGATGCTCGAAGACGACTTATTATTTTAAGGGTAAATCGCCATTCATTAATGCGTGTAACATTATATTTTACACATTTTAATTTTTTTGTCTGTTATGGCAAATTTTTGGTAAGCAGCTTTCGTAGAAATCTCTTTTAGACGCATCTATAAAACTGATTTTCAATTTTTTAATTATTAAGGCAACTATTCAAAAAAAAAATTTAAGCTACAATTTGTAAAAATCATTTTGGCGTTCCAAAATGGGATAATTACATTTTGGAAAAATTGTACATAAGTGCAAAAAACGGAAACTTCGAGTTTTCTCCACATGCAAATTTATATAATAATATTTAGACGGTGAACACCTTCAGCACGAAAAACGGGTTAGGGAAAAAATTGATTTATCCCCCTTTAGGCATTATATATATTAACACAGCAAAACGGTATCTGTTTTGGTGTTTACTTATTGAAACTTTTATAACGCATATAGACCCTTTTTTTTTTGTATAAAAACATATTTCTGCGAAGTAACAGTACGTTCCTCAATACTTAGCAAAGCATCGATCGTGGTATAATTTATAAATAACTTCTAGTTGATTAATTATTATATTTGATAAATTGCAATTCTTAAGTGATCGACGCAGCACCAAGAAAGCATAGAAAAATCTGTATCTGTTTTCAAAACTATTATTGGATTTTGTGTTTCCTTGTTTATTTGTGTGAAATTTTGTTATTTTTAATTTTTCGTCCTACTTAAACAACATTCTCGCTCATATACTCACTGCTAGTATACTTAAGTAATATAAACTAATATACCTAATATACTAATATACACATTGTACAGGTGTTTTATCTTAAATCTATGCGTATGGCACAAGTCAGAATTTTGTTGTGGCTTGAAATAAAATGAGTTATGCGCGTTGGCGTTTCACGGCACAAATTCTTTACAAGGTCAGCAATGTAATAATAATATTATTAGGTTTTCAATGAAGGTTTTTCACGTTGTTACTTCTATACCGCCGTCTATTATGGTAATTATTATTGGTGACTTATTTTAGTGCTTTTAAAGGCCTAAGCGTAAAATATTGTGAACTCGACTATACACATTTTGTGTGATTGACATTACGAGTTTAATTTATACAGAAAAAAAATTCTAAGGAAACACCGCGCCCTAGGCGTTTAATCTATTAATTTCAATTCAATTAACTTATATAGCTAATACAGTTTATTAAAAAATCTTATTATATTTATATTTACAAATATAATATGATATTTTACCACGCTTGTACTTGTAACCTAAACTTTATTATTATTTTATTTGTTAGAGCATATTAATATGTTTGTTTTGTCTTAACAATTAAATGATATTGTGTACATTGAGTTAATTTGTAATTCTTCACACTATTCTTGTAATTTTAGACGTATGCTCCTTGTATTTAAATTACTGTTTTAAAAACCTATACAATGATGCATTATATCTCTCTGTAACCCTTAAGTTGGGTTATAAAAAGATAACAGTTATAAATTAAAAATATATATGATATTAGCCATATTTAAATTGGATGTATTATAATGATGTCTTACAGCACTATTGTGTTTTGGTCAGAACACTTTGATTTTTGAGAACATTATTGTTTTTTGAAACATAATTATTATGCACCAACGTGTGATATTATTCAAGTTTTTTTTCATTTATCTTTTATTTGTTGTAGTATGACATATATTTAAATATTTTAGGTCATGAGCCAAGATGTCAAAAAAGAAAATCCTTTACAATTCAAATTCCGGGCCAAATTTTACCCTGAAGATGTCGCTGAAGAACTTATTCAAGATATTACTTTAAGATTGTTTTACCTTCAAGTAAATATTGAACAATGGTCTAGTTTTATATATATATATATATTAAACATTTAAATAACATTTTTAAATCTTTATTAGATAATTAATATCTTGTCCAATGACATTTTAGGTTAAAAACGCCATTTTATCAGATGAAATTTACTGTCCATCTGAAACGTCTGTACTTCTCGCTTCGTATGCTGTTCAAGCTAGGCATGGCGACTTCAACAAAGTCACTCACACTCCAGGTTTTCTTACAAATGACCGTTTGTTACCACAGCGGTGAGTAGTCGAGTTTTTTTTTAGTTTACTTTAATATTAATAAATATCCAAAATTAGATCAAATCAAAATTAAATCAATTTAGTTAATAACTAAATTTACTGTTTTAGTGTTATGGATCAACATAAAATGACACGTGAAGAATGGGAATCGAGCATTACTACTTGGTGGCATGAACACAGAGGTATGTTGCGTGAGGATGCTATGATGGAATATCTGAAAATAGCTCAAGATCTTGAAATGTATGGAGTGAACTATTTTGATATTCTTAACAAAAAAGGAACTGAATTATTCTTGGGCGTCGATGCTCTAGGTCTTAATATTTATGAAAAGGATGACAAGTGAGTTCTCATTTTAAGCTTAGTCAAATTATGATGTTTCTTTATTACTTGCAAAGTTTTAAAACTGTAAATATTTTAATTATTTAATAATTAATAAAATCTACGTTTGATATACGTAGTGATCTAACATTAAAAAAGAAAAAACTTACAATTGTAGTAATTTGTTCTTTTGAAATGGTTAATAATAACATGTTTTTCATTTTTCTAGGTTAACGCCAAAAATTGGTTTTCCTTGGTCTGAAATTCGTAATATTTCTTTTAACGATCGTAAATTTATCATCAAACCTATTGATAAAAAGGCTCCAGATTTTGTATTCTTTGCTCCACGTGTTCGTATCAATAAACGTATTTTGGCGTTATGTATGGGAAATCATGAGTTGTATATGAGAAGACGTAAACCTGATACCATTGATGTTCAACAAATGAAAGCTCAAGCAAGAGAAGAAAAACTTGCCAAGCAACAACAAAGGTAATTTTTTTATAATTATTATAAAAACAATTAGGTACTACGACTGCAACTTTATATTTATTTAGGGAAAAACTTCAACTAGAAATAGCTGCTAGAGAAAGAGCCGAAAAGAAACATCATGAGTATGAAGAACGTCTAAAACAGATGCAAGTTGAGATTTCTAAGCGTGAACAAGATTTGTTAAGTGCTCAGGTAATAAAGTTTGAATATTCACGTCTACCTTACAATTAAAATTTTCATCATCATCAGCTAATGAGCCTTTAAGGCCTAACGCTGCCATCATGAGATGAAAGTTTCTAGACAAACAGTTGAAACATTAAATATTTAAAATAAAATAATGATACTGTTACACAAAGCAGTAAAATAGTTAATTTTAATCAAAAAGATTGGTAGTTTAGTAATTTGTTTAAATTTTAGGATATGATTCGCCGTTTGGAAGATCAACTGAATAAGCTCCAATTAGCCAAAGAAGAATTAGAGCAAAGGCAAAATGAATTGCAAAAGATGATGGAACGTTTAGAAGAGTCCAAAAATATGGAAGCAGCAGAAAGAGCAAAATTAGAAGACGAGATCAAAGCTAAACAAGAGGAAGTTATGCGCATTCAATCTGAAGTTGAAACTAAGGATGAAGAAACTAGACGTTTACAGGCAAGTTGATAAATTTATATTTATTTTCATTGTGAAGTATAATTTTCATTGGTTGACAAATCATATATCAATTGAAAACCGTATATTAATACAAAGAAATAAACTTGCTTTAATAGGAAGAAGTTGAGGAGGCAAGACGTAAACAAGAAGAGGCCGCAGCAGCAGCACTCGCAGCAGCTGCAACGCCTAAACATCATCATGTAATGGAAAACGAAAACGAAAATGATGACAATGATGAAATGCTCAATGGCCATGAGTCTCGTGACTTAGACACTGATATGGATATTGTTGATCCTGTAGAAGAGCGTCGTACACATGCTGAACGTAATGAACGACTTCAAGATCAGTTGAAGGTATTATTAATATTCATTATTCATTCTTAAGATATCATGCATGTTTAGAAAAATAAATGTATTTTTGACCTTATTATAAAACTTTTTTTAAACCTTAATAGTCTTAGTGAACTTGATGAAATAAATTATAAAACAATATTCTAATATTTTTATTTTTGATTAACTAGATGTTGAAACAAGACTTGGCACAGTCACGTGATGATACCAAGGAAACTGCGATGGATAAAATTCATCGTGAAAATGTACGTCAAGGACGAGATAAATACAAGACTCTGCGTGAGATAAGAAAAGGAAACACAAAACGCCGAGTTGATCAGTTTGAAAACATGTAATCATTACACAGGGTAAATTATACATATGCGAGAGAGGTGGTTTTGGCCTATAATCGTTATGTTTCAGAAAGGTCATTTTACATCTTGGTCCATAATTATGAATATTAATTAATTATTATTTATTAAGGTTGTAATAACAAATTGGTTGAACAAGTTATGTAAAATGTTTTTAATTTAGTTAGTTTTTATTAAATCTATTATTTTTCTTAATTTTTAAGTATTTTTTATTTATTTAAATATAATTTTATTGTTCTGCATACTAAATAAATGAGTACAATAAAATTATGTTTATGTGCCCGATAAAATGTAATCGTGCATCATGGCAAAACATCGTATTACTAAATTATTTAACACTCCTTTCACATTCCAAGTTAAAATGGAGGGGGCACTTAATTCTTTCTGCTCAATATCTTTGTATTAAAATAAAATCACGAACAATATTTTGAAGCCTAAACTCTATTTTATTATTATTGTTATACGATTATTTTCTTGATTTATTTATTATTATACAATTTCTATTATTATTATTATTATTATTAATATAACTCCATAGTAGAAGTTTTTAAACAATTTATTATTATTACTATTATTATATGTTCATAATAGTTAATAATTTGTTGGTCTTTCTACAGACCAGTATTATTTATGCAGAAATATATATATTAATATATTTACATTTATTTATATTGTATACTCTACATTTTTCTGTTAAGATAGTATACCATATGTTTACTTATTATTATTAAAATACATATTATTTTTAATATATTATATTTTTTCAAAAAAAAAAAAAAGATTGAATGAAAATGAATAGAAGAAAAACAAAACGTACACCTTTTTTTTGTAATACTATTATTGTTGTCAAGAAATTTAACAACAAACCAATAAATTTTGTTATAATGAAAGGTAATAAAAGTAATTGATTTAAAAATTAAATTTCTAAACAATTTATTGGTTCCATGTATTTGTTAAGTTTTGTGACTATTATGTAACGAGTTGGTAAGTAACATTTTACAGGAAGATCATGTGGTGACAACCAGTGGTGTAGTCGGGGGGGGGGGGGTGTTTATGGTATATAAACTCTTTGGCCTTTTTTTTTAGCTTGGCTATTGAGTATTTAACTAAATACTTGATTATTTTAATAACTATGAATATATAACATGGTTATCACACCGTTTAAAGTGTACCAAAAGCCACTACTTTACCTAAAATATTTGTCTACTGACCCTGGCCTGGTAATATAAATCCTAATAATAAATCATGGGACACGATTTTTTAACTTGTTTATTAATTTACCTTAGATAATGTTGTTCTTATGATAAGGACTTGAAAATTTTGTTAGATCCCACGAAGGTGGTGGAATCGAGGCCAGGAACGGAGCCCTTTAAATTAATTATGGTGTAGAAAGTATTGACCACCAAGGACAGAATTGTACAAAGTCTATGAATATTTTTCGCCTCTACCTCTGACTCAAGTGAAGTTTGAAAGATCTCTTAAATAATGTTAAAAACACGATTGAGGTGGTCAACTCATAAAATATAATATAATACTTACAATATAATTATATAAAATAATTTAGAGTCACTATTTTTAATGCAGTGCAAACGTGATCTTGTCAATGAAATAGATGAAGTGAACCTGATATAAAGCCTTAATGGTCAAACAGCAAAGAAATGGGTTGTCAACTTCCTTATTAATGATTATACAATTAATTTATATATTATATGTTATTATCACAAAATATAATAATGAAAGATTTTAACCAAAAGTTTACTTGTAACATTATTGAGTTATGCCATAAATATTAAAATAATAAAAGCCTAAAAACAATATATTTTATTTTATTCTCTTATCCCCAAAACTATTAGCTGCCGATGTCCTTATTATCCTTAAGGGCTTAAGGCAATGAATTTTTGTCGTAAAATATTTAAAAAAATTAATTACATTTTATTGATAATTTTGAAATGCACTTAAGTATCAGTCATTTTATTTTCGGCTATTGCTTTCTTTAGTTTTTAACTGGCCACATAACATGGATTTTACAACTAAAATTAATAGTAATAATAAAATGTGTTTTATTTATAAACAAAATTATAATTTTTAAATATAATGATATATGAACAAAATAATATATTTATGATAAATAAAAGGCTAATTATGACATTTTTCATGAGTCCGTGACCAAAAATAGTTTAAATCTATATGTGTTAAACATTAAATTGTTAGCCTCATCTGAAAATTCCAATGATAGTTGACTGGGTAATGAAGTGCCAAAAATACACTAAAAAAAAAGACAAATAAATAAGGTGATACCTCTGTAATAAATATTTAATAAATATAATGGCCAACCTTAGTCGCAGCTACAGCTCGTTTTACGTTTTTTACAACATATTCATTTATGACATCTAGATTAATGGGGTCAATATGATTCTCAATCAACAATATTATTTCTGAACACTTTGCCGACAAGTTCTAAAAAATTAAAATACATGTTTTAGACCACAGTGTTCACATGATAATACAATTTTTATATTACTTTATTTTCCACACCAATAAAAAGTGTATTGATGTACTTCAGATCAAACAACTTTTGAATCTGATACCTAGATTTCAAGATTACATCAATTTCGCTATTACTTTTATATGCTGATAGTATCCAATCAGTACTCAAAGTAATAGTTCTTTCTTGAACAAATCTATAAATAAATATAATTATAATAACAAAATATACTACACAGTGAAATAACGACTGCCCTAACAAAAAAGGTCGTACTCACTATTCTCAAACTTTTCAGGGTGAACAAAATATTATTTAAATTTATATTTTTACTATGTTTTATAAAAATAAAAAATTATTCAGACAAGAGATTAGACCGTTTAAAGAAATACGGAAATAAATCCACTGTCAGATGGTGGCAATAACTTAAAAACGAGGAACAACTTTTTTGTTGTGGCAGTTAATATACTATACTAATTATGGTTTAAAATTACCTGGGAGGTAACGTAACAGCCAAACAAGTGATAATGGTGTGAATGAATTCCTGCAATGGAAATGAAGGTTGATTGGGCACGTGTAACTTAGATATTATTAATTCGCCACTTTCCTTTTCCACTTCCATGTCAACAATTTCCCATTTCTAAAAAAAAAAAAAAAAAAAATGAGTTTACACTGTGTTGTTGGTTACTTGTCACAAAGTCCTACCTACAATGACTTGAAACTGTAAAAAAAAATCATCAACTTTTAATAATCCCCCATACATGTTTAGGCTGTTTTAAATTATTATTTTCAAATATATGTAAAATTCAAAAACTGACAATAACATTATTTAAATAATAATTTATAAACTGAAATTTTAAAGGAAATAATTACAAATTAAAAATATTAATATTCTTTTTAAATGCATCAAAGTTTACATTAGAGTTGTCGCAGTTTTGAACTGGGGCGTCATTGGTATACACTTAAATACATGTTCTTTGAGGATATAGCATGGGTTATTTTTTTTTTTTTTTGTGTAAATACTGAAAATTTTATTGTTTCACAAAAAAGCTTTAAAAAGTTATCAGACAACAGACATAAATATTGATACTTACAGGAATTGTTGATAGCATTTCTCCTAGTGTATGTGGTAAAAAGCGTTTTTGAAAACTTTCAAATATTCTATTTGTGACAATGTCACTCCATCTATTCCAAGCAACAATAGATGATTTCTGTATTGAATCTTTTGTGGATTTCCAAAAATTAAACTGAAACAAACATTTTTTTTTTTTTTGTACAATTTTATATAAATGTATATAATTAGTTTATACTAGAATTGTTTCCCACTATTTATCGAATGATAATGTATCAATCATTTGTTACCTGTTGGTACAATGATATTAAACAGTGTTTAAATGTTGGACATAGCACCGGAAAATTCCATAAAAACCTAGCTATTAACAATATTTGAGCTTCGGATAATGTTCCCTTTTCTACTAATTCCACCATGTGTTCTGTTAGTCTAAATAAACATTTTATTTACAAACAAATTTTAATCTTTTTATTTAATTTTAATAGTTATTATTGACCACATACTTGTTAACAAATCCATTACAGCAATGTCCTTGATGGTGTCGAAGTGCCCAAGGATCTTCGTCTTCAGGGTAATATTCATCTAAAGTCTTTGCTAAAGAAGATATTCTTTGCTCAAGGCACGTGCACAATTCAGCTGTTTTATCAGAACAGCCAATTGAACGAGTTTCTAAAAACTCATTTGTATCAGAAAATAAGTTTTCTCGCAATGGAGATTCTTCTGGTCTAAAAAAAAAAAAAAAATGTATTATATTAACAAAACATTGCGCTCTAATGCGTTTCTTTATGCCATTTCATAGGTACCTATTTCATGTTAATCTACAAATTTTATTACGCCTTATCCTAAGCAATGTTTTTCTTTAAATAATGTATAAGATTAAATAGTTAAATAATTTTTTTAACGATTTTATATACTCATAGACAATTTAGTAAATTTTTAATTTTTTTTAAATACGTCAATCAAACAAAAGAAAATGTTAATTCTTACTGAGTTAAAGCATTGTTTATGTCTGAAATAATTGTGGGGAATACATGCTCCCATTGAGTAGTTAACAATTCTTTGGTTCTTTGAGAGAATAATGGACAGTATAATTCAGACCATAAATCCAGTTTACATGGGATTTCTTCGGTAATAGCTGCCCAATGTTGAGGATATTCCTAAAACAAAAATAAAATAAATAATCATACAGACAGACAAATACCATCAGTCCCTTGAAAGAAAGACATTGGGAATATCAGGAACATGAACATGCGGGATCCACGGTGCATTGCGTGGTATAGGCTTTTGGTAGGATTAACGCGTCGTAGGATTAGTATGGTGTGGCGCAGCTCGTTGATGTGTGCCTCGGCTCGGACGTTCCCAGAAATTGTTGGTGTTTTTGTCATGCCTAAGAAACCCCACACCACGAGCCAAGCAATGCGCCGTGGATTCCTCTTTAATAACGCCTTTAAGCCCAACACAATCAAATGATTTAGCCCATCCCCTTTCAACAAAACATGCAAATGTTTAACAGACCGCTAGCCTTAAGACATTTTTATGTTGAAAAGCAATTTAAAAACTGTCAACTACAAGCCAAGGTAATGATTTATTAATAACTTACTGTCGATAATTTGTTAAGATGGCGTAAAGTTGCCAATGACTGTACACTGTTTAATATGCCAGTTACTTTTGTGCATACAAATGGCTTTGCCCATTCGAGCCAATTGATTACAATATTAGTTATGTAGTCTTTAGACAACTCGTTGGCTATTAAACTACAATCGACTCTGGATAATACAAATGTTGTCAATTAATAAAAATTGAATATTATTATTAACACAAACTAAGGTTATTTGAAGTGATAATGCTAAATTGACGGGAAAAATTGCAGTTTGTCAATCAGCTATTATTAAGTCAAAAAATTTTAAGTTATTATTGTCAGTTAAAGAAAGGAAATATAACATAATTCTAATAGAAGTTTATTACATTTTTTAATGAGATTACTTAAGTGCAATACTGCAAAGAATTTTTTTGTGGCATTGGTACAATAGATGATTTACCGATAACAGCTGCTGTTAGACTATTATTGTAAAATCAATTGTGTGCCAGTAATTTATTTGAATCAATAGTTGTTATGTAAAATTTTAAAAAGTAAATCCATCAATAAAAAATTACATTACAATAAAAAAATGTATACCTTTAATTACCAAAGTATAATTTATACTATATTTATTGTATACTTACAATATAACTATAGGAAAATTAGGACTAGCACATTACTAATATCTAGTCTACTACATATAGTACCAATGCTATTTACCAATTTTATTTAGAATTTCCTGCTACATTACCTAATCATAAATAGGCCTTGTTCTCCTTAATTTCATAATTAAATCATGTTTTATTATTTATATTAAAATTTTATACCTGAATTCTTTGACAGATTTTGGCAAAAAATGTATTCCAAATTTCAATGAGTAATCTAAATTTACTAATGACAATACACTTGGGCCACTTTTAAAAATCTTGTCTATTTTAAAAAAAATGATACCATTATTGCTGTGATCTTGATTGTAATCTAAAAAAATGAATAAATACAAAACATTTTTTAATTTTTTATAAAATAAAATATATTATTATTCTCTATACTCACTAGTAAAACACATGAATAAATTATAAATAGTATTTATAATTAAATTAGCACTACTTTCGATATTTCTATCAGCTGAGCTATTGTCGCTGAGTATGTGTTGTAACATATTTGAACGTAACACTATAAATTCTTTAACCAATAAATGGACATTTGATTCTTCCAAAATTGATAAACTAATAAAACAGCATGCAGCTTTCTAAAAATTAAATTTAGAAATAAATATTATTGAGTTATCTTAAGATGTACATAGAACAAACATAATAAATATAATATAGATATGCCTCATTGTTAGCTCATCAACCTAGTGGTTAGATATAGGCAAATTAAGTCAAGATCTTAATTAAAAAAAAAAATTAGTGCGTTTTTCGTAATATAATAATGAGGAAACTTTGAGGGTAAGTTTACTTTTATTTAACTTTTTTATCGTCAGTTTTCAACATTTTTAACTATTTTTCTTCATTATTATTGGTCAGCTATTAACTGTTTTATTTTGCCAGTAGTGGTCATAGTCTTAAAATATTAATGACACTTAAAACCCAATAGTACACAATGTAAAATTTGGTTTGTTTTAAATAGTGTAATTAAGTTTTTATGTAAGTTATTAAAACAATAATAAAAATGAAACTATGCGAAATATAAACTAAAACCAATATCATACAGTGTATAATGTTTTTCTATGTATTCAACATTTTAAAACTACAGCAACTACAAACAAAATAGGACAGTTAAAGAAATAGATAGGTAGTTTTACACCTCAAATTATACATTGTATTTATACTTAAATATAAAACAATACCAAAGTATATTATATTCAATTTTATACCCCATACATTTTAAAAGTATATAATTTGTTATAATAACCATCTTTGCTGTAATCATTCGATCTATAAAAAAAATATTTACTTTTGCCATAAAACAACCAGTATAAACTTTAGTCTTAACCAAATTTAGTCAAAATTGTCTTATATTTTTAATTAAAAATTTTGATAGAAAATATAATTAACTAAATAAGAAAAATCAAAGGACTTCAATACTATACGTTTTAAATTTTTATGAGGAACCAATAATGGATATTAATTTTACTACAGTAATATCTTTAACAACAAGTAATATTTAACAGAAAACATAAATTTTTATTATTTTTACCTCTGGAGGGATTTGATTAGATATTTCTAATCTAACCTTTTCTGATATAGTTGTTTGAAAATGTGAATGATTTAACCACACTCTATCAAGAAATGGCGTAGCTTTTTTTAATCCATTTTTCATTATATCGTCGAGATCTGTAGCATTGAGAATAGTAAAACAATTAATTGTACTAGTATAGTTAAATAATTTACTAACTTTTCTTAACGAATAAAGAAAATTGAAACAATTGTGTTGCAGTCAAATAATCTCTTTCATTTAAACAATCCCATATTTGTTCAGATATGTCTATTAAAAGCCTTGTAAGAACTGCAAATGTATCTAGTGTGGTGTCTCTGCAATCAATGAAAAAATATTGTAAATAAAAATGAAAAAAAGTAGTTTAACACCAAGTAATTTAAAATTTACTGTTCTAAATTGGTTATGTATTTTTTTCTTTTGGTTTTCAAAATATTATCAGCAACGTGTCCAATGTTTCCAACTATTGTGGCCATTGAGCTAATTGTATCAGCTGCGTCTATGAGATCTCTATATTTTTCACTACACACATAAAGTAAGATAATATATAAACCTGGTATTATTTTATTTTATTTTTTTTATTAGTCTAGACATTTACCTTACTAGCGATTTTAGTTGATCTGCTTTTCTATCAACATCTTTTTTTAAGGTATTTTGAAAGGTTTCGATTTCTGCCAAACTATATGTTTCAAAGAGTTCATCGGCAAATTCGTCAGCGTTTTTGGTTGGTAATTTTAAATCCATTTTACTCAACAATATTCAAATCAAATTCCGGTTACACATTTACAAATTACAACACGAATCATTTTATCTTTCTCTAATCAATGACTTGTTATTTTTCCGGGCAAACTCGATAAATAGTATGCAAATTCTTTACACTATTTTTAATTAGTGAAATTCATTAAACCGCTACTCAAAATTTGGTATAAATATCTTTTCATTTCCAGGTAGCGTTATAGCTATTAAGACATTTAACATAATTCGTATTATTTATTTTACACATCGCCGCCCGCACAAAATACGTGTATGAAGCTAGCAACAACACAGAAATCAGAATGTTCTGTGTTATGATGATAATGAAGATGATCTTGATAACAAATTTATTTACCGTGATAATTATTGATAACATACCGACAACAAAAAATAGTTCTTATATTAAGATGATTACCGAATTCAAGTATACATGTTATAGACGCTAAACAGTGTTGCAGTAATAGTTTAGATTGTAAAGACTATACTTATTTAGTTATTGTTACTTTACTTTAATTTGGTTTATATTTTCTTATAAATATATAATAATTGCTTAAAAGTCACATAATCATGGTGCTTGGACCATTAGATCACTCTGTTCAAACAGATATTATATTTGTCATAGAGAAAACAGCCATGAATGCTTATATTAGTGAATTAAAAACAAACTATGTAATTCCTACATTAGAGTAAGTCTTAAAACGACCAATTAAATTATAAACGTTGTTATTTACAGTGTTTTACTTTTCATTAGGTATTTCAATCAGGGTCCAATTGAAGAACGAGAATATTTATCTGAAGTAAGTTAACCAATACTAATATATTTATGGTCTTATATACTAACAAAAATGTTGGATGTTTAATGGTACAGAGTGGCAGTGCTATTTATGGTATTGTTCTTTATGAAGCAAATGACTGTAAACCATATCCTTGTTGTCGTACTTATGGGACATTTACAAGTCCTCAAAAAGTCATTAAAATGGTAGAAAAAATTGAGTGAGTATTGTAAATTTAGTTGTTAGCGTTGGCATTTATTAAATAACCACCGATTAAAAATTTTTATGGTCTATCGATAACAAAGTAAGGTTCATTGCTTCCCCTGCACCCTTCCCCGAAATACCAAGTCCGTTTAAAATCATTGTAAAAAATAGGTATTGAACACATTTTTTTAAGATTCTTGAGTGGTATTGACACATTTTATATTTTTTAATATTTTTCAATTTGATGCATGATATTAATTATATCTTAATATAATAAGATATAATTTTTTATATCTTAATTTGAAAATACAGATTTTTTTGTTTCAAATAATTTTGGATTTATTTATCATAGTCATTTATTAACTATTTTGTACAATAATCTTTAAATTTTGATGGCAATTCAGTTTGGGTTTTTTTCTTCGATATAGTGTATTTACATTTTATTGAAGTAATAAAAAAACAGAAAGAAGTGGTTTTAAAAAAATTAGAAATGATAACTATTATTGTTTTGTATTAATAGTCTTTCTGTTTGCAAAATTTAAACTTAACATGTACTATAACAAAATCCTTTCCATCTAAAATAACAAACATGTGCAATTTTTTATAAAGCTAAAACATTCTTTAAAAAAAGTTGTTTAAATTTATTATGTTAAAATTATGTTTTAGAGTAGTACAAATATTTTAATATTGTCTTAATAGTATGATTGGAGGTATGGCGGAGTCTCATGCATATATGGGAGAAGGTCTTGCAACTGCATTAGTATACTTTGAAGACTTGCAAGAAATTCGGGACACTAAACAAAGACATTGTATTCTTATATGTAATTCACCGCCGTATAACTTTCCAATAATGGAGTGTGAGACGTATGCAGGACATAGTGTTGATCAAATAGCAAACTTGTTTCAAGAAGTAAATTATATTTTTAAATAAAGCTATAATATGTTCAATATGGCATTCTTAAAATAATCAATCCATGTATTTTTTTAAGAAAGGGATTCTTCTGTCAATATTGTCAGCACGAAAAACTCCAGCTTTATTAAAACTATTTGAAAAAGCAGGTGGAGATTTACAGATATCTCAGAATAAAAATTACGCAAAAGATCCAAGGCACTTAGTTTTATTAAGTGGATACAGGTTACTTTAATATTTACTATTAAGTTTAAGTGTTAATAATCATTTTACCTACTTAATATTACAAATTTTTAAAACTAAGTACATTTTTAGTTTAAAAGAGCGTCAGATGAGTCCTTGTCCGCCTACAACTCATTCAGGATTATCTATGACTAGTCCGTTATCTAGTAGTGTTAATATTGGATCACCAGTTGCTCCTTGTACAGTTCCATTTAGAACTAATAATCCGGTAAGTAACCATTAAATACTATGTATTTAAAAACTCAGTAGGTATTTAAGAATATAATTTGTATTTCATTTATGCAGCCACAAATAGTTTTGGCATGATATTGTTTTTATCACCTGGTAGTCATTTACTGTTTTTCCTAAGATTTTTAGTTAGGTTAGATTTAAACTAATGAGCATAATTGTAACATTTAAAAGAAAAACATTACTCAATCATAGGGTAATATAGTGTAAAGTTATAATACAAAAAAATTTAAGTAAAAAAAAGTTGATAACCTATTTTTAATTTCTATATGTAGAAATCAAACACTATACATCTTGTCTCTCGAATTAAATTGAAAGTCCTTCATCTATTGTAGTAAATGAATTTTAATTTTTAATATTAGAACTTATTAAATTGTATTTTTATTATTTAAAGGTGTTAGCTATGCAAAATCAAGTTCAGCAGCAGCAGCAGCAGCAACAACAACAACAGCAGCAGCAGCAGCAGCAACAACAGCAGCAACAACAACAGCAGCAACAACAACAACAGCAGCAACAACAACAGGCTGTGCAAGCTGCTCAACAAGCAGTAGCTGTTGCTCAGCAACAACAGCAGCAACAGCAACAACAACAGCAACAATTACAACAACAACAATTATTAAGAAATGTTACACCAAACCAGCAGTATCCAAATATTCCAAATGCAGGTGGATTTTTAAGACCATCTCAAGCACCACGTAATTGGCAAATGCTACAGTCACAACAACGTCAACCAAATCAAAGTGCTTTAATAGCACAATTGTCAACCCCAACATTTCAACAAAGATTGGATAGTAAGTGTATTTATCGATTAATATTGTTATAAGTGCAGGGTATAAGTGTGAGGGGGTCTTTGAAAAGTTAATTACTGAATAATATTTAAATGAAAATATAATAATATTACACAAAATCTATTTGTTTACTTTAATCATTAATAAGTGCGTTTTACCAATGTAATTAATTTTTTAATTTTGGATTTAAATACGTTCTTGTTCTTAGTTTAAAGTCCAGAGATAGTATTTAACTTGGGTATTTTAAGACAGCTATGCCTTTTTTCTTCAGAATGTAGTTGGATTAGTGAGAAATATTCAAAAAGTTGATTTATATTAAAAATGTTTAGAATTACGAATAGTTGAGAAGTATTTTGCCTATTGTATTCTTTCAATGTAGTTTTGATTAATATTTTCTGTGTAATAATTAGCGATTCAATAGTAGAAGGTTAAGCCGATCCCCACAAAACTATGTCATACGACAAAAAAGATTCAACTAATGTAAAATAAACTCAAACATGTTTATTTGATTTCAAATATTTATACATTTTAGTGGCTTCTCAACAGCAGCAACAAGTGCAGCAACATCAAGCTCAACAGCATCAACAAGTTTTGTTAAAACAGCAGCAACAACAACAACAACAACAACAACAACAACAACAACAGCAGCAGCAACAACAACAACAACAACAACAGCAGCAGCAGCAACAACAACAACAACAAGTCCAACAGCAGCAACAACAACAAGTCCAACAGCAGCAACAAGCTCAACAACAACAACAGCAAAGAGCATTACAAATGTTTAATCAGCAACAACAACAAGTTCAACAACAACAACAAGTAATTAGTTTTAACATATTTTTAATAAGTAAGACCTTGCTAGTCTGATTTATATGAGACCAGGCAGTGGCGGATTTTCAACATTTTCTTGGGGGGGGGGGGTCCTGAAAAATGATATATATTTCAAAGGCATTATTTCTATTAAAAAAGCGTTGCCTGTATTTTTATTTATATATTATAAAATATATTGTCATTCACACATAAAGTTTAATGTTAAATATTATATTATATTTATTTTACAAAACAAAATCGACTCTTCTTTTTTTTTTTTTACAAAGTTCGGTTAATACTGAATTAACTGTTAAACAGCTTTCATCCCTGTGAATCGACATCATTGCCAAGCCGTTCAATCGAGCCTGAAATTTAATTAAAAATAATATTTTTATTAATTAATTTTACAAATAATTTTTTTTTAAATTTGACATAATAATTTATCCTTACTTCAGTCATGGTATTTCTTAGATATGTTTTGATTCGCTTCAAATTTGAAAAGGTGCGCTCATTTGATGCAGTGGAGACTGGTAAAGTAGCAAGGATCTGGAATAATTTCAAGACACTAGGGTATATTTCTTTGTTACAAACAGTCATAGCTTGGAGTGCGTTTTCCGGTTTTTCCGTCATGTTTTTTAATCTTCTTCGCCATAACTTGTACTCCGTTGATAATAACGAATGGTTTATGGACTCCAAATCATCTTTGTATTAATTGGCTAATTTTATGAAGTTATCTTCATTTTCTTCGGATTCAAATAATGACTGAAAATTATAAAGTGTACTTTTATGATGGACAAATCTTTGTTCAAGTTCATTAATGTAAGAATAAACATGTATGGAATAAATATAGATATGCGGTAGTATTCTTCGGTGGATTTTGTTTGAATGTTCGTTCTATACTTGTCTTCCTGTAATTCTAGGCATTGTTATATCTACTTGAAATTTTCCAGCTAAATCAAGTGCAGCTGTATATATTTGTTGAAATGTTTTTTGAGCAGTATTTCTAAATATCTTCATTTCTTCTAGAGTTTCGGCAGCTAATTTAGTTGCTAATCTCAAATCAATGTTTACTTTTTGCAATTGTTTTGATAGAGGTAACCCAAATCCAAATCCTTTTTTTAAATTAATAATGCAATAATGAATTCTCCATCTAACATGGATTTTCGCAATCGTTGTGCCTTTCCACTAGTATCACTATCATTCCATTACGATATTTCACCGAAAGACTCTTCAACAAATTCGAAAACCTCTAAAAAATCATGCACTGCGTGGTATCGTTCAATCCACCTCGTTTCACAACTACGTTTCAGTGTTTTTTTTTGTAGTGTCATAAGAAGAATCTAGGATTTTCTGTGATAAAACGTTTTTTCGTTTGGGAAATATGAAGAAATCTCGAATTTCACTAATTAAGCTTAGACAATTTGTAATTTCCCGAGTTGGACTACTCGTATTGCGTTACCGTATGTCCGCGTCAGTCAAATGTCAATACTAGTATTTCAGTATAAAATAGTAATATAATCGTCCCTTCTAAAAGAACTGTTAAAAGGAAAAATACATATAAATTCACTATCGCAACATAATCGATTACTGGAAATACAGATATTGTAGGTATAATAATCGTCAATAATTTAACATAATATCAGCAATTTAATGCGAATGGCTAATACACATACAAGCTTTCGATAGGGGCAGGTAGTAGGTACTCTTCCGTTTGCCTACACAAGAATAGATAAGATAATTGAAAAAAATTTAAAATATCAAAAAATTATACTTCAACATGTTATTTTATTACATTAAATATATACTTCATTTCAAATAAAACATTATATCAGCGTTTGGGGGGGTTTAGACCCCATGGACCCCCCCCTCCCGTAAATCCGCCACTGGGACCAGGGGTTGTCAGATTATGATAGTTTGAACAAAAAAAGGAACAACGTACTATTAATGCAAAAATGTATGTATATGTAATTTGTAATTTATAAATGATAATGGACATAGTATTATAATATGTAGGTATGTACACTTTTCGTTCACTTTTGTGGTCGTTCAGATTTTTAGGAAATCCCTCAATTTTGTCCTGGTTTATTTTTAACGTCATAAACTGTAGCACGCCTGATACCGTAACACTCAGCTACATCACTTATGTTTCTGTCCTGATCAAGTTGTTTAATTATTTCTGTTTTCCATTAATCTTAATTTTGTATGCTTACGTTTTACCACTTTAGACATGACGAACAAACTACGAATAACACAACAAACTTACAGATAAACTGACGATAAATTTATCTGACGAGTGACCAGTAATAACTTAATGTTTACAAAAGTCTTTTTATAGTGTTATCTTATTGCATATATATTGTTGTATATTATGTGTATTGTCAAATTATGAGAAAGAGTAAGGGGAAAAATGTGTCTGTTTACTGAGGTTGTCAGACTAGTGGTTGACGAATTACCAAGGTCTTAATGTAATAAATAATATAAATTGTATTAAATATTGCTTAAAAAAAAAAGTCAACACATTTTAAAGTATTTTATTGTAATAGAATGGACCTGGAAGACAAACTATTTGGACAGGAACACTGGAGTGGATAGAAAAATCTAAAAGTATTAGTGATTCACAAAAAATTACAAGAAGCGTTCCTTGTACAGTCTCAGCAAATTTAAAAAACGGAGAACCAGAACTGTAATTAAATTAATATTTTAAGTTATGTAAATTTTTAATTATACAATTTCTATCTATAGAAAAGCAGAAACGTGGCCTGAAAAACTAATTATGCAATTAATGCCCAAACATTTAATTGGAAGTATTGGAGGAGCGCATTTGAAGGATTCAAAATCTGTAGTTTTCCAGCCTACACCATGTGACTCACTAGAGTCTTTAACAAAATTTATGAGCAATGGATATGTAAATATTCATTGCAATCATTTTTTTCTATATACAAAAAAAATTAAAAAACAATATTTTTTTATAGGCTGGCTGTGTTCATTTTAATAGTGCTCCTACATCTCATAATTGTGACATCAAAGTCTTAATACTTCTTTACACAGCTGATAGAAGAGCTTATTTGGGATTTATTCCTAATGATCAAGCAGCATTTGTCGATAGACTTCGTAAGCTTATACAACATCAAAAAGCATCCACGGCCTTGTCACGTCAAGGACAAGTAAGAACAATTACTATTAAATCTTTTTTATCTTGCTTAGAATTTTTACTTTTGAGTAATAGTAGAAAGATGGAATGTTAGATTAAATATAGCGTAGACTCTCAGTAATCCGGCATAGATCAGACCAGGACACTTCCGGATAAACGAATTTGCCGGATTAGTGGAGGTTGAAAACAAATCTTAATAGCAAAACATACATACGTACTTAAATAGTATACTGTATTAATCCTCTAAGGGGACAGGTCTAAAAAAAGTGTCAATTTTTGGTTGCCTTTGCTCGCGAAATGACATACATATGACATTTTATTGAAGTTCACTACATACGAGTATTATTAATTTTTAATACAAAAACAATAAGGCCGGAGTACTGGACGTGCCGGAATATCAATGGGGGGATTACCGAGAGTACTGTATTGTCTTAAAAGAAGTGTAATGACTTATTTAGTAATAATGTAACATTACGTTTTAGACATGATTTTAAGACTGTTTTCCTTTATTGGAACATGTATTGTATAAACTATTTTATACTTACATCATTTTACGTTATGTTTTAGCTTCTTTAATTAAACTTGAATAATTTTTCTATATTTATGTCTATCAATGTCGCTAATATAATTAAGACCTTTTTGTTGTTGTCACTTTTTTTTATAAAGAGGAGGTCCTTAAAAAAATGTTACCCACTTTATGTATTTTGTTTTGCTCATCATTTTCTACCATATAGACTAGGTCTTTAATTCTTTTATATTATTTACAAAAGTTAAAATGTTAAAAAATGTAATATAATAGTTAATATTAACCTATTAATTAATATTGTAGGTATAAATACTTTTTAACGTATAAATTTATATAATATTATTTTTATTTAATTTTAACATATAAAGTGATAAGTAACTAAAATTATTTTATTTTATTATTAATTGTTATAATTTAGCTTTTTTCTGTGACATTAAGGAGTGCTGAAGCACGCTTTTTAGTTACTCCTATGTCTTCATGATAACTGGTTTTATTATACGTCAATCAAAAAAATAATTTTTCTCATTTCAATGCTGACCGATGAAACAGATTCATATTTTATTAAATTATGTAATTTAAATATTTATCACAAATTCTGCTATTCTTACTTCAATCATTAGAATCATTTTTAACACATACAATAAATTTAACCCATGAAAATGAATTATAATCTTTAATCAGATGATCCAGATTAGTTTATAGAATATTTGTTCAAAAGAACTATCAGAGGGACATCTTTAAAGAGTGTTAAAATTGAAACCTACAAACTCTGAATGCTCGTTACAGCTCATCCCTTCTAATCGTTGTTATTGATACATTATTATTGTTAATTATTTAATATATAATATATTTAATATATAGGTTAACATTTTTTTGTAATTGAAAATAATATTATAAATTATTATTGTATTATTATAATACAATTATTAAACAGCCTAGATTATTAGTAAGTAACGCCATCTGTGGTCGAATGCTCGTAGTGGCCGGAGAACAGCTTCTGTTATGTTGGTACGGCAAACTGTTGTTTACATTCCCTGAATGTGCGAGCACTGTTGCGAAACGCCGACGGCCGAGCCGATGCCGAGCTAAAATGTCTGTTGTAGGAACGATATAAACACGCGTCGTTGCTCGTTAGTGTATTTTTTGTGAACGTAATTAATTTAGTGTTTTTAAAAATTTTTTTTTTACGTTCGAATCTATCGTGCTAAACTTAACGCGAAAGCTGAAAGCAGTGAAAAACACACAGTGACAACACAATGGCCGATGCCGATGATCTTTTGGATTACGAGGAGGACGAACAAAACGAGACCGTTGAAAGCGATGAGAAAAAACAAGCTAAAAAAGAAGTAAAGGGTAACTATGTATCCATACACAGCTCGGGTTTTCGAGATTTTTTGCTGAAACCGGAAATCTTGCGGGCCATAGTCGATTGTGGCTTCGAGCATCCGTCAGAAGTGCAACACGAATGTATTCCACAGGCCATGCTTGGCATGGATATCCTGTGTCAAGCTAAGTCGGGTATGGGCAAAACGGCCGTGTTTGTTTTATCTACTCTCCAGCAGCTAGAGGTGTATGAGAGTGAAGTTTATGCTCTAGTTTTGTGCCACACTAGAGAGTTAGCATTCCAGATTAGTAAGGAGTTTGAGCGGTTCACCAAATATCTTCCGGCTGTGAAGGTCAGTGTCTTCTTTGGTGGCGTTCCCATTACAAAAGATGAAGACACATTAAAAAACAATAAGCCACACGTCGTGGTCGGTACGCCTGGCCGTATTCTAGAGCTCATCAGAAAAAAGAAATTGGTTCTCAACAATTTGAAGCATTTTATACTAGACGAATGCGACAAAATGTTAGAAATATTGCATATGCGAAGTGACGTACAAGAAATTTTTAAAAACACACCTTTTAACAAACAAGTAATGATGTTCAGTGCAACGCTAAGTAAAGATATACGCCCAGTTTGTAAAAAATTTATGCAACAGCCATTGGAAGTATATGTTGACGATGATGCTAAACTGTCATTGCATGGACTTCAACAATATTATGTTAAATTGACAGAGAAAGAAAAAAATAAAAAGTTGTTCGATCTTCTTGATGAGCTTGAATTCAATCAGGTAAATAATGTCTTTTATTTTCTCGTTTTGTACTAACATGGATATATCATGTTGATGTACATCAAATAACAACCAGTTTTAATAATAATAATACTTATGAATTTTTTTTTTCCTTTAGGTGATAATTTTTGTGAAATCAGTACAGCGTTGTGTAGTTCTAACAGAGTTGCTCAACGAACAAAATTTCCCTTCAGTTGCAATGCATGGTGGTATGTCCCAACAAGATCGTCTTAAGTTTTATCAAGAATTTAAGGATTTCCAAAAACGAATATTGGTTGCCACTAATTTGTTTGGCCGTGGAATGGATATTGAACGTGTTAACATTGTCATCAACTATGACATGCCCGAAGACACAGATACTTACCTCCACAGAGTAGCGAGAGCTGGACGATTTGGTACCAAAGGACTGGCCATTACTTTTATATGCGAAGAAACAGACGCCAAGGTTTTAAATAGTGTACAGGATAGATTCGATGTCACCATTGGACGTATGCCCAATGAAATTGAACTCAGTTCATATGTTGAGCGGAAGTAGATGCCGAAAACTAAAAAAGTTAAATATTAGCCACAATTAATATAATGTTTGACTTGTAATATTCTCATTTTTTAAACCAGATTTCACTTTCTACCCAATAAATGTAATTCTTACCCGTGGTTTATTTTACCTTTGAGTATTTATTTTTTATACTCAGAATAAAAAATAAATTTGGTTATGTGTGTAGTACATAATATGATTTAACTTTAGGGATATTACTTAGTATCTACATCATAATTTTAGATTTTAAGATTGTAAATATTTCTTCATCTGACAGTGCGGTTTTTTAAAACTTGTATTAATGATAATTTTATAATTTTAATAAAGCTAGAAAACCCATTCAAATGTTCAATGTCTAATTTAATTTAAAATAAGTAAAACAATAGTCTTTTATAACCAAATTATTTATCGTAACATGTTTAAGAAAAAAAACTAACTTATTTCCTTGGTAACAATATAAATGTATATTATATGATATTATCAATTAGTTTTTTTTACTATTGCTAATTTTGTAATTAATTTTCGTGCCGAAAACTTTTATATTTGTAGGACATTTATATATTGTATAAATGTATAAATACTAAATAAATTAAACATTGATTATTGGTTTAGAAATTATTACAAATTGCAATGAAAAATGTATGGTACAAAAAATATAATGTTTATATATATACATATTTTTTTCAAATTATAGTGTGTCCGTATTTAGAAAAAATTCTTTTGATTGAAATCTTTAGAAACCTTCAAGATTTAGAAATTTAAAGATATGCCATATAGCCTGTCACTAATTCCTTTATTAAAACACGTCGAGTAAAGGGTTAAACTAAAAACAACTAAATTTGTGGTTCAATTGATCATTTAGTGATGATTATAACTACACTGAGTTACACGGAAAGTGGCGCACTTGAAATAAACTATTAATTTTAAATGTTATGACTTCCACTTGACATTTTTATGCTTAAAATAAATAAAATTCAATTTATGACACCGTTATTAATGTGCTAGCATATGATTTTTTCGTCTTATCACATAAATTCCTACAGGTTAAGCAAAACAGATCTGAAAAGGATATCTATGGATAATTCAATGGTTAGTTCATTTTACGTTCTCGGCCTTCGAACACGAAAAAAAGAATTTTGGTGGACAATTAACAATAAACAAACAATTTAAAGTGAAAAAAATGGTGTTAACTAGTGAACAAATTGCCCGTGCTGTGGCCTTGATCGAAGATGGGCGCAGTCAAAGGTACGCGGCCCGTATCCTGGATGTACCGGAAAGTACACTTCGTAGGTGCGTCCGAAGATACAGGGAGACTGGTCTCTTAACCCGCATTGACGGTAGCGCATAAGCGAGCGCGATTGGAATTCGCGCGTGAGTATAGTGCGTGGACAGAAGCAGAATGGAGTGACGTCAGATGGACGTCAAAACATCCTAAGAAGACGTGGCGAGCGTTACGCAGCCATCTGATGCGTAAAGGGCAAAGCGGGACTCGTCGGTGAACAGGACGTGCATTTGCTGGTCTAAATGAATGCAGTCCATATTCTGCCAACCTTCTTCGTACTGTTTGGGCAAAAACATCCACTCCCCGAGCTGCATGAAGCCTTTGGGCTATCTGCACAGGAACAGAGCCACGATTTCGTAATGCGTATAACTGCATAAAACGGTCGTCCACCCTATTTGTGGCCCTCTGCGGACCTGTACCAGGTCTACGGGTTAAGAGACCAGTCTCCCTGTATCTTCGGACGCACCTACGAAGTGTACTTTCCGGTACATCCAGGATACGGGCCGCGTACCTTTGACTGCGCCCATCTTCGATCAAGGCCACAGCACGGGCAATTTGTTCACTAGTTAACACCATTTTTTTCACTTTAAATTGTTTGTTTATTGTTAATTGTCCACCAAAATTCTTTTTTTCGTGTTCGAAGGCCGAGAGCGTAAAATGAACTAACCATTGAATTATCCATAGATATCCTTTTCAGATCTGTTTTGCTTAACCTGTAGGAATTTATGTGATAAGACGAAAAAATCATATGCTAGCACATTAATAACGGTGTCATAAATTGAATTTTATTTATTTTAAGCATAAAAATGTCAAGTGGAAGTCATAACATTTAAAATTAATAGTTTATTTCAAGTGCGCCACTTTCCGTGTAACTCAGTGTAGTTTATTATATTTGTGTGATTGTCATTGTTAGTGTTAGCTAACATTATTCTATTAATCGCACAACACGTTTATAAGAAAATTAATTTTTCATTTAACAGAATTAATAAAAAAAAACTAGCACACAAATATAATGACCATTAAAGTTTTATTAATCAAAATATTGCAGTAAAAAATGAATTGTAATGTTTTTTATGAAATTTGAGTGTACATTAGTATTTACACTATGTCAACGTAGTATATTGGTAGAAAATCAAATATGCTTGATAGATACCTTAATATATTATGATTACGACTAGAATTTCTCTGAAAAATTTGATGAGAAGGAATTGGTTTTATCTTTAAGGGGTTTTGTAATTTTTGTTACACTTATACTAAAATTTTAAAAATTGTATTGACCTCATAAATATTTTTATTTATAATTAAAAAGTACATAGGTGGAACTGAGATACTATTTTAGGAGGGGGGGGGGTTGATATTTATGTATATTATACAGAACCAATGAGGGGAACTATAGGTCATATGATTTCCTCTTATAAGCCATCGTGTTTTTACATATACCCATAAATACGGGTTTCTGTAAAATCCCCTTTACCCCTGCAAGTGGGGAGGGCCTTACATGGCTTTATACAATTGCAATTATTAGACTAATATGTAGTATCTCCCGATCACTTCCATCTTTCGCTTTTGTGTCCATGATTGCACCTACCACGGTTACGAAGGCTGTCTGTGCTTTATAAGACGATTCCATTAGGCGAACCCTCTGAAAGCTCTTCCACGTTGTGCCCGCATAGCACAACTTCTGCTACATCTTCTGGGTTTAGTGGTCTTACTGGTATAATTCTAACCTACAATGGGCCCAATCCGCGCAATTGAACACTATATGTGTTGCACAGTGTCCATCAGGTCCTGCCTAAGAAACTGTTGCCTTACTTTGAAGAATCATAAGTTAAAAAGTTCAATTTTGCTTCTTTAAAACTGAAAAAAAGCTTTGACAAAAGTCGGCCAGCTCTAAAGGATGTAAATTATAATTTTGTGTATAGTTAGTAAGACTAAAATATAAATCCTAATTTTTTAGGGTGGTATGTCTAACCAAATGCAGTTATCACCAGGAACCAATATGTCAAATGTTCAGGTGGTACCCAATCAAATGCCTGGCCTCATGCCAAACAGCACACTGGCTGCTTCCCTACAAAATCAACCTCAACCCAACTTAGGTGAATATTTTATTAAATTATATGTCTGGCATATTATATTTTTTTATTTATTATTTTAGCTGATTTAATGGGATCATCAAATTTTGTACCACAAAGCCCTCAAGTACCCAACAACTCTCCTGGAGTCCAAATGATGTCTGGTGGAACTCAAGGAGTTGCTCAAACTGGAAGTAATCCGAACATGCCCTTACAAGTAAAATCTATTATATTATTATTTTAGTGCCTGTTGTAAGGTTGAAGTAAAATTTTTAGACTCCTGGTGGTCCTGTGGGAGGTGTTGGAGTTCGACCATCCCAAGCGCAATACAACGATCACAAAATAGAATTAGCTAGAAAACAAAACCTCGCTAAAATACAACAACTTCGGGAGACTTTGGAAGCAGCTCAAGCTCAAGAGTTACAATACAAATCTCAAATGGAGGTAGGATACTGTTTTTGTAATATGTAAATGTTTTTATAATTATTTCAACTTTGAAGATAAATGATTTTTTTACCATGTTTTTTATTAATTTGGTGTCACATATCATCAAAGTTAAATAACTATTTGAAAAGAAAATGTATATTCAATTCTATAATTTTAATGTTTTATTTTTCTATTTTTAGCCGGTAAGTTTCAACTCAGAAGTACAGATCCTAAATGTATGATAAACAGGATTTTGAAGAAGCATTGGTGAATTTAGGGGGCCATTGAAGCAGTAGCAATTTTCTCATAGGCTCTATATTCCTTAATGAGTAATCTAGGCCTATGTGTACAACAATGTTTGCTAATAATACTATGTGACATCAGTGTTCACTAAACTAAAAAATAGTGTTATCTAAACATGATCCAAATGCTTTCTGCATGTGCAACTGATTAAGTTATATAACTGTTCATCTATATTATTTTGTTTTTCTAAAAAAAAAAACATTTTCAACTATTTTAAAATGGAAAAAAATATATGTATGTATATATTTACTGTAGAGCCCTTTTAAGTAAGGTTAATAATTTAGTTAATATTCCATTAAATCATTTATAAAAATAAAATGTTATTACATTGGGTTGTATTATCCTTAAATGTAATTAAAAACTATTTTAGTGTTTAAATAAATTTGTTTAGATACAAAATTATCAAATGAATATTCCACAAATGCAACAGCGCTTGGAACAAGCTCAAATGCAAGAAAATATTTTGAAGTCCCAGCTTGAAGTATACTAATTTATTAATTATACAGTTGACAAATATTTTAATATTATTAATTTATAGACACGAAATCAAATGAATGTTCCTCAAATGCAACAAAACCTTGAACATGCGCAAATGCAAGAAACTATGTTGAAAGCTCAGCTTGAGGTAATCATTTGTTTACTTCTAAATTCATTAGATGTGTTTACTTAAAATATAAATTTATGAAAAATACTTGGTTTAAATATTGATTTGTAGCATCAACAAGAAGAACAAAATAAATTAAGAACCCAACAATTCCACATTCAACAACAGCAGCAGCAGCAGCAACACCAACAGAGACAAATGATTCCAGGCTCTCAACCTGCAAATCAGCAAATCATGGGTAATAATCCGGCTCAACAAAGAATGCAAATGCGACCAGTCATGTCTAGTAATCCCGGTCTTAGACATTTGCTGCAACAAGTATGATTTTTTACTTTTCGTCATAATGTAGTTTAAGGCCCAATGCTGCCATCATGAGATTTTTTTTCTTTTACCAGTTAAAATTGAATAACTAATAAACATAACATTTTTTTATTTTATAGCAACCTCAATACCGACAACAAATGATGGGCATGCAACAAGGGACTGGCGTTCAGAATAGAGGACCAATTCAACAACAGCAGCAGCAACAACAACAACAGCAACAACAATTTGATGAAGTGTCTTCCTTTGATTTTCTCAATTAATAAACAAATTAGTTATAGATAAAATTATTTTTACTTAAATACATGTTGTGTAATCTTATACTAAATTATTATGTTTAAATTGTGTGACATTTTTAGACAGATATTTTTACAGTTACGTAACCAGATAATTTAATATTATCGTATTAGTCGAGATATTTTTGAGTCAACCAGGCATCACCAACGAAGATTAAAATATAAGCCTTGATTTTCAATTAAATGAATAGTATTACGTAAAACAATTTTTTTATGGAACTTGATGTATCTTGTGTTTTTAAGAAAGTGTATATGTATTATTGTTTTTTTTTTTTGCATTAAATATATAGTATTTTTTTGATAAAACTTTTTCCCTCGCAAGTACTTGTTTTAAAAATAACTATTGTATTATTACTAAAATTACGAATCTGAACTTTTTTTAAATTCTTAAATTTCCATAAAATTGTTTTATATAAATAGCCAAATATTCAATAACTTATTAATAACAATATTTAAATAACTTCAATTGAAATAACTACATGAAAACTAATTTTTAAATTAAAAACTGAAAGAATTTGTTTTCACGTTTACCATCTGTGTATTCCTTACCAATTGGGGCTCGGACCCAATTAAAATTTAAGTTGATTAAATATTGACTTCATACATAGCGAAACATTAAATAAACCATTCATTATTTTAACAGTGGACGGTTGGGTTACTATTGAATTGAGTGTTGGGTTCACGAGCAATGGACAGCAAAAGTACAGTTTATTTAACAGACCCAAAGCCGTAAAAATACAATCGCCACAATCAAAATACAATAAGACTAGAGATACAGCTTTAGTAGCCCATGTAGGGCTGTACAGGACAAATATCTTATTTAGTTTTCCCAGCCTAGTAAGGAAGTTACTGAACGACTGAATTGAATGTCGAACCAGCGACAGTGAGCGCCAAACCACTAATGCCTTACTCGACCTCTATAGCAAGTTTTGCATTTTATAGTACAAACTAGTGCGTTCACAATTCCATTAAGAATTTAAACCAAAAAGTATCACTTTTCTTAGTCACCTATTTAAAAATTCGAAGCATTATAATATTACAAAACAGGTTTTTTGTAATTAGCCGCTATAATATGGGCTTTTAAAAAAGCAAAACTTAAATCGTTTGTTAAGACATAACATGCAGAGTAGAAAACGTATGAATGATCCATAATCGAAAAATATTAAATGAATGTGATTTATAAATCATCAACCCTCCTGTATTCTTGACTAGAGTATATTTTTACTCTATGGCATATATGTAAATTGACAATTGTAATGCCTATTATAGTAACTATAAACGTATAAGATCTACATATCTATGTCTTATAAACTATAGTTTTTACTCGCGAACTAAGATAGTATCTTAGTTCTTGGGTTTACTCGATACTCATGAAAAACCATTTTAATAATTATGAATACATTTTATCATTTGTAATTTTGTCAATTGTCATATTTTTTATAACGAGCTATGATAAGTCTAAGCGGAGTAACTACAAGTCGTGGCATGCAACATTTGTGGTAACTGTAGCAACCCCCTTGATAATACATAATAATAATAATGATAAGCAAATTGATAACGATGTTTAACTTTGGTGAATTGTGAATATTGAATTCTGAATTGTCTGAACCAATTGTATTCCAATTTATTCACGGGTATGAACTTTTATGTAAATAGATTAAAAGGTTGAAACTTAAGTATTTATTATTAGTTTTTCAGTTAATTTAATTCAAAGAAATTAAAAATTGTATTTCTTTTTTTTTAATGTTAAAAATTAAACAATATGGCTAATAAGTCTTCAGAATTGAATCAAGTATCTCCCAAAAAAGAAAACTTCGATGAGTTTTATACTGAAGTATGTTAATACAAGATAGTTTTAAATAGTTCATACTTTTTACCATTATTTTATTAAACAGGTTAAAGAAATAGAAAAACGAGATTCTGTACTGACATCGAAACAACAATTAGAAAGACTTTTGAGACCTGGAGCGTCATATTTTAATCTCAATCCATACGAAGTTCTTCAAATTGATTCTGACACACCTTTAGAGGATGCAAAAAAAAAATATAAAAGAGTAAGTATTTTGTATAAATATGTATTACTAATAGAAATGTGGGTCTCCTACATATTACCAGTAAAAACAATTTATGAAAACTTACCATTTTTTTTTTACTCAGTAATTTTTTTCAAGGTAATATATTAAAATAGGTTGTTCTAAAATGTTGGGACATCCAAATTATTATAAAAACATTTGGACGTGTAAATATTAATGCAGTCAACACTAAAAATTCAAAATGTGAATATATGCTATAAGCTGTTCTACAAGTTAAACGCCTTGTTGATTGGTCCGATTTTGATTGTTTTATTGAAAAAGGAAGACTTTTTACAGAACATTTATTAAACTTTGATAGTTGGCTTTACCAAAAAGAACATTATATTAATTAAACTAATTTATTAAATATTGTCATATTAAAGCTTTTATTAAGAGCCTTCAGAAATTTAATTTTAGAAATCAAACTTCTTTTATTTTAATATAGTTAGTTAATCCTTATTTGTTTGGCGGTGTCTAATAGACCCCTTTGAAAGTGCGACCAATTAGGCACACGTCTAGTTTAATATAAAGTCTGTGACAAAATGTCTAATAACAGTTAGGGTTGTAAAACTACAAAAAAGGAGTAAAAAATTTAAAAATTATTGAATAAAACAAAAGAGGCACAATACAGGTCAAACAATTATGATTGTTTATAGTAAAAAATAAAAAAATTGTAGATTCAGTAACTTACTGTTTTTGTTAACATTATGAAGTTTTTAAAAAAATTGAGGTAATAGATTATTTTATTCTCAAAATGGATAGCAAAAATAATTATTTACAATATATAGAGCTTAGCGACAAAAATGGTTAAGAGGTATAAGTACAAAAAGGGCACTGACACAAATCTAAATTTAAAAAAAACTTTTGTTTACTGGTAAGTTTACGTAAAATGTATTTGATAATTTTATCACAAAATAATTTGTTAACAATTTAAATAATAACACTTTATTGTTTTAATGAATTTTAGTTATCAATATTGGTACATCCAGACAAAAATCAAGATGATTTAGAAAGAGCTAATGTTGCTTTTGAAACTGTTAATCGAGCCTGGCGAACAATTGAAAATGACGAATGTAGGAAAAAATGTCTTGAGATTATACAGGAAGCCAAAGATATGACAGAATTTATGGTAGCCGAAAAACGCAAAAAATTAAAAAAAGAAGGTAAAGAAACGACAGTGGAAGAAGATGATCCTAATGTTATGAAACGTAGTATATATGTTCAAACATGTAAATTATTTGCCGATCTGGAACGTAAAAGAAAGCAGCATGAAGAAAGAGATCAACAAGAGAGAAAACGAAAAAGAGAACAAGAAATTGAAGAGGAACAGAAAGCGTCTGTGTCTAAGGAATGGCAAAAAAACTTTGACGTAAGTATAGTTAATATTTAATTAAAGTGTAAGTAGGATTGTTTTGCTGTGTATTTTTAGATATCAGAATTTATTTGTGTTTACATAATCAATGTATTATTAGAGTTGTAAGTAACTAATACATATTAATTAAATCATAGCCTTTTCTTTTAAAAATCAATTAATATTGTGAATATTGATGAATATATTTCATATTGCCATATGAAATTAAAAAAAAGTGCCTACCTAACAAATTCATTTGACTATCCTTATATCCTGCAACTTGATGTATCTGCATGAAGTGTGGATACTCTTAACTTTATTTTTAAAACATAATCCCTCCATAATGACTTCAGCACTCTACACTGTGACACTTACCATGTCGCTCAAAATGTGATGGACAAATTTTTAGAACGACCCCCAGCCATAAGACATACCCATGTCAAAATATAATACACTTTATTTAACTCGTCAAAAACATATTATGAAAAGTTTAAAAGCAAATTGCTTTTTGAACATAACTTAATTAATATTTTTCACACCATTTTTACCAACATTGTATGAATATTTTTTAGTTTTATTGCTTACCCCCAAATTAAGTATAGAATATATAAATGAAAAAATATAACAAAAACATTTTTATGATTTTAACCTTTATTATAATTTATTTATGGAATATTAATGATGTTTGTTATTATTTGTGTTTTAGGAGTCTAGGGAAAGTAGAGTGAACAGCTGGAAGGCATTTCAAGAAAAATCTAAAAAATCGAGTAAAAAAATAAAAATATTCAAACCACCTAAACATAAAGCTGAATCTAGATAAGTATCTGTATTGTAGTTCTTAGTTATTAAATCATCAGTAAAAAAATTAAAATGAATTCCTAATAAAAACTTATGACAATTAATTTTTAATTATACTCCATATAAACATTATCTAACATAATAAACTTATGTTAACATATAAAAGATTATGAGTTACATATGTATTTTAAGACTACTACTTAGGTAACATTTTAATATGAAATTATATTTTATTATATAATGACTGTAGTTTAAGGTAGTTTACAATTTTTTTTGTCACACAAGTTATAAATTAATACATACTTATTTTATATAATGTAACAATATCTATAACTAGCATATAATGTAAATATAGTTATAATTTTCAGTTAAGAATTTGAAGTGTCCATTATTTTAATTTTTAATTTTAGTATCTATATTATATTTTAAAATAACTATTGATTGAGATTCAAATTATTTTTTCATAATTAACTTATCAAAATATGCATAGAAATATTAAAGTTATGTTATTTGTAATTTTTACAAAAGAAAACTGTCTTACATAATTACTATCACGGATATCTTAAAACTAATAAAAGTCTTTAGCATTTGAGTTCCCAATTAGTTTCAACATCGTTAACTTCGATATCACTGTTGGATGTTAAATGATGTATCATTTAAATGCTTGATGGGATAGTCATAGTTGTCAATATTATCAGATATACAATTTTCTGAAGTTGATGGAGATATTGCATGTGGTAATTTAGGCTTACGACACACAAAGTATACACTTTTATATTCATATTGCAACATGGATTGTGGATTTTGTGCATACTTTGTTGGTATGTTCAATATCTCTTTCTAAAAAAAAAAACATAATATTAAAATTTGCACTGTCATTAACAAATATTTAAGCTACTTTTTTTGAAACAATTTTGTTTGGATAAATATTATTTTGAAAATATATTTCTCGAAAAAAACATGTTTGCAGTGGTATTCGACTTGTAATATTCAGTCCAATGGAAAAGACGAACCAGATTAACCCAATAACCTTAAAAGATATTCAAGAAAAATCAGACTAACGACTTTTAGTCTCTTAGCCATCAATATTTACTTCAATACAGACTCAATTTTTTTATTTTTTACCCAAAATATCTTTAATTTAGCATTAAAGAAATATGTCAATATTCAAACTTGATTGGATAATTTGTAGGTGATATTTTAAAATTGGGTTGTATTTTTATGTTAATAAACCATCAATCAAATATTTTTCTTATGCAATTTATTCGTCATTTTACCAGAAAAATCACTGAATATTGTAGCTCCAAATTGAAAAAGATATAGTCAAAAGAAAAAAAATATCTTCACAAGTTCTAGTTTTGGCATTTTCTATTTTTAACCCTAAATTAAAAACATTTTAGTGTAAACAAAAAATCAATTTTTTTTGGGTCGTTAAACATATTAAAGGGGCAAATATTAGTATTGATCTTTAATGTAATGTTATATTATAAAAATGGTAGTTTTTAAAGGCTAACTATCAAATTATCACATAGCCTCAAACCTAAACCAAGTACGTTCTATTGTGAAAGTGGAATATACATACATACAGAAGCTCAACTTTAATTATAAGATAAACAGTATATATATCAGTGGCGGCTTATACCTATGTGCGGTCGCATTCCCTACGAAAAATATTAAAATTAAAATATATATAATACTATATTTAATTACAATATATTTTATAGAAATTTAGAGTAATTTCTTTTATTTTCGCCAAAAAATATGTATACATTCTAATTTAATATGTATATAAAAACGCTGTAGAACATTACTCTGAGTTGTGCCAGGAGTGGTGGCCAAGAATCACGTACAATAAAACTGGTTATTATACACAAAAACGTATATGTAACTTGGTCGGAGGCGGTTGTAGCTGCCAGAAGAGGTGATCATTGATGCCGCACAGTACGAGCTCAGCAGGGTGGCTTAATAATATTGAACGTTGTGTGCTGTAAATATCTGTTTTTATTAGTTATCCCATGTATACTATACATATTACAAACACAATCAGGGACAGTGTATTTTATCGCATTCTGTTTAGCAACCACGAGCCGCTGCTGATATACATACTAATTTGTTACCAACTAAAGTATTAATACACTACTTTCTTGGTTTTTGAAAAATTATTAATTAGGTGCTAATTTTATGTTAAAGTGTAATCAGTGAGAAAATTTTTTATAGCTAGCAGTTATTAAACTATGACCCGTTGTGCAAAATGTTTCCAGTCATCCTACAACAATTTATCTCTTCAATAATATTAATTACATTTTTTTTTATAATTGGTCATTATCAGTCATGAAGGCTAATTAAATATACATTTTATTGATAAATAAATATGAATTTTAGCTTACTTCAAATTTGAAACCTATTCCTGTAATAACTTCTTTAATGACTTGGTAACTCGGCTCAATGGAATCTTGATCAAATACATTACTGTAATGATACAATAAGGGTCCTAAGTTGATCCATATACCGCCTGGTTTTAGAATTTTGTAAATAGTTTCAATAAAAGCCACTACATTGTTTGCACAATCAATAAAAAAACAGGTAGCAATACAATTCCATTCATTTTTATCTGTATATACCTAAAAAAAAATTTTTTAATTTAATTTTGTATTTAAAAAGTAAAGAATTCATTCATACTTGCAAAAAATCTCCAGCGGCCATTGATATAGATGCATTTCGTGGAAGTTCCTGTGCTGGATTAATATCAGGGAATGAAACACACTGCATTTGATGTTCAGTTTCTAAATTATTATCACATTGATGAATCCACGGATAAAGTCTATATGTATTAACGCCTCTGCACCTACATACAATAATATACGCATAATCAATAACACTGATTGATGAATTCTTACAAAAAAAAAAAAATTAATTAATTACTTGTTTAAAATAAAATTTGATGCAATTAACATAAATACGGAAAATTCATTTCCTTGACTGTTGTAACCTAGTTTTGCGATTTCAAATACTAATCTTCCGAGACCAGCACCTGGTACCAACACTTTGACTTCATGTGGTTCTACACTAAATAAAATAATGAACTTTATTTGATTATGGGTTATAGAAAAATATTTTTCAATTTAAATTATAAATAAAAATTGAATTTAACCAAATTGTGGATATACATGTGAAGAAGTTGTCCTTAATTAAGATTTGGGTTAAATTTTCTATTAATGGAAAAGTGGTAATAGTTTTTCTTTATCATCACGTAGCCTGACGGACATTGAAAGCCTATCACTGCCATCACAAGACGATTTTTTGAAAAATTTGCTATTTCTAATAAAATTATAAATACATACGTGTCTAAAGGAAACTCTTTTAAAATGTCCTCAATAATGGGTTTATAGCAAGTGTTTCGCTCTTCAACACCTTCATTACTCCAATCTCGCACAAACTGTTTTAAAGTTGACTGTACTTTTTCTAAATCTGTAGCAATTGGCTTACAAACATCTGGAGTACGCTAAAAATTACAAGGTTTCTTTTAAAATATGAAAAACAAACATTAAGGAAAAATTATTACCCAGCGATCTGGTGAGGGTGTATCTTGATTTTCAAACAGACAAGTAGTATCTTTGATAATTTCTAGTATAACATTATAGTTAGATTGTATACAATGTCTAATAGTTTCCAAATTTGTGCTATAATTAATTAAAAGTCTTTGATGTTGTTCTGGTAATGATTTCAAGTAGTTTACACTTTTGTTTAGTCTGTTTAATGAATGTGTCCTGCAAATTAAAAAAATTAAAAATATATTACTCTATTATACTATTAAGTTTCATTATACTAATGTTATCATTTCTATGATTTATAACTTAAATAAACATGGAGTACCAATCACAGAAGTTATTTTTTAATATATAGAATTGTTCAGTAATAATTTACGCTTAACTATACACTATAATTAAAAATATTAGTAAATTATATATTTCTTTTTGAGATATAAAAAAAACCTTCTAAATTTCATATTCTTAACACTTCTTCAATGTCTAAGCATATATGATATAGACATTGATAAACATAAGAATTTTTTCAGAAAACAATATATACAAATAAATTACCTATATAATTGTATTATTTATAAAAATTAACATTTATCGCAATGTGGCTTATGAAAAGTTTATCATAAAAACTAAAAATTATTTTATAAAAAGACGGAATTATAACAGCATATACAGTTATTAGAAATATAATTCAATTTTTTACACAGATTTTACAGCTGTATAGTAAAAATATTAACTATATTATATTATTAAATTAAATAAAACTAATCAGTACTTAATACCTACATAATTTCATAAGATGTATAATATATCTTTATAAAATGAAATTATAATATTTATATCAATCCTTAAAAATAAATAATATTGTCTAAAAATATAATGGAACATTTTTTTCAGATAATTAAAAAAAATATCTATAAATAATAAATACTAATGTATAGCTTACCTGTAATACATAAAGGCGGTAATTATTCTTTGAAAACTCTTTCTTTCTTCTTCCAGTTCCATTGGATTAATTTCCATTATGCAAAACCTTAAGAGTACAGGTATAAAATATTTAAAATCTATATTAAATAATATTGTAATTATTAGCTTAACATTAAATAGAAACGACAATTAATATTTATAGGAAATAACTTAAAAGTAACATGTGCCTAATTTAATAATAAAAAAAAATGCATGTACTGATGTACCAGTACCAAATTATATTCGGTTAGTTATTTATCACATTCATTCACGAGTAAAACAAATGGAAAACGACAGCTATAGCAGGTTGTCAATTTTGGCAACACGGCAAGCTTTTTTTTTGTGAGAATATGTTGACAAGTCCTGCTGATTAGACGTCACGATCATGATAACAGAAACATTGAATTTGATAACGAATATTATGGTCACACTTGTATTTCGTTAAAGTTATCACTTTCTAGATTCTATGGAAGTAAAATACTACCTACTAGATTTAATATGATGATTTAATGTTTGTTTCAAACCCAAATTAACTCATTCAAATCTTTGAGTATGTCAGAAGTTAGAAATATCGAGGTAAGACACATGTATTTTTTTTTAACTGCTTTTTTTTTGTCTGCTTAACTTTTTACTGAGTGGATTGCTCTACATACTGTGAACTCAGCAAAAGATGTTCTAAAGCTTGATTATTTTTATAAAATAAAAATTGCGCTTATTTTTTTGCCAACCTACAGTTGCCATTTAACATTTTAAAAATAACGCCAGTTACAGTATAGTTACTAATTTTGTTTTCCTATAACAATTAATATTACCATGTGATTGCTTTACTATAATATTATAGACTAAAAATCTCTTTTTAAAGTAGGTAGATTATTTAATTTGTCAGACAAAAAAATTGAATATATGTTATTTATAAATAAGTAAACAAAAAAAAATATATTAGCTTTATTTTATCATAAGCCATAAAATCTAATGTAAAAATCATAATCATTTTAATTATATTTTGTAATTTTACACGTACCACTTCATTATTATGTAATTGTTTCATCCGAAATAGTTAACGTTACAATTAAATGTTAATTTGTTTGCAGTATTTAATGGCCAACAACATTTTTAACAACGACCCATAACTTTTCATCATGTTTTTATATTTTTATGTACAGTAAGTATAACATATACCATATCTATAAAATTTTATTAAAAGCTCCATTTAAAAATATAAGCACGAAATATGTGTTCTTTTTATAATATTATTTTTAATAAAAATGACTGATATGGCATTTAAGGTATTGCTAATTTGTTTTTTTCAAGATTACCTTTTTTTTATATTGTGTTGGGTAAAATGTTTCGATGGAGTTATTTGTGTATTGGAATTTGCTTTTTTTTTAGATATTGATCTTTTTTTTTATGATTTCATTATCAAACTGTTGTAAAATGAATATTATTATAAAGGAAATTAATTTTATTTTGTACCTATTTCCCAATCTAATTGATTATAATGATTTTTAAAACTCAATAGTTAGATGTGATAACAATACTCGGTAACTATTTTTTATATCAATGTAATTTAAATTAAAAATTAGGTAATTAACAAAAAAAGTTAATTTTCATTTCTTTTTTAAAATTACTTTGTATTATAGAAAATAACCCCTAACAAAAATATAATATTACACTTTATTGTATACGTGTATTTAGTTAGCAATGCTGTCATCATTAGCACTTACAACAGACTGAGTACAGTCAGTCTGTTATGTTAGTGTATTTTTTTTGTGTTTATGTTTTTTTAATATTTTATACTTTTTAATTGTTAAGACGATAACATATTAGAATGGTTTTAAAAAGTATATTATACTATAAGTTATAACATTAATGCAGAGCTGAGAAGGTATTATTTTAAAAATTATGTGTTGTTTTATATTTATCTACTTTTGTGTGACGGAATTTATTATACCGTTGAACTACTTTCTTTATGTAGCATTTCTGTAGATCAAAAATCATCTGAAAGGTACTTAATGGGTCAAATAAAAAAAGTCCATCCCTTCCACTTCAAAATCAAGAAAAACACCCTAAAAATATACATATTTTAGCTTTAATGTAGAGTTTTGAAAGTATTGTTTTTCCAATCATGATTCTATTTTTATTTATTTATTATGTGTGGACCTGTAATATATTTTAAAATCGTTAAACCAATTTCTTTATGTAGCAAGTCTATAGAAATCAGAAAAGTACATTACTGGCCTAAAAATGTTAAAAGATCAATCCTTCCTCTTAAAAAATGGAGAAAATTACTCCAAAAATGTACATCTTTTTAACTTGAAACTACAGCATAATATTACATAATTTAGTTGTTATTTGCTTAATGTATTCAAAATAATTATTTTGAGAAAAGTTTCACAATACATGCATTAAACACAAATATTTTTGTTTTATTTGTTACAGACAATGATTGTTTTGATTTGGAATTGATAAGTTACACAAAGCACAAATGAGTGGTGGAGAAGATGGGTTCTCAGTTTTGGGACATATTGCGCCAAGGCATTTGGGCTTCATTTACAGGAGGATGGTATTACGAACCAAAGCACAGTATTTTTACAAATACATTCCACCTTTACTTATGGCTCATTCTACTTTGTTTACCTTTTTTTGTTCATTTGGTATAAAACAATTTTGAACCAGTAACATTTTATTCGCTTAATAAACATAATTTTTTATATTTTAATATTATTTTACAGTATGTATCGGATATTATTGTATGGATATTGTATTCGACCATTGTAAGTCTGATTATAACAATAATAAAATTTGTAAATTGGTCTCTCCACCACATGTTCGACACTACCGAATATATTGTAGAAGAAGACATCAAAAAGGATAGCAACACTGATCTCGAATGCCGTCGGCCTCCTCTTAAAGAGCCAAACAAGTATGAAATTTAGAGAATTATATTTACTGGTTTATAATTAGAGATTAGTTAATTAATACATGTATCATGTTATAGAGAGGAAGAAGGCATTGAAATGCAAGTGCTCGGTGGAGGTGAGGGTATCAACAAAAATGAACCATCTACATCGGGTATTGTATACCATCAAAATGAATCAAGTAATTTTTGTATAAAATAATTAACTTAATAATAAATGAAAAATAATAACTGTAAAAAATAAAACTAGATCCTGAAAGACAAAGCAGTTCAACTAGTACAGATTCTGGTTTGCATCTCCAAGAAAAAAGTAAATCTGAATGGCCGCTTAACATTGTGTTTATTTTAAGGAGTTACAATTTTAAGTATTTATGTATGTTATAGATAACCAATCTTTTGTTGAAAAAAATAAAGATGGGAATAGTAATAGACGTTATGATAGAGGAGATTTAAAAAGCTTCTCAGAGATATGGAAGTATCAAGATGAGCGTGGGCAAGACTTTATTACAGTTTCTACAGTAAATTTCTATATACTATTTTTTAAAAAATGTTATTATTATTTTTATTATTTATTGTAAACAAATACTATGTCAATTTATGTTTGTAGGACTGTTTTACAAACGAATGTAATAACCTAACATTTCAAGGAGATCCAAAAAGTGCTAGTTCAGATTACTCCACATGCAGTGATGTTTTTGCAAAAGATAAAGGTATTCAAATTATTGACTAAATGCTAATTAGTATGACATTATTACCAGTGTTATGTTAATGTTCAACTAATTCATTTTATTCACGTTGTATAAAATATTTATATTAATTTATTTTATTATGATTAGATGTGGGAAGAACTTCAAGTTATCAGCTTGTCTTTACGTCGAGCGATATAGTGTATCCAATTGTCGAGCACTGTGAAGACCATTGCTCTAATCAAGGAATTATTCACACAGTAATTGATAGTGACGATGATGATGAAGCTGGTAGTAGATCCCCTTTGTTAACTTGTCACATAGGAAATTGGAAAATGTGTTCAGAAGATGTTAAGAAAGCATTAAAAGCTGATAGTGATATTGAAGTAGCTCTAATAAATGATAGTAAACCTAAAGGTTAATATTCAGTTTTGTATAAGACTCCACTTTGTTTATTTTTTTATAACCAAAAATAATTTTGTTTTTTAGATACTGGCTCAAATCACTTGTTAGATTCTCCAGAAACTTTAGGATTAGATTGGCTCTTTGAACACACAGAAAGTGAATCAGAAATTGACAATACTAAAGGTATGTACTTGAAAATTTATTTTTCTTTAAATGGGTTATTTATTACCAAAAGCGTAAAAACCAATTTTTAACATGCTGCGTAAAGTAAGAAAATCGGAAAACATTAACTCAATACCGTGGCATTTTACATTGTCCGATGACGATTATACCACCACTTCTGAAGATAACAATTCTAGTGAGTGGGAATACACACACAAGCGTTTTTACTAATTCAATTTTAAAACAATTTTTCAATTTAATGTTATTTATTTTATTGTATGAAGTTTTTTTTCAAATACAGGAAACAAATCAGATTCAAAAAATTGCAGTAGAGAAGAAATTGAAGCACCTCAAGTAGTTGAATTTGAGTGTTCTGGAGCTACACCAAAAACAAAATCTATAAAAGATGGTGTGTTTCATTTTTTAAAACTTTTTGAAAGCTTTGGGATATCACACTGTTGTTAATTTTTAGTTGGGGTTTTTCAATATAATGTTAATAACTGTTAGGTTGTGAAATCTGTATTTTGAAGCACGTTTGCTAGGGATGTAGTATGGGTCACTGCTAAAAATACTGAATGGTCACTCGTCCGAGACCGAACAGTGACAGACACAACTTAACCCCAGATGCCAAGTGTCACCTGAAGTAACTACTTCGCCACTCCCTTTCAACATCATTATTATTTAGAATTTGTATTAATTTATATGACTTATATTAAATTTTATTGCGTATAGTTTTTATTGACTTGAATTAGGTTTTAAGGCCTAGTTAAATCATCTATGGAGAGGAAGGTAGTCTCTCTCTCTCTCTAGATAGTTGTTTGCCCAGAGAGAGAGACCACCCATAGCCAATTGTCGAACTGGGAACTAACACACTGCCACCTTACCCACTCGGCCACTCATTCTCGTATTGTTAATAATTGTTTATATAAGATGTCAAATGTTTATGTAAGATGTGTACATATGTACATTTAACATCAAAATTATAATTCTTTATTTTATGTTTTAGCGAAAAAATCAAATAAAAAAAGAAAAGCCACTTCTACCCCTCATTTAAGCGTCAAAAATGATTCAGACAAAAAAAGACATCGAAGAACAAATAAAAATAAATCAAGTGGTAACCAATTAATTTCTTTAATTATTTATTCATTACATTCTGATATTTTTATTGATGTTATTTTATTTAACATTTTTATCTTATGACAACATAGTATTAAATTGAATATGTTTACAAATATAAATTTGTTAACAAACTGAACTGTATTAATATAGTTTTGGAGAATGGATGGGGTTTGTTTTCTTTAATCAAGTATTGGTTTTTGTTATAAGTGTCATATTCTTTGTTGGGGTAATACAGTTTTCTCTGTTTGATTTATGTTTTAGTTTATTCCATTAAAAAAAAAAAAGTTATATTTATAGTGATTTTTTTTTTGTATTCTTAAATTTGTTAGTTGTTTAATAGTGTATCAAATCTATATCAAAACTTTATTCTTACAGAGTCAAGGCGATGCAGATGTGAAAAAAATAAAAGTGATATGGACTGTGGTACTGAATCTAAAAGTTATCCTACAGTAACAGATGAATGGATTGACAACAACACACTTAGTAGACCCGATGCGTATGTATAAATATTAAACATGACATTAATTTTCTTCATAACAATAAAAAAAATGAAAATTACTAAATTTTAGTTAAGTGGTTAAGTTTAAGTTTTTAGATTTCTTTAAATTTAATTTAAATGTTTTTTTTTAAATTTTGTTTTGCTTAAAATATATAATAACCAATGCTGTACCGTTTACAGAATGACAACTTTAAATGTAAATGAAGGTGCATCGTCCTCGGCTGGTTCACACAACGAACTAAGTTCACTCTTACCCACAAGTTCTGAGCTAGCTATCAATCCGACATCTGAATCTCAGCATGATAACAAAACATTAGTAACAAGTTCAAAAAATGAAGTTATTTCAGGAAATAATGAGCTTGGAATTAGCCGTATAGAAGGTCGAAGTAGAATGAGACATCGACACGTGAGGTTAGATTAATGTTTTCGTACATATATTTTTAGTAATAATTTAAAGTTTTACTAACTATTGTAGTAGTAGAAATAGTCGTCGTATAAGATCTCGAGATGCATACAATTCACCATTTTTGCAAGCTACTGATGGTGTTAATTTTGCTGCTTGTTCTGAAGATACCTCTGAAGGGTAAGTATTTGAATTATTACTATACTCTGTTCCAAATTATATGACTTGTAGTTACGCATAGTGGGCATGGCAAATGTGCCACACATCAGTATAGTTACACTCCCCCTCATATGTCTACTCCATACGGAACAAACATAATTTGGTAGTTTGCGCACAAGTCATCTTATTTGGAACCAAATAATAAGTATAGATGTTTAAAAATAATTTATTTTTCAATTCAATTATATGATTTATAGAGCTGTACATTTTTTTCGAGATGAAAATGGTCAATGGATGACCTACACATTTCGTGATATGTTGAATAATAATTCATCGATAATCAAACCTTTCCCTTCCACATCTCGCCGTGATGATTCCACAGATGATCTCGTATTCAACCATTCTCCAGTAAGACTGTTTCCCCGTCCAAACCGTGGTTATGAACATCAGCATCAGTTTGAAACTGAAGATACTTATTGGTTACAAAATCAACCACAACGATATCGTCACTTCAATATATCTCCAATAATTTCACCTGTCGAGGAGAGCCTGGAAAACGAACATGAAAATATCAGGCCAGATTTTCAAGATGAATATCCTGCAATATCGCGGCAATTACGTTTCGATCTACTTGATCCTAATGTTGGTGTGCCGAAACCCAAACGATATTATCCATATAAACCATTGAAGAAGCTGTGTTTTAAAATACGTTTCGATCGCCTTGCACTATTAACGGCAATTGATCGAAATCTTACTCTATTTGAACTATTTATAACAATTAGTCTAGCAACAGCAGTCGCAATTCTAGGCGCTTTTGTATTGCACTACAACTTTTATCGAGATGTTCATGCTTTTATTTTTTGTTTTGTTATCGCTGGTTGCCAGTATTCCTTAATAAAATCTGTACAACCAGATGTAGCATCTCCCACACATGGATTTAACAAAACTGTTGTTTATAGTCGGCCAGTTTACTTTATCATATTTTCATCTATACTTCTTTTAACACACTTGCAATTAAACTCTGGTCGTACATTTTATCAAATTAAGTTTTACGGATTTACCTTACATATTACATATATGTTAGAAACCCTACGCAGTTTTTTAGAAAGCTTTTTATTATTCCTACCAATTGCCTTTAGTTTTGGTCTACTTCCTCAGGTAAACACATTTTTTATGTATACATTGGAACAAATAGATATACACTTGTTTGGTGGAAATGCAACAAGCTCGTTGAGAGCTTCTGCTTACTGTGTACTGCGAAGCTGTTTAGCTGTGTCTATTTTATATGGAGTTGCTTATGTGGCACTAAACGGATGGTCAGGGTCATCAAGGAATGTGCTATTATCTTTGTTTTGTGCAATACTCATGGCTATATCTTACCACTTAAGCCGCAGTTCAAGTGATCCAGCACCAATATTAAATGTGTTAAAAACGTATTTGTGGCCAAATGACGATATATTTTCTAGACCTGACGTTGAATGTCCTAGACCAAAAAAAGAAACAAATAAACTAAACAAAAAGGGCTCTGAACAAAAAGAAACTGTGTGTGAAGAACAAACAAAATCTGGTAAAAATAATTATTTCATTATGTTCATAACTTCTTTGAAATCAAAATAATATTTTATTTTAATAGAGTTGGATGACGAAATAGAAATTCAAGATAACTGGCCTAAACAGTTACAAGACACGATAAATGGAAGACTGAAATCAGATTTAATTTTTTGTCCAGTTGTGGGTCTCATTATTTTTGCTATTCATTCTAGTAACATATTTTCAGCTCTCCAACCAGAATTAAATCCAGTGAGTATTTCATTTTTTATACTGCATCCATTTATTTATCTATCATATTAAGTTTGAGAGTTTATAGATTTTTTTTTTAATGGAACTATTTAGGTTTTATAATTGAATATAAATTAAAAAAACCGAGAGCCTAGCCATAGCCTAGAAGCTAAAACACATGTTTTTCGGTGTGTGAGGTCACAGTTCAATTACCAAGTAGCTGTTGAGCTATTTTTCTCATTGGTGGAATCAAGCCTTTAAAATCACTAAACGTTCGATTAATTAGACACCACTTATCCTAGTTACTAAGAATCATCTCAGACCTCTTTACACACAATGAACCTTTGGTCAAAAAGTTATGCTCCTAGCGGTTTTTTGCTTCTATCCGATTGAAAAAAAATAAACACAGAATTTAAAAAAAAATAATTATTTATTTAATAAAAATCATGTTGAAAGTTCATGAGTTCCTCAAACTTTTCTCATAGGTTTTAGTTTTTAAAATTTTTTTTTTCATATTAAAAACACCAATAAACAATAAATCTTGAAAACTCAATGTTATTCAAATGCAAATATTTAAATGCTCACCAGGCCAGGTAAATATTGAACTACAGTGATGGAATTTTGTGTTTATTTTTTTTTGATCGAATAGAAGCACAAAAACCACCAGGTGCTTAGCTTTTGACAAAAGCTAAGATAATAGACACCCTAATAAACATAATTATTGTCAATAAAATGATTAATACTTAATACTGCTTCATCTAAGCTATATCTTTAAGAACACCTAAAAATCTGTGACCTTACTATGCCATGGCCACACTGTTCAAGCTTTATTAAAAAAAATACATTTATTAATTTTATTAAACACGCCATGATGTATATTATAATTAATAATCATTCTCTTTCCTTTAGTTAATGTGGTGTACCACATTCAGTGTTGGGTTTTTGTTGCATTACATAATACCACAACTACGGAAGCAACTGCCTTGGTTATGTGTGGCTCATCCAATACTAAAGCCTTCAGAATACAATCAGTATGAAGTAAAACAGTTAGCCAAAATTATGTGGTTTGAAAAAGTAAATTATACATAATATAATACAAATCAACATTTTTACATTTTAATCATTATTATTCTGTGCAGGTATATGTGTATCTATGTTTTTTTGAACGTAATGTTCTTTATCCTCTTATGTTTATTGGTTGTCTAACATCAGATAGCCCAAAAGTTGTCAATAAATTGGGACTTCCATTGGGTTCTTTAGTTTTATCTGTATGTGCACTCAAATGCTTGCGATGTTCATTTTCACAACAGTCTAAGCAGTACAACATACTAGCTTTTGCTGTGCTCTTCTTCCACTTAGACTACAATGAATACACTGAAACATTCATAATAGATTATTATCTTACAGCCATTGCTTATGACAAAATTTATGAATTCTTACTTAAGGCAAGTAACATCATTTTTTAAACTTTTGTTATTGATAATATTATTTTTATTTTAATCACAATTTATTTTGTACAGCTTCAATTTGTTATTACATATATAGCCCCTTGGCAAATAACTTGGGGTTCAGCCTTTCACGCTTTTGCACAGCCATTTTCTGTTCCGCATTCAGCAATGATGTTTCTTCAGGCATTTTTATCAGCAGTTATTTCTTCACCGCTATATCCATTTTTAGGTAAGTATTTGTTATGTGAATTGAATTAAATTGTGATTGTAATATTTATTTTGTGTTTTTTAGGAAGTGCTATATTTTTGACATCATATCCACGACCTGTAAAATTCTGGGAACGAGATTATAACACTAGACGCGTTGATCATACAAATACTAAACTGTCATCGCACTTGGAAAGAAATCTTGGTGCTGATGATAATAATTTAAACTCTATATTCTATGAACACCTTACTCGGTTATTGCAACATACACTTTGTGGTGACTTGATACTTGGCCGTTGGGGTAATGTGTCTCAAGGCGATTGCTTTGTATTAGCATCTGATTATTTGAATTGTCTCGTTCACATTGTTGAAATGGGTAATAATTTGGTTACGTTTCAAATGCGTGGACTAGAATTTCGTGGAACATACTGTCAGCAAAGAGAAGTAGAAGCAATATCGGAAGGTGTAGAAGATAATGAAGGTATTTACACAATTCTTTTGCTTGACCATAGAATTTGCTCGAAAAATATTTTGTGCTGGCGGCAGCAAACCTCAAGTAAAGGTTTTTTGTTGAAATAAGGAGATAAAAGGGGGAAAGCTAAAAATCCAAAAAATATAAAGAATATTTTTCACAATATGATACCTTTTAAGGGAGGGGTCGACTAAAAAAAAATAAAGACAGATTAAATTGTATTAATTAATATTTTACTTAATAGGATGTTGTTGTTGTGAGCCTGGACACTTTCCTCATATATTGTCTTTGAATGCTGCTCTCGGACAACGCTGGCTTGCCTGGCAGGTAGTAGCAGCAAAGTATGTAGTACAAGGGTATAGCATATCAGACATAAACGCTTCTTCAATGCTACAAGTTTTTGACTTCCGAAAAGTTCTTGTCAGTTATTATGTAAAGGTAATGTAGTATTCTAAACAATGCCATTGAGTTTTTAATTGATATAATTCATTTTTTTTTAGAGTATTATATATTATGCAATTCGATCGCCAAAATTACCACAGTGGCTTGCATCTGAAGAAATCAAAGAGGGTTTAAAACCTACATTGGGTAAAAGTTTTGTTGATCTAGACCCCGTTTTCAATATAAACATAGATGAAGACTATGATTTACTTTCCTGTGGCGTCACTCGTAATAGCTTTTGCTCTTTCTATTTGGAGTGGATACGGTTTTGTGCTTTCCAAACTGAAAATGTAAAGATATTATATTTTTAGAAATTAAAGTCTACATTTTAAAACAAATGTCCTTTTTATTTTTAAATTTTAGATAAGAAAAGTTGTAATCGACAAAGGAAAAGAATCCGTATTGGTATCATTGTGTTTTGCATTAAGTTTGTTAGGTAGACGATCACTTGGCTTGGCCTCACATACAACTATGTCTAGGTATAATAAATTGGTTAAGTGTGATTTTCTTATAGTAAAATGATTATTACATTTTAGTGTCGAATTCTTTCTGTATGGTTTACATGCACTATTTAAAGGGGATTTCCGTATTACTTCGGCAAGAGATGAATGGATATTTGCCGATATGGACTTAATGAAAAAAGTATTAGCACCTGCAATACGTATGTCATTAAAACTTCATCAGGTAAATTATTTTTGTGTTAAATAAAATTAAAATGATAAAATATTATATCATCAGAAATATTACAGAATCATTTCATGGTTCCTGACGAGTATGAAGATCCAGCTGCCCTCTACAATGCCATTAGCTATCATCAACGAAATTTAGTTATTTCTCATGAAGGAGATCCAGTTTGGAGAAATGCTGTTCTATCAGGAATGCCATCATTACTTGCGTTGAGGTAGGAAATTATAGAAAAATTATGTTCTGTTTTGTTAATTTAATAATCATGCTTTTCATGTCTAATAGGCATATAATGGATGATGGATCAGATGAATATAAAGTGATAATGCTAAATAAACGGTTTTTAAGTTTTCGTGTTATAAAAATAAACAGAGAATGCGTGCGTGGCCTTTGGGCTGGACAACAACAGGAATTAGTGTACTTGAGAAATAGAAATCCAGAACGTGGTAGTATACAAAACGCTAAACAAGCATTAAGAAATATTATAAATTCGTCTTGTGATCAACCCATTGGATATCCAATTTTCGTTTCACCGTTAACCACATCTTATGCCGAGACAAACGAACAATTATCATCACTTGTGGGAGGTTCGATTAGTTTGACAGAAATCAAGAAAACTATTGTTAGATTGTGGGCAAGGTTAGTCGAACCTAAAAACTCTAAAATGTTATATTTATATAGTATATTATTTGTTATACATTTTTTCTTATTATTAGGTTGAAAAGTAGATGCGTAGAAGGATGTTCTAGTGGTAGTTCGTTACAGTCACACGATGAAGGCGGTTTTGGACATGATGGCGTCTATGCCATGACACAGTTCAATCGTCATTCTGGTTATGGTACCAGAACACCAGGAAGTCAATCTATTGAAATGAGTGGTAGCGGCAGTGGAATGGGTGGTAGCATTAGTAGCAGAAGTGGTGGCACACGAGGTAGTACAGCAAACGTAGCTGGAAAACCAAGTTCTGCCGGCCTTGCGAATTTGGCGGGCTTATTATCCTCATCTCAGTCTCCTATAACGAGTTCGCCACAGGCTTCTGTCGATAGCAATCCTCATAATGATAATTCACCTATACAGCATAGAGTTTTGGTATAAATCAATTAAATTGTGAACGACAGTTTTTTTTTTCAGTTACAAACTATAATTCTGTATGTTATAGATATTAGATCCATTACAAGTTTATGATGCCATAAATTTAGGACGTAGAATAGATGTTGTGTGGCCAGATGAAAAAATGAGAATAAGAGGTGGCCGAAGTTACTGGAAAGATTGGCTTCCCGAGAAAGGAATGGAAGGACTGGTCAGTTAATATAGAACATTTTTCACAGTTAATCCAATTAATACAATGTTTGAATTTTCATTAGGTGGTTCATCAATGGGTTCCAAATCACCGTGACTTATCGAGGAGATCTCATGTAGACAAAACTATTTTGTTGATCAAGATTGACGAGCGATATGTGCCTATTGCTGAATCCGGTGTATTGGATTTAGGTGCAGAAGTGTGAATATTTTTGTACTAATAAGTAATGACTGATTTATTCGGAGTTATATGGTTTAACCAAAAGAATAATATGAAAAGCAGATATATTTGGGTAAAATTAGTCGTCCTCTAAAAACAGTATAAATCACATCAAAAACCTCCAGCAGTTTCATGGAAAAACAATTTCTGAGGACATTTTATTTGCAATGATATAAATTTATTTCATACTTTTTTTATTAATGTTTTTTTTTTTATTGATTGTTTTGTAAATATAATTATTAGGAAAAATGTATGTATATTTTAAACGTTAGATAAAAATGTTCCTCGTTTAAATGATTATTTTGTGATGCGAATATTTGTTGTTAACATGCATATTTGAACAAATTATATTATTAATGTAAGAAATAGTTTTCTCATTGTTAATTCCTTTAACATTCGAGCGCTGTGTAAGCGCTCGATAGGTCCCCAGTACAGGCGTGTAGCCTGTACTGGGGACTAACGCCAGTAACGTATACACTATACAGCATTTTTTATTAACAAAAGAGAAACTTAAATAATTGAATATCCACCTGAACCACATCTATAAATGGGTTTAAAAATCTAAAATAAAATATACTTTTTACTAAAAAAAAAAATATTTTAAGAGAGAACAAAAAATTAAAAACTAAGGTTTCTTTAAAGCACCCTATTTAGTTATACAAAAACAGTAGATAACCTAACCGTATGAAAAAAAAAATCAACAATTTGTTTTACCTACATTTATATATATTATCATCGTTAGAATTTATAAAGCCGATAATATATCCTCGCAGTCTTAGGTAGAGCTTAGGAAAGCTTGAAAAAGTTTACTTCTTCACAGTCGAAATTTGAAAAAACAAAAAAAAACCGTAGCTTCATCCATGGCTTGATATATAAAATACTCAGACACACTACATTTTGTCACTTTGTGTTATACCTATTTTAGAAACGTGTCAGGAAATATAATTAGACCTAGGTATAACTAGTCTATTAATTACACCGGTATTGACAAAAAGTGCCATAAACTAATGTTTTTCTACAAGAAAACTATATTATCATACACCATAATAGGTTCCTACTATTTTAAATCACTGTTTGAAGAAATACATATTTCCTAAATCAGTAAGAATTTGTATTGTAATTTTTTGTTTATTATTTCGTTATGTCTAAGTGTAAATGTCTAAATGTAAAGTGGTAGTAGTATATTCGTTATTTATAATAACTATTAAATGCAAGTTTAAAAAATATATATTTTAATTATTGTGACATCAGGGCTCTAAAATTCGAAAAAATAAATGATAGAAACATTTAGGTACACAAATGATAAAAAAAATGTTTTTTTAATATATTTTATAATAAAATAACATGTTTATTTTTAATTTCAATTAAAACGCCTTTTACATTCATCGTACAAAGTCGAGAGTTACATTTATTAGAGCATTTCTTTACTTGGTTTGTATTATAATCTTTTATGTTTTATCATTATAAGAATTGACAATTTTTAAAAAAGAATATGTATAGTTTTTTTTAATTGAAGGTAAATTGTTATCTGCTTCTGCAGTGCAAACAAATGAAATTAAGAGCTATTTTTTTGTAGCATATTTTGTATTGATGCTTGTATTTGAATGCATTGTAGAACGTTATTGTTATAATAATTATTAATTTCTGTAGCAAATACCTTTTTTTTAAATATATATACAGTTAATGTATTGCGTTTTCCTAAATCGGAAAAGTTTTACAATTATAACTAATTTGTAAATCAGCAGTTTTTGTAAATCAATTTATCATTTAAATTGTAATCTAAAATTTTATTATTGTTTTTTTTTTATCAAAACCAAGCTGTTTTTCATAGCTTCTGCTGTAATGTAAACAAATGGTAAGTTCCTATAGGTACCACAAACTTTGAATATAATATGAATCTTCGTATTTTACGAAAACAATTTGTATAGTTTTATTACTTATTTTTTATCGAAAACCAGTTGTTTTTCTGAACATATTTTGTTTTGCAATTGTGTTTGACCTATTTTATTTCTTGCACGGTAGAATCTCGATGTTTTAATAATTATAGCAAATACCCTGATATGTCTAATTATTTTTATTTTACGTATTACCCTTAAAATGCATTTTTAAATAAAATGTTTTTTTATTTAAAAAACGCCACTTTTTCTAAGACTTAATGCAATATTTTCCTACAACTTGTATGGTTTTAAATTGCACGGTTATTTTTCAAATGTTGTTAGCAAAGTTAGCATATCGTTTTTACAACGACTGTTGCAATGTAAATAAATTACAACACCTCCAAGATTCGTATACTGATAATTTTCAATGATCTAAGAACATTATTTACATAATTTTGACACTAAAAATGTTTTAAAAAATCAGTACAGTGGGGTCGGGGCATAGTGGGGACAGCGAGATCACAGGTTTACAGGAATTTTAAAATCGGTGTAAATCGGTAGTTAGTATTTTCAAGCCAGTACAGTCCAAACCAAGCTCAGTATAAACCAGCAAAGTTATAAAGTATTAAATTGATGTGCTGTATTTACAAATAAGCATCAAAGCGTTAATATGAAAGTGATTTTATCCGAGAGAACTAGTACAGTAGAGTAAAGGCATAATGGAATCAAAGCAACGAGGGGACGGAGAGGTTACAAGTCTACAGGAATTATTATAAATAAAAATGATAAAATTGAATAAAATCACTTTCCGTCAAGAATAAAATCAATCAAGTTCTGTTGGAAGTGGAACATATGTTTTTGTACAAAAATGGTCCTAAATGCGTGATAAAAGTTGGAAAAAAAAAATTAAATATCAAAGTAGATCCTTCTTTACTATAGTAATATGTACGTTAGAAAATTTTAGCTGAATGTTAAGTTTTAGTGAAAAATTGCCTATACAATGCGCCTTAATAAATGCTAGAATAGAGGCCCCTTAAAGTAACATTTTATAAAGGTAAAATGTTATTATCGAAATATTATAATTTTTAAAAATTAACAAGTGTAACATTGGAAGTATTATTTTAAAATTTGAAAATAATCTATTTATTAATAAGTATTTCATCTCCTTCCAAAACATTATTTTGTTTGCAAACATATTTTATTGTTCACGTATTTCTAGATCACTAGTACACTAACAGGCAATTCATTTAGTAAAATGAATACTACAGCTCATTTATAAAACTCGAATAGTGACATATCTGTTAATTAACAATCAGCATCGTGTAGTTTATAAAAGCTACCAATGTCTAACGCTGTCATCATGAAATGGTTCTTGACGAATTTGCTTTCGGTCAGGTTAGGTTGAATTAGCACCAGTATGATACTTAAGGTGACAAGGCATTACTGTGATTGTACAAAAACGTTTAGACCACACCTTATGCCGTATTAAACACCAAACCTTTTGCTAATGAGAGCTTATTACTGTGAAATATTAAAAAAAAAAAAAAAAAAGTGCTTAATTAAAAATGAATTACATAAAATTAACGGCGATAGTTTATTGTTTAGTTATTGCGTTTAACCCTGTTAACGAAGATATTAACTTACTAACGTTTCTTAATAGCCATATTATTAGTATAATTTGTAATGATCGATGAACCTAAGAATTATAAGCACTGAAGTTCAAAACCGAAATGATTTTATTTAGGTTATTAATTACAAAAAACCGTTTTTTTCTGGTTTTTACACCTACGCACGTTGAAATTTTGGACATAGGTCTAGTTACCGGAACAGGTTTTTAAAACAGAAATCATATATAATTATTGTCGGTACTCTTGTGAGCTGTGGCAACGATTAAAAGAACTGTTTTTTTTTTACATTTGTATTAGTAAAAACATTTAATTTCGAGGTGTATAATAATTATTTATTTAATAAAAATCATTTAATTATTTATAATAAAATAAATATTTATTGTTTTATTATTATTAAATATTGATTATTCTATTAATTTGTCGTCTTGTGGGTACGAATCATCAGTGCCGAGTTGATTGCTGAGGTTTGGTACCGGACCAAATTGACTTGGAGTGCTGATTTGCTGGAAGGCGTCTCGATAACCAACACGTGTCAGAAAAGCCTTAACAAATAAAACATTTTATAATTTGTAGATGCTTAAAAAACTAGTGTAGTACAAAAAGTTCCATGACACTTGAAATAAAATGAAGAGTAACTATTATTATGTGAAAAGGATATTATAATTTTTTTAATATTTTTTCACGGTGTAATTTTTTAGAAAAACTTCTTTACTAGTTTAAATTGTATTTTAGCCTAAATACAGGCAACATACAATACATATATATATAATAAATATATTATATATTATAATATATTATAATATATATATATTATAAATATATAAAATATTTGCAATTTAAGATGGAAATGCGTGGAATATCGCGGGACATTCGGAACTGTGCCGTTGTCATTTGAATTTTGTCTTATTCGAATAGACACCGGTTATCGATTATGACTAATACATAATCGGTATTTTGGTACATAATAAATAATAATTATTCATAAGAAACCTGACGTGCAGCTTCCCTTTCTATTTGTTGATTCGTTTTGTTACCAAATTCCTTAAAATTAAACAACATATGATTAGTTTGTATTTTATACAAACGTACTCGTATAGTATGCCTGCTATCGAATGACAGATGTTGATATGCCAATTTATGTCAATTACTGATAAGTTTTAAAATAAGTATTACACTAAGTGGAAAAAATAATGTGTTTAAGTGCGGCTTCATCAACAAACTATAGTTGCTAATGTGGAAGTTAATACTTGAAAATACATTTTTCTGATTTGTAAAAATAATAGTTGATTTGATGTCTAAATCAAATGATTTGCCATGTTCTACTAGTCCTTTTTAATATATTAATCAAAAATAAATGTTTGGATTATATTTAAATTGCTGGTTTCATAAGAAATAAATTTAACTATTTATAAAAACAATAAAACAATTTTAGAATTTCACTAAAAAATTGTCATCTTAATGGGCTTATGAAATCCTATCACAGATGTAAAATGGTATAAATGTACATTTGTGTAATTATATTACGAAATAATTTCCTAAGTATGTATATATAATATGGTACATATATATATATATTTTTTTTTTTTTTTTTAATTATATAATAAACCCAATTTTACTCTAAATTTAATAACAATAAAGCTAAATTGCCAGTCTCTGAGCTAAAATTTTATTTGATTATGAGTGGTATACTACCTATTGTTTACCATCACGCCCTTATAGATATTAGATTAAAAAAAATACTTGAATCTTCACAAATAATACTAACTTTAAGTTATATTTTAAATCATGGAAAATTGTATTCATAATTAGAAATAAAACAATTCTTGGCTAAAAAATAATTATTATTCACAGATGAATAAGAAAATTATTATCATATAAACTTTTAGCTTTTCATTAACTGTTAAAAACGGTTTTATATTTTGTTGAAAAAATACTTGTTATTAATATTATTATTAAAGAATGTTAATTTTAATTAAATTTTACCTCATCTCCTCCGCAATTTATACTGCTGAATAATACCTGGAAAACAAATCAAATATAAATTTAATTACAAATAAATATAATGTACAATGTCTTTCAAAGTTATAAAGTTTTATACTTAACAGATAGTACTAAAACATATCGTAAAAACATGTTGAATATATTTTGGGCTAACATAACAGAATGATGTGTTTAAACTGCGTTTGTCAGTATTAAAAAAATCACTGTAGCTGCAAAAGAAGTCTACTGTTTTGTGTTCAACACGGTTACTTTTATACCAAATAACTTAAACCCCAACAAAAACCTAACAGTGAAAAAAGGCCAAGTTCCAGACCCCCTCCCAAAAAAATCAGCCTATCAAAGTAGCCAAGTCTGCTATTTTTTAAATTCATAGCCACACTACACTCCTACTTTCATGAGCAACACTGCTCTTTTATTTGTATTGCTTAACACTTGGCCAGTTTGTCAATGAAACATGATCTTTCTGAATGAGGCATAAAACAGACTTCACAATGTAGATATCACTACATTGATAGGCTGATATTTTTGGGAGGTGGTATGGAACTTGGCCATAACGAAACCTAAATGTTTAGGTGTTGTAATAATCCCAATACTATTTTTTGTTATTATTAGTCTTATTATTATTATCATGTAGATGTTGTAATACTTTTGTTGTTGTTAAATATTTGTAGTCTCGCGTATTGTCCAGTAGCCCAATCACGCGTTATTATGATTTAGTAATAGTATGATTAATCATTGTTTAGTTTAATATAAAAGGGCATTAGTTATAAGGCTAGACGCCTCAGTACTTAATTAGTATACGCAGCTATCTAATTGATACTCTGTGTCATTATAATTAGTATTGTCTTGAACTATTATTGTGTTTTGAAAAGTGTTAATTAAACATTATAAACTTGGTTTTGTCTCTGTATGAAATACCATTTTCATATCTTCTAAGTTTTACAAGTGTGCTGCTTAAATCTCTTAGTGCAGTACAGTGTACAATTACACTTTATAATAAACCACGTGACAAATGTAACAAGAACAAAGAACACTGTCATAAATGTGAACATGAATTAACAAAGACACAAACTACGACCAAATGATGGCTGACTAGAGACGTGGGCATCAACAGCGCTCTGTACCGCTGTAGCGCGGCAAAAGTCATTAATCCCCAACCAGCGCATTAATTTTGAGAAAATAGCAATTTTCAGATTTTTCCCTTTACTTACACTATTAGACCCACATTTTTGCCAAATTTCACGTTTCTACCTATACGGGAAGTGTCTTATCATTTTGATGATGAGTGAGTGAGTCAGTAACAAAAAAGCAAATTTTTAAATCCTCCCATTTTAAAACGGCTAAATATTAAGGCTTCAATTTTAGACAGTGTCCTAAATTATTTCAGCTTAGTGTACGACGTTGTACTGAAAATAAGTTTTGGAAGGTATTGAGTGGGTAAATAAAAAAACAGGAGAAATCTTTGGATTTTGTTCCACATATTATTGTGATCCGTTTTTTTTTAAATTTATTATACCTACCTATATGAATAATCGTTTTTCACAGGTGTACTATTGCGTGAAATTATTTATTTACTTTATTATTGAAGAATAATATTTAGTATCATATACCTAAAGGTTATACGCAGTAGGATAAGACTGATAGTTTAAAAAATATAGTGCGAAAAACAATAGCAATGTCAATACACAAAAAACAAACATAATACTTCTAAAAAACAAGATATTTTAAAGAATGTAATACGTTTTAGAACGGAGTTATGGTGAAGTGTACGGTGCTGTTTCTAACTTTACACATCACTCGACCGTACTTCCCCTCCTGTCTTAATTTTAAAGCTTTAATAATTCTAAAAGTAATTTTTCTGGTAGTTATTGAAAACCATATATCCCTCTATAATCACCTACTATAAGAAATATTGTCAGTAAATACTAATAGCTAATGAAATAAATAAGTATTACAACATTTATAAGTTTTATAAATGTTGGAAATCTTATAATATAAAAATCATTAACCAAAATTTCTTGAAATTAATTAATGAATGTTGATCACTCTGGATTTTTACTGGAAAGTACCTAATTAAAGAAATAATACATAGAAGTTACTCGCCTAATAGATGTAGGTATAATTTAGTTTTAAGCTCAGTATCTTTTACATTCAGTAAATTGGTAATTATAAGTTACATATTATATAATGTTATTCTTGACTAAGTCAGCCGACAGCCTTAAAAAGGTTTCCTTATTTTCTAGATAAATAATTTATCATTTATTCATATAGCAAGAATTATTCATAGATACAAAATTTTTACAGCCCTCCTTTCTCGTTGTACCAGACAATCTTACAAATGTAGTCATCCATGACTTGATTTCTTCATTAAAAGATGTGAACTTTTTAATTTTTTCACCTAAAAAGTACTTTTTAGGAACAATCTCTGATCAATAGAATCGCTACATAAAAAACCGGTTCAGCGGTATAGAAGATATTATGAGTCCAATTCTAAGCTCCAAATCGAACTTAAAAAAAGTTATTCTAATCAATTACTATTTTATCCGTTCTTTAAATATAAAAATATTTTAGTGAAATTATTTATTTGATGAAATTTATTTTTTTCATTTTTCAAACAAAAAAAGCTAATAAATGATCTACCTAACTACATGTCTTTGAATAATGATCATGCCGATAACGGACAAGATATAGTTCATTTATTTGCGAAATACTTTTTTAATGTATACACAGAACAAAACGTTCATTCATCTAATACTTTAAAAATTTTACAAAGTACAAATGTTCTCTTCTATAAACAACATTGAAATAAATTTAATAGATGTATTTACGAAATAAATTCAATTAACACAAAGTCTAGTATGTATAGACTATAGAGGTCCCGATGGTATATCTGCTTTTTTTCTAAAAAAATGCGTACTCATTTTGTCACCCATCATTCTTCTTTTATTTAATAATTCATTGATAACTGAAATATTTCCTGATTATTGGAAAACAACATTTATTACACCTATTTTTAAAAAAGGTAACCATGAAAATATTTGTTACTATAGGCCAATTTCCAAAATTTCTTTAATCGTAAAAATATTTTCTAAAATCATATCTCTAAAAATAACTCCTATCCTTAAGAATGTTTTGGTAGAAGTACAACACGGATTTCATAGAAACCGATCCACTATAACCAATATTGCGATTTTTAAACAATCTATCATGGAATCCTTTATTTCTAATTATTAAACAGATGTAATATTTACTGACTGAGAAAGCATTTGATAAAGTGAATCTTAATCTCTTGATACGTAAATTAGAAACAATCGGTATTTTAAACCCACTTCTCTCTTGGCTTCATTCATTCTTAATTAATAGATATCAGATAGAAAAATATTGAAATTTGCAATCAAATATTATTAAAGTAACTTCAGGTGTACCTCAAGGCGACCATTTATCTACACTTCTTTTTATTTTATTTATAAATGATATAGTAAATGTTATAAAATATTCTAAAAGACCTATTACTTCTAGCGGACGATGCAAAATTATTTAAACCTGTTCAAACCCCCTCGAATGTTACCTGTCTTCAATCCGATATCGATAGTTTTGTTAAATGATGTGTTGATAATGGCATTAAACTTAATATTAATAAATGTTCAATAATGACTTTCACAAAAAAAAAAAAAATGTTATATTAAATAATTATGTAATAAATTGAAGTTGTATTGAACGAATGAACATTGTAAAAGATTTAGGTCGGATATTTGACTTAAAGCTTACTTTTAGTGCACATATACAACACATAAAAAAAAGCATTATCAAGTTTATAATTCCAAAAAAGAAGCTGTTCCTAATTTCATTGTCCCGATGTTTTAAAAACAGTTTACTTCTCTCTAGTACGATCTCGTCTTGAGTATGCTTCTCTAATCTGGTACAACGAGTCTGTCTCACAGAACCATCAATTAGAGTCAGTTCAAAATAATTTTCTACGTTATTTGTCTTTAAAGTGCAATTTTTCGAGACTTCTACACTCAGGTTATGATTATATTACTATTATTATTTTTATTACCATTGTTACCAGTTATTATAATATTATAATTATTTGTTTGTCAATTTATAAATCTATGTTACTTATTATTTATGTTATGCCAAATGGAGTTTTATCTCCGTACATAAAGAAATTATTATTAAAAAATTAGTGCAGATGAGTGTAATGTGTTTTAACATCATAAATAAAAGTCAAAACAGTTTTTAATTATAGACAAGAAAAGATCAACATACGAAATAAAAACTTATGATTTTTTTTTTAAAACAAAATTTTAGAACCAAAATTTTAGATTTAATTCTAAAACTTTAGAATTCTAAATTTGTATTAACATTTATTCCAATAGTTTACACCAATTGGTCGGTTATATCAATTTGTTTTAAAGTAAAATGTAATTCGGTTCAGTGTTTATATTATAATGATTAGTATCTATCTGAAAATAGCTTTAGCCTTTATGTCTGTTATGTGTGTAGAGATGATAAAATGTATATTATTAGTGATGGAATAAAAAAAACTAACTCTCATTTGCAAGTATTTTGATTTTCAGGGATGAGATTTACATGTTAGAATGACATAATGTAGGAAAGGAAGAAGGTTTTCTGTTACTCTTGTTATTTTTTAGGTCCAATTTTAGGACCAAGTCAAAATCAAAGTAACATATTTAATGATATTACATTCAACAACCATTTAAAGTGTTTTTTTTTTAATTTACCTCAAAAAGCGTTTTCTGTATTAACAATATCATTTAAAAAAAGTCTAAAAACGGAATTGTGAACAACAGTCAAATGCAAAATCGACAACACACACTTACACATGTGTACATAAAAAAAAGATGTTTTTATTTACACGAAACTTATCATTTTGGAAGGCCGTACTTCCTGTTGAGTTGTTTTGAATATATTTTTGTCAAAACAACTACCTTAGCCTTTTAATCATAATCGAAAAAACAATAGAAACCAAATAATGTACTTGAATTTGCAATAATACAAAAACCTGAGTAATCAAAACATACTATCAAACGTTAGTGTTTTTTGTGTACTGTATATTTTATATGCATTGATCGTTGACATAATTTACACCACTGTTTCGAAAAATTACAATTTTATACACACACATTTCTGTACAACTATCTAAAAAACCATGAAAACCATGAAAATATTTGTTAATCACTAACTATTATATTACTTTATTATTTGGGATTTAATGATTTTTCAAATATTTTTGATAGAGAGAGTGATAACGATATTGGTCTATAATGGCTACAGTCCAATAATTATAATTACCGACTGAAATAATAGATAATAATTACTGACCAATAATTTTACCGATTATCATGATGTACTTTTACAAAGGCAAAATCGAGGTAAAAGATAATTAGCCAAGTCTTTGCCAGGTTTGTACAAAAATATTTTAGCTTCGATGCAAATCGAGAAGGTATTGGTTTTACTCTGATGTGGGCTTTTTTTTAGCTGTATACACTGTAACTTTTTTAATACTAGACCAATTCCTTCGAATAATAGGGTTGCCAACCGTCCTTCTTTGGGCAGGACAGTCCTACATTTGTATGATTTGTCCTACGTCCAACAAAGCTTTAAACTTTTTGTAGGACAATCCTATATGACAGTTATGTCCTTATACTATAGGGTAAAGTCTATGAAAAATTGAAAAAATACTTATTTATATTTCGTTATTATTATATTTAATTTTATCAAGTTTAGCTTAATCACTTTTAGCAGATTTGTTAAATTTTTTTATAGACCCAATTCTGTATCCGATGTGTATAAGTATATAATTAAGATTTAATTAGAGTGGCAAACATCCAATTGCTATATAGTTTGCTTAATTGCTTAATTGTTATAAATACTTAAAAATGTAGTAACTGCGTTCATTTACACGATATATAATAGTCGAAGTTAAATCCTCCGAGTCAAAAGTATAAATAAGATTCAATAAAGGTGATATAAATAAAATGTATAAGATTATTTATTAAAAATATACATATATTCTATTCATTATATTATATTCTGTTGACTCAAGGCCGGATTTGTTATTCGGATCCAGCTCCCTATAATCCCTGAAATACATTTTTTTAAATAAGTATACTCAATAGAAAGAATAATACAACTCAAAGACTTTAGGACTTCAAGTGTCTCAGCCCAGAAAACATCTAGAAATCACTAAGAAATCTGAAAAATATAATTATTTCTCCCTTTTGACCCCTTGGACATATATGGAAAAATATTGTCCTACATTACACAATTTGAAAGTTGGCAACCCTATCGAATAACAACTCTATAAATCACAAATTTTATCTAGTTTGTACTTTGGGGGGGGGGGGGGGGTAAAAGTTGAAAAAGTTTAATTCTTCACAGACGAAATTTGAAAAAACGAAAAAAAAACCGTACGAGTTTTTAAGTTAGAACTTTTACTGGCTATAATTTCGAGAAAAAGAGTCGGATCGAGTTGAAATGTATAAGAAATAATTATTTGGTATTTAGTTTCCTTTTTTTTTTTAATTCAGTAAGACAGTCAGTCTGATTTAATAATCTAACCAACACATAAGCAAGCTTGCATTAAATTACATTTTATATTTATTAAGTATGAAGTTTATACGATTATATGACCCTAGTTTGATCATTTTTAATAATATATCAGAATTGTTTAATCTAGTTTACAGTAATTTTTTAATATGCCGTATTCTAATTATCTACCTATTATCCCACGCAAAAGGTTCCGTACAACAATTGTTTTTCTCTTCACAAGTCTGTATCCGGCAATAGGTTCACTTTGGACTATATACTTATAATGTATAAATTGATTTGTGTGGAAACTTGAAAATTAAATATGTGTTTTATTCTAGTTGTTTATGTTAGGAATTTAAACTACAAGTATCATATATTCCGTTTTTCTTGTACTAATATATCCTTTAGGTACCCAATTTTGTTAAAAATATATCTTCTAAAAGACAAGATTGAAGACAAAGCTCATAAGATCCTACCTGTATTCTTTAACTATAGAATACATATGTAAGATGTGGTAAAATTAATTTATACTTGACAGCCAAATTCTGAAATCGTCAACAATTTTAGGTAAAAAGTACAAATAATGTTTTATTTAAATAGTAATATGAACAATTTGTGGGAAATTTCAATAAAATTATTATTTTATACCAAATAATATTAAATTATAACATATACTTATAAGTTATGTATATACTCTAATATAATGTAATTTATTATGAATTTTACATTATATAATTTTACATGTATAGTGTATACGATTTTAATTAGAGAATTGATAAAAATCTAACTACAATTTGCAATAAAGATAAAAACCTAACTAAAGAAAATGTTTTTGATATTAAAATACCTGTAGTATTACAGATTTTATAGGTTATGTAACATTTATTTCTTATCACGCGTTATCATTTTTTGAAGAACTACCCTCAAAGTGGATTTCTAAATCACCTTGACTACCTCCCAACTCTACTGATAGTATTCTTTTCTTATCAAATCCTCTCCGGAGTCCGGTGTCACAGTATACAGATCCCAGTTAGCTCATTTTCAAATTTTTGTGTTAGGACTTAGCACTTAGCAGTTACAATAATATAGTCAAACATAACTAAAAGGCTTAGTTTTTAAGTAAAAGCTTAAAGCAGTCAATTGTTTATGTTTACCCCTGTTGATTTTTAATTTTCCGTTTCGAAAATACTATGAGATGAGTGCAATAAATTTACGTTCCGTGAAACATGAGTTTTCTCATCTTAAACACAAGCCTGATGTTTTGCATTCTGAGCTGTTTGATGAATTAAAAACAATTCTAGAATCTGCGGGTACGTATTCATTATTATGTCGAATGGTTATTGTTACTAGTGTTATGGTTACACACATATTATTTACCTAAAATCAATGTCGTTTTAGGTATTTTTGAGCAATATGAACCAGTGATGTCCAATATAAATGATATTACGCTAATCAAGATAATCAAGCATGTAAATATTTATTATTGATTGTCAAATACATTAAATGAAAACATATTATAGTATTATTCCATTATGTATTTAGGCATGTGATGTTTATTATACTAACACTTTGTATAGTGAAGAATCCGTTTTCAAATTCTTAACTTTCCTTATTCGAGTGTTTATGGGTCATCGTACTAGTGATTCAGTTAAAAGAATTATTTCTAAGTTAGTAAATTTTGTTTATTAGCTATAATTAAAAACTAATAATCGTTTAATGTATTTTTCTAGATGTTTTAAATCATGTCCAGAGAGATGGCAACCAAAGCTGTATTTATTAATTTCTTCTTCACTAATTTTGCTTATGAAAAATGTGCATAATTTATCAGAAGTAGAGTACAGGTTTAAAATATTGAGTGACTGCTGTGAACAGTTTCCAGTGTGTATTACTGATTGCATTGATAATGTAACAATATTTTTAGAAATGAACCTTCGAAAAGCATATGCTGTATTAATGTAAGATGTAATTATTTATTAATAAGTTTAATAAAAAAATATTATACATTTCTTGTGTGTTTACTTAGCTAGTTTATTTAATTAAGCTGAAACGTTGTTGGTTAAAGAATTTTAAAGAATTCTCGTTTGGTACATGGCTAAAATACTATTAAAATGTTGTTTTATCTTTCACTTCTAACTATTTAAAAATTGGTATAATGTCCTCTTAATATTTATCTATTAGTACGTTTATATGATGGCGTTAAAAAGGGGTGAAATTAAAACGCATTCATGTCATTTAAACACTTTAAAACATTAAACCGTTTTTAAAATTAAAATGTAGTTTAAGAAATTAAAACCGTCATAACGCGATTTTTTCATTTTGCATTTTTATTATCACGATCATACCAGAGTTATTAGTATTCGTTAAAAATATTCACTAAACCGTATAATAATATATGGACATATAAACGGTTATAATAGTTAAGCTTAGCCGTTGTAAGAAATTAAAAAACTATTTAAATTCAAACCGTTTTAACGCTATTATATAAGCGTACTAATTATTGTGTGATATTTGCTTTATTTCAAATCCTATATAATGTGTTACACCAAATTTATATATAGTATGTATTTATTTTAGTGGAAAAAGTGCTCCTACAGAAAAGATATCAGCCATCAGATGTATTCATGAAGCATTTCGCTTTTTCCTCATCATTCATAGAACATGTTTATTTGGCATGCAATTACCGTTATCGCTAAAGGAATGTTTTTTCGAGTTGCTCGAATGTGATTGTTTACCAATGGAAACTCTTTTTAACTGTACTCAGTGCATAGTATCATATTACATAAGCACTATGTCACAACCAGAATGTTGGAAGGTATTAAGATAGATGTTAAATTTTTTCTATAAAATATAATTTATATATTTTAAAATTAATTATATTGAGGTTTGTCGGAATCAACTTTTGGAGCGACCAGATTTAGTTAAATCAAGCTTATGTGTTTCAATATTAAATACATTCACAGGAGACAACTTAAAACTTATCGATGATGTCAGCGGAGTATCAATATTTAGATTTCTTTGTAACATTGTTGTTGAAATTCATACTAGGTATGTTATACATTGAACAAAAATAATAGCTGTATGTATACCTAATTTAAGGATTGCACTTTTTTATATTTTCACCAGGAACTGTAATGATAGTAGTCTTATTTTATCTACAAGCAGAGTAATATTTACAATTTCTAAACGACTGTCTACTCGTGAAATACAAGCAGAAGACCAGGAACTTAATTTTTTAATCAATTTTGTGTGGGAACACATGGATCATTACATAGATGGTGTTAGACATTTATCTAGAGATACATTAATTAATATAGTCAAATTGAAAGGTATAATTATAATTTTTTATTTTATATCTTGACCTAGTCAAAAGAAATTCACATGAGCCCTATATTTTAGTGAAATTAATCTAAATATATGTAATTAACTTATATTTGTGTTAATATTTTTTTTTTAGATGAGTACTTATTGAATAAAGTATTGCAACGTGTAAGTGAGAGTAATAGAAATTCTAAAGCGTTCATTGTCGTTCTGGCCTTATTAGTAAATAAAATGAATTCTGAAAAAATAATAGAGAGCCTTCCAAATATTTCAGAAAATCTCTTAGTATTGACAAATACCAGTGTTCAAGTAAGTTAAAAAACATTTTTTTGTATAAATGATTATGGTTTTAACCATTTAATGGTAAAGCTGGAAATGCAGAAAAATCTTAGATCCAGGAAATGCAGAGCTTGTAATTCTGAACTTATTTATTTATATAGATTATTATTTTAATTAAATTGTTTGTATATGTTATTCAATTGTACTTAAAATTTTAGGCTGCCAGTATATATAAAACTTTGATGTCCGATAACTTTAACACTACTGAATTTGACTTATGGTTTAACTGTTGGCTGAAGCCATTGTTTTATCATAAAGACAGCATAGATATCAAGTATATTGAGCAAATCCTTCATAAGGCTGTTCAATTGACTCTAAATGTTTCCAAACATTTAAATGAGTATGTACAAAACTATTTTAATTACAATCATTTTTAATTTTAATTTATAATTATACTTATACAAATTTTGTAAATTTAAAAAAAATATAATTGTCATATTTTCTTATGCATATTGGTAAATAATAATCAACTTATTAATTTATAACTTGTTTTTTCTTATTGTTTTAGTCTAAAAAGCAGTAACGAGTTACCTTTAAAAATATCACTTATTCATTTTAAGATTGAAAAAGAGATGCAACGACTCAATGCTGATAGTTTTAACTGGATAAACCAAATTACTGTAACAACAATGAAAACAGCTCTTCATGATAATGATGAAAATGTAAATAGGCTTACATTTTTTTTTTTCTAAAACTACTAATTAACGGCTTAAAATTATAATTCACTTATAGCAACCTGGTTATTTAATATTGCATGAGTGTAATTTTTATTAGTATTAAAAAATGTGTGCAGGATTCTCGAGAACAATTTAAATGAAATAATTGAGTAAATGTTAATGGGTTATAACAGATTTTCTAGAACTACAGATTCCTCCCTTCCCACTATATCTACTTTTATTTTCAGAACTTAAGTCCTAAAACTACACCAAAAAAATAAAAAGTAAATTCCTCTTCCTTTTGCAAAAACATTTTTAAATATTATTTTGGTTTGTCTACGTATATTTATAATACTATGTGTGAAGATTATTCCATATAAATTTGGAAGTAATTAAAACAATTTTTAAAAAAGTTTTGCTGTAATTTTAAGATAAAATATAACTAAATTTTTGGGGTTTTTATCTCAATGTTGAAGAGGAATGATTGAATTTTTTAGTTTTTTGGCCAATAAAGTATTTTTGAGGTATAATTTTTGACCTATAGGTTTTTTGCTATATGAAGAAATCGGTTTATTGATTTATAATATACTTAAGATGTGTTTTACACATAACAAAAATAAAAACATTATTCAATTATTATTATATTTTTTACTTTTGTATTCGCGTTTGAATTTTTAAATTTATAATAATACAATTATTGTTGCTTATAAATAAGAAATTAAACATTTCTGTTATTTTATATTAGTTAATAATTTCTTCTATGACTGTTAAAATTTGTGGTTTATAATATTCAATTACTTTTTTTGTAGACACGTTTTATTGCTGTAAATCTTATTCTGGATAGTCATAAATCGACTCAAATATTTATGAAAGATGAACTCGAGTTAATGAAATACTTCATTACATACAATGTCAAAACTGAAGTGTCATCAACAAGACAAATCCATTTAAGTCTTGTTAAAAAAGTTAGTTTCATAATTTACCTAATAAATAATTGGATATAACTAACTTTTATGAATATGTTATAAAATTGTACAGCTTAACATCTATTAATTATTTGAATGTACAATATTTTCACAGCTCTTGGTAAGGATGAAGGAGAGTCAGTTATCAATTACAGTGAGAAGTGACGAAACACTTCAAATATCAGTAGTAGAAAATTACACACACTTTTATATCTGGTTGTTGAATTTTTGTTTCAAAAATCTGTTTTTCCATGAAAACTTTGCAAGACGTACATTTGTTCTTGGTATTTTTCGGCTGATTCAAACATGTTTGTCACCTATAACTATTTCAGAGTTTTATAGTGAAAAAAATATTTTATTATTATTAAACTGTCTATGGGATGATTATGAGCAAAATAAAATATTGGCAAAAGATATATTGAAGAACAATACGCAAGAAAAATTTAAAATGCCTGTAATACTTATAGTTTAAACAATGTTTATTTCTTTCTGAAATTAAAATGTTTTATAGAATCTTTTGATATTATTAGGTTGGAACTGTGGCTGATGATTTACTTAAATCTGTGAAACTATTGATGTCGAGTACAAATCCATCAGATTGCATAACGGCTGGATACTTATTAGAAGTAATGATTTATTTATCTCCTGAAAAGTATGTTCAATAGTTCATTAATAGTTGACTGTATTATTCTATACATTTTTAAACTGATAAGAATTATTCGTGTAGACTGTAAACAATCTGTTTTTGACAAAATATTTTTAAAAATGTCAAAAACTGTTGTTTTGGAACTTGATGTGTGTACCAAATGTTTTTATATAATATTGTGTATTCATATTTGACCAGCTTTGAAGAACATACATTTACAGTTATATCAGAATTTATGGTTGAACTAAAAAAGGAAATTATGTTGGCTGAAGAAAGTATTACGTTGGCATCTGCAAAAGGTCCAATGTATGGAATAATTCATACTATTAGGCATATAATAAATTCCTTAAATTGGCAGTAAGTATTAAAAAATAAATGTTTGTATTTAATTTTTCTTTTCTTCTTTTTCTTAAAATATGTCGTTATGTTAACATACTTACACCTTGATATGTTAGTTGCTAGCAAAATTCCAATTCTTCCTAATAACTCATTTAAATATTTTCACCTACTCTTTTTTTTTTCTATAACAATATTATTGGTGTTCAAGTGAAATATATTAAGTCAATATTTTGTAGTTTTAGTATTTTGGTTTTTCTGGTAGTTTAAAATGTTGTAATCTTTAGATTGATGAAACCCATGAAGTGGTATCTTGATTTTTGACTTAATGTATTTCACTTGTAAGCCAATAATGCATTAAAATATGTCTTAAGATAAACCCTGATTAAACCGAAAAACTGATTCTTATAAAAAGATCTTGCTTGTCTATATTACTGATAAGACGGAAAAATGTTTAATATAGAATTTTCATCTGGTCTTGTGTGATTCTGTTTAAGGCATATTTTATGAATAATTGTAATATTTAATAAAAACAATATAGTGGACATTCAATTTTAATAGAAATACTGTAATTTTTTCCAGAACTCTTTCAAACAAAAAACATTGGGTCATGCTTATTGAAGATATATCAAATATTTGTTTAAAATGTGAAAAAATTGTTTCGGTAGTAGTTAACGACTCATCTCCTGAAGGTCTCGTTCCTATGGATGGTAACTTTTTGTATTTAAACATAAGACTTATAAAAATATATTCTGTTTGTTACGAAAACAAGTATATTTGAAAGCTTATTATGAAAGTTATGTTTTATTTTTTTAAAATAATAATAACAATAATGTTAAAAGCTAAAAGGAAATTCTTTCTCACGTATACTTGTAAATTTGTTTGAGATTTAATAGTAGTAATAGGAAACTACTTTTAGTAAATAGCTTCGATTAATATTTAAATAAATATTAATTTAATATGTAATATTTTTAATCTATATATTTTTAGGTTTATGTCAAAATGATTGTCAAGTCACTTCACAAATGGTTTTATTATGTTGTTGGCGTACGACTAAAGAGGCATCGCTAATGTTAGGTGATATTGTTGGTATAATTGCTTTGCATGAACAAAATTCAGACAAATCTGAGTTTAACAACTCATTAATAGTAGAAATTTGTTCTTGTTTAACTATATTGTTATCTGAAACCAAACATCGAGGGGCATTTGAACAAATATTTGTTGCATACTCAAAAGTGTGCTCAGTCTTGTGGAAGTAAGAAATTAATTTTATGTCAAACATTTTTTTTTCAACAATATTAAACAAGTTCTTCATTATGTAAATTGAGTTTAAGCAGGGCTTTGAACTACATAAACATTTGTTTGTCTTCAGTTTTTGGGTTTTTCTGATTTTATGCATATTGACAACTACGGGTATTTTAAATTGTTAAACGCCAATGTTTTAATTCAGGTAGTACTGTTAATTTCAGGCTTTGTCTGTTCTGCACTTTAGAAGACGTAAATACAACCAATAAACTATTAACTATTTAATTATTTTATAAATGATAATTAAAAACAAATTCAAACTCTTTATTTAGTTAACATCAAATGAAAATTGATAATGTTTTATTTCATTATTTCATCAATTTAACATTTTCTCTTCTTAACTATAAAAAGTGTTGTAAACTTATTAATTATTAAACTAATATTTAAAAATGTTAAAACTTTGAGGGTTTTCTAGCTTCTTAAAATATGTGGGTTTCGTTTCGGAGTCCTGATGTAAAATAGTAATGAGCTCTTTTTAAATTGTTTTTGATTTAGATTGAATTTAATTTTAATATTTTAAATATTTTTGTTGTGAAATATATATTGATAAAAATGATTTAAATTTGTTATTAGATCACCAAAATTACATTATATTCCCTTAGAATATCTTGAAGATGTATTGACAGAGATTAAAAGTGGTATGAATGAAAAGTTTTGTGTTACAAGAAGAAGCGCTGGAATGCCATTTATTGTTCAGGTTTTTACTATCACATAATTGATAATTAATTTGATTTTTTCTAACTGTGAACTCTTTTTTTTTCTAGGCTCTTATTTGCACAAATCACGATAAACGGAAGGTTGTTAATTACACATTAGAAACATTGATTAGTGTTTGTGAAGTTCAACATGAAACCGAAATTCTTAAAACTGGAGTGGTTCACGCATTAAATGTTTTAAGAGCATTATTTCGCTGTTCTACTCTAGGAGAATTTGTTGGTCCATTTGTATCGAGAGCAATAATTGTGTCAATTATATTGTTTAACTCATCGTCTTGGCCAGTAAGACTTTTAACTGTTATAAAATAATTACAACATCTTTATTTTTTAAATATTTCTAATTATGGAGTATGAGTAAAATTATATTTTTTAAGGTGCGCAATTCATCTACTCTTTTACTAAGTGCTTTGATGACTCGTGTGTTTGGAGTTCCGAGATCATCAACTGAAGTGTCTTGGAAAAACTGTATGAACGGTCGAGTGTTCTTCGAAAGATATCCTGAGCTATATGACACATTTTTAAGTGAATTCAAAAAGTTTTCACCTACCGATTTAAGACCTTCATTATATCCGACTTTATTAATACTAGCAAGGTTATTTCCAACATCTAATGAAGCTACAGATTCGGTTTTCCCAGTATGACGATAAAACATACAATATAATTTATGTATTGAATTATATTGATTTTTTAAATGTATTGCTTATTGTGTTTCAGTTATCTGTTTACATTCCATACATTTTCAAATGTGCTCAGAGTCCAGTTATGAAAACTAGAATGTTAGCTGCAACCTCATTGACACCGCAAATAACTATAAACAATTTTGTTGAACATATCAATATTACGGTTAATCGACTTTTAAACAATCATTTGGAGGAAAACTCAGTTCATGGGTTGCTATTGCAAGTAAATATTTATTTATAAAATAATTAAACTCGGTCAATAAAAATCTTTAAAGGCTATCGTTTATGGTTAAAATTAAAAAATATTTCAGATGTCAAGTTTGGTACAGAACTTACCAAATCTTTCACAAAATGATTTAAGCAAACTAGTAAATTTGTGTGAAAGTATTTTATCAGAGTTTGATCTTTTCATTTATTCTTTTGTAACTCAAGAAGTGTTTTTAAGATGTATCACTTATCTATGGATTCAACTTGACAATTTACAATATAGCTGTGTTAATAGCATTTTTATGAAAACGTTGGACTCTATAATTACAGTATTTCAGTCAAATGTAATTGGTCGCTCGAAATTTTTAGAAAGTGGAATATTGTTTCTATTTTCTGTTTGCACAAAAGCGAAGATTGATTTTTCCAATGTCATGGTAAAATTATTATCCGTCGGAGTAAGATGTGAGACAAGTTTTGTGATTTTAGAAATGGTGTTAGATAATGAAAATCCAAATGACATTTGTGGCACTCTAAAGCAAATTCAAAAACATAAGAATTGGGATCGCAAAATATTACTTGAACATCTCATGGCCAATAATAGTCTTATTGAATTAGTTTGCAAACATTGTTCAGAAAAAGGCAGTTTGACCGAGATCAAGTATAAAGTATTGTCAAATTATCCACCGTCGTTGGACTTATATTTCACCAAGTATGAATCTATTAACGATTTTATATTAAGAGCGTTTACTCTTAGACAGGATAATGAGCTCGCACAAGCATTATCCTGCATACACAATCAAATGATAAAAATGGTAATATTGAGTAGGAGTATATTTTCAATTTTGATTTCAAGTTATTCAATTTTTAGGAACCTCCACAATCTTGTGATTGGATTAAATTGACGGAGTTATTAGAATATGTCTTATGGAGCCAAAGATATGATAGTTGTAAATGTGTTTCCATTGATATAATTGTGGACAATTATAAATCAATTTTAACTGAATGTTTGTCAAATATTAAACTATGTAAGTAAATTGACATAAAATTGTTGTTTTTTATTCAGTATATTTATGCTAAGTAGAATATACATTTATTTACTCTTGTTTTATAGTACTCAAACTATGGACTATGTTAATACGATGTTCTGAAGACGACAGTAAAGAAGTCAGATCTCGTGTCTGGAGATTTGTTGATGAGCATGCAGTTTGTACAAAAGCATTCGAGTCCCTGTTTGAAAAGTTTTCAGAACTCTTTAATGAATATCCGTCCGCTGTTCTTACAGCTCTGACATGTTGGGCTTATTTAGATATTAAACTTCCACAAGATCGCCCTACAGTATAAATAACCATACATACTTAGCTATTAGCTGTGTAATTTATTTTGATTAAATAAATATTTTAGGAACAAGTATTTGATGGTGGAGACACTTGCGAGTTCAAAGAGCACATGGTTCGACAGACGTTAGCACTGAGTACATTAAGTAAATTGACAAACAATCAAGACGAATGTATGAATTTGGAAATTGAGAACGATATCCACGAATGGATAGTTGAAAATTGGTTAAATATTGTTGATGTCAGCCATACAGTAATTAAGCTTACCACAGTTGGAGATTTAATAAGTTATGCAAAAGATTTTAACTCAAGAATTATTAGTGTATCCGAAATGACATATCCTTTCCAATTAATTGCACATCAAAATATGTGCTGATCTATGTGTATACTTTTAATTCAATATTAAAAATAACTGTTGATATCTGCTAACATTTCAATTATCTTGTAAAACTTGATTAATGATATTTAGTGGCAATTGTTTTAGCCTATTTAAGATGTAATCATGTATTCATAACAAACAATTTGTGTACATAAATAATGAACTGTTAACTATAATTAAATTAATTAAAGTGGTTTTAATAAATTTCGGCCTTGTTAATTAATTTACCGGTTAATTTATATAAGCTTCGTGGTATTATTTTTAAATTAAATAATTTTGTCTATGAGTAAAAGCCATTTCAGTTAAAAAACAGTACATTTTTTGTCCATCGCACAGGCTGAACCAGTGATCCGATGAGTAATCTGAAAACAGATTTGAATTCGTCATGAAGTTTACTTGAGATCGGTCAGCGTACTTTTTTGATAACTTATTCCTATTACGCATAAAACACGTTTGACAACTTTTATAAAATTTCAAATTAGGAAAGGGTTAAAATTAAAAATTGAAAAAAATGCTCTGACCAATCTCAAGTAAACTTCATGACGAATTCATATCCGTTTTTAGATTGCTTATCGAATTACTGGTTCGGCCTGTGCGTTGGACAAAAAAATGATGTGTTTTGGCTGAAAAAAACGGTCGGTATCCAGGGGCCTTAAATATACAGTAAGTACAGATTGTACATTATATGCCTCCTCCTCCTATCGACGACAGAGATGTCAATCGGCAATTATCAAGGTTTTCACTCATGAATCTCCTCTATGACTGATTAACAAAACGTTTGGCCGCAGTGACGTGCAATGGGGGGGAGGGGGGGCAGATACATCCCCCCGTGGGCCTTACTTTTTATACTTATAACATTGATGTTCATCAACATACTAAGTAATTTTTATGTACTCGTTGAAAACAAAATTTATCATCGAAAATATGTGCTGTGGATAACTGATAAGTGATATCAAAGACATTAACCACAATTACATGACATTATTTATGACATCCCCCCCATACAAAATTCCTGCTCACGCCACTTTTTGGTCGTTTCCTAAAAATTAAACGCGCGTATAATAGTGTGTAGTCAGTCTAATCATATATTAAATGAAAAAAGCTCCTTTAGGAACGTCGTTTCCTTTAAGAATGGAATATCAAAAACTGGCATTTGAGTAATTCCAGTTGTTGTCTGTAGAAAAAAAAAATGTAGTATAAAAGATTTTTTTTGAAGCAATATATTTATAAAAATATATTAAAATAATATCTTTTTGACCAAAAAATAATAAATTAAGGTTTCTTTAAAGCACCCTATTATACAGTTATACAGAAATAGACAACAGTAGAGAACCTAACCGAATGAAAAAAAATATCAACATTACCATAGATTAAATACATGTATTTACATGTGTATTTAATCCGACATTACCTACATTTATTTACATTATCATCGATAGAATTTAGAAAAGCGGTAATATTATATCCTTGCAGTTTTGGGTAGAGGAAAACATTAATGTATGATACATATAAATCTGTAAATTCGCAAATACTATCATATTTATGTTACTTATTATATTTTATATTATGCAAAATGTAGTTTTATCTCCGTAAATAAAGAAATATTATTATCATTATTATGTAGTCTAGTTATTGTAACCGGTCCTGTTTTTTTTCCAGTAACAATTATATTTTTTTTCAACACATAATATAAATTACATTCATACAAAATAGATAATATACAAAAATAATTCAAAGATACATACACAATAAATGGTAAATGGATAAGAAGAAGAAGTTATAAAGAAAAAAGAAAGATACAAAAAAAATACATACACAAAAAAGAATAATGTACAAAATTGTTACATAGATAAGAAGAAGAGGAAGTTATAAAGATACAGAGATATAGGGGGATACATACACAAAAAAATATTGTTAAGAACACATTATTTGACATTGTTGGCATTTTCTGTTGTAGGCTGTTTGCTGAAGATAGTCGCTTGTGGTCGATACTCTTCGGCAACCCTGTAATCGAAGTACAAGCCGTATGCTTCGAACGCGGCCATACAAACAGCACTGCCAAAAGCGTTAACTGCCATTGACCGAACCCCTTTTGGCGCGGCCAGAGCACTGCTGGTAATGGTATTCCAGGGGTCTTCCTTTTTCCTAATACTGACCATTGTACATTAAATCCCAATATAATAATAAAAAAAAAATTCTGATTTGGCTACTTGTGATTTTTACACTCACATTGCAACGCCTTCTGAAACCGGTCGGTCCGTTTCGGAAACCTTTTACCGCTTCGAAAATTCCTCCGCCAACGAGTCCCAAGGTAAATCCACAATTCTCATTGGGCACGGCTCTTTGCCATATGAGGCCATCGTTAATAATTAGAAAAACAGTACAACACAAAACAAAGTCAATAATAATAGTAGAGCACAGTACAAAGCAAATATTATTAAACACAATACAAAACACAGTAGAAAACAAAAAATAATAATAAAGTTCAACGAAAAACAAATGATAATCAAACACAATACAAATCAATTAATACTAACACAAATAAATACATTTAACAATTATAAAAATATGATATATATTTATTTATCGTTATGAGTACGACGGTGGTTACATTACCATAGTAAAATTCATATATAAACATAGTTTTGACATATTTATAATCACAAATAAAGATCTTATGCGAAGATAAGAGAAAGACGGTTGCAGTGGGCTTATTTGTAGGATAGTAAGTGGAAAATATTGGAATATTATAGAATGGACAGTTATTGTGGGAGGAAAAGGAATATAATACATATTATAGTTAATAATAAAAATACATTTTCTGTTGCTTTGGGTAAAACTATTTTTAAAAATGGCTTTGTAATACTCATACGAGTACAATTATTATTAATATGCATAAATCAAACTTGCGCAGGTGTAAATTTTAGCTATAATATTTAAAGAGATATACCTACCATCGTTACCCACTGACCGTCATTGTGACCGTCCCATGTTCCCCTAATTTTTCATTTATTATATTTTATTTGTTCATATTATACATCTTACTTTATTTATTAATTATACATGGTAAATTAAGTTAATATAATTTTATTAATTTTTTAAAATTATTTATCAAAAGCAAAAAGTTTACAAATAATACAGCTTACAACGTAAAACTACTTTTTGCTTATATCTACCCCAATAAGCATTGCTTGTGGTGGGGCAAAAGAATTACAAAAGAAATATTAACTAGACAAAAAATCAAGTTTTAAACTTATGAAATAAACTGCAGGGAAAAAAAATATAACTAAGATGTAACAAGTACAAAATAAAAATATAAACTTTAAAATTATCCATAACGTACACTAACATTATATTAGTTCATTGAATAACCAAACTTTAATAATTTTCTTGACGTACATTATATTATTTTTCAACGCTTTACAATTAACTATACTTTTTTTTCTGCAAATTTCTTACCAAATGTTTTATTTGTGTACCGTACACTTGTGTCATATGCTATTAAATCTCTTTTATTAACTTGTTTAGATAAAGTATGAGTGTTGGAGACCAATAAAATAGCAGATAACTTATACAGATCCCTAACTGGCAGTACTTTATTATATTTGTAGTTTAATGATGTAGATTCAAGTATTTCTTTTTTAATCATACATATACATATTGGTCTACTATTCGGCGAATAAAATTGACAACGGTTTTGAGAAAAATGAAAATGTTTACCTAAATCATGTCAGTAATTTTTGAAAACCTGTTGTCTGCACATCTTATTTTACGTGTAAGGGATGAAGGGAATAAACATTTTCCAAGTATTATAAAATGTAGTCAAATATTATGTACCTACAACTAATATAAGATTATACAACGCGTATGAATTATAATAGCGGTACAAAAACCGTACAGCGTATTATTCATATACTAGGTAATATTATAATTATTTGTAGTTATTATACAGTATACTGTTTAGTTCTCTACTTTTATACTTGTAAGTTGTATTCTTAAGCTGTAAGCAAAGCATGATGGATTATTTTGTTCAATGTTGACAACATTTTTAGTCGAAGATAGTATGCCACATGCTCCCTGGGAGGTGCGGCTGCACTGCCATTGCCGGTCGTCTTTGACTTTTTTACCAACCACTTGTTGGGCCGTCTCCACTAACCAGTCATAACCTGTTTCACAGCTGTACAGCAGCTGCTGGTGGCGCTGTGCGCGTGTCGCTCTCCCGTGTGCCTAGTGTTGTCTAACCAAAACATAACGGGTTCGTGCTCGTGTTCGGTCGTCGGATGTTTATCATCATAACAATATAACACTGCAGTATATTATTACAGTAACTGCTTGTGTTGAGTCCGTCGGTAGTTTTAACGAGCAACGTTTACGTTTCGGTTTATTTACATTTTAGTTTTTAGTAAAATATGCCGTGTGAACGTGTCCGGTAGCTGATCGATTAAGAGGTTTTGCTTTGCGACGGCTGTTAAAAATTCTGGATCCTAGTTGTGATGATAATGTCCCTTTGCATGGGGCAAAAGCGTCTGTGTCGAGCTGGGCGATTGGTATGTCAAAACTGTTTTTCACTTTCCTTAGAGCAATTACCAATTGTTGACGACTGATGAGCTGTTATAAAAAATATAAATGTTGGAACAATATTTTTTTCAAATAATTAGATTAGTACTCGAATTATCAATATAAATGTAAAGCTAGGTTTATCGTTTTAGCTACAATTTTAAAATTACTGTGAAATCTGTCCATGAATCGGAATCGCCGGGGACGGAAAGAAAATTCTGTATTATACGGCATGCTCTCTTATTATTCTGTAAAATATAAATGTATAATAATATAGAACGACCATAGGAAAATTATGGGTTATAGAATTTGTCTGTTTATTTTGTGGCTGTTTTCGGCAGGTCTGTCTGAATACGATTATTACCGGGTTTATTTAAATATAAACTAAAAGTATTTCCAGTAATATAACGAGGTAACATAATATTAAATTTCATTAAATTATAATTTTGCAAATATAATTTAAGAGATAGAAGACATTCCCCCCTAAAAAAACATGGCATAATTATGAACATTTTGTAATGTTTGCTATCCTTAATTATGGTAATTATAAAAGTTTTTTTTAATTTAAAGAAACATTTTTAGTATTATTGTTCTTTTTATTTGTTTAAAAACATTATTTTTAAGGTTGTTACTGAATTTCAAGATATTATTTTTCTGTCTTAATTTGAAGATTATATTGTGTGTTCAATATTATGTGATAAGTTTATTAATGTTGTTTTAACTATCTAATTTGATTAGAAATGCACTATTTAAAAACAATTAACAAATTATTCGTTCTTATTTTCTTGATAAGAATGTTTTGCTTTCACATTTAAAAATCGGTGTGTTTTTATGATTCATTTAATTAAATTAACTCTTTGTTATCTCTTTTAGCTTTAATAGCAGAGCTGAGAAGGTTTTATTTTTATTTCTATAATCATCTATTTGTTTTATATGGAACCACAATACCTCCTAATCTGCTGAACTGATTTATTATTCATGTAGCATATCTATTAATTAGAAATTATACCTAAAAATGTTCATATTTTCTAAATTACGGCGGTTTTTCCTTAGTAAAAAAAAATATGACTGCAAATTAAAATTTAAAAATATGTAAATTTGTTGTTCTTGATTTTGAAGGTGAAGAGATGATGTTTAAAAACTTATGTAGTACCTTTTAGGCACAACTTCTGATAAATCTAAACTTTTTTATTATTTGGCTTATAAAGTACTTTTCAAATAATATTTATTTTGTCTAGACGATATTGTGGGTCCAGACAAAAAAAAAATATTGGCCAATGTTAAAACAATACCATCTCAACTTCGAAATGAAGCTAAAAAACCTAAATACCTTTTTTTATAGACTCTTTTAACTTTGTTTTCAATAAGAAAAAAACTAATTTAAATAAATACGTTCTTATAAAAATTTTCTTTCCCAACACTTTATAGTGATGTATATTTTCTTGGTTAAAGACTATGTGATGTATATGAATTTTTTCATAGTTAAATTATATTTATCCATGCTGAATTTTATTAACTTGGATATCAAAAGTTAAAAAAAAAATTGCACTAAGAAAAATGTTACACGTTTATTATTTCTGTTTAATTAAAGTAGTCTAGACTACTTTGTTGGATAATTTTATTTCTATTATAATAGTGTATGTAATGAGTTAAAAGCTGTTTTATATAACTATAGCCATTTTTTTCCACATAAATTGTTTAAGCTTTAATGTGAAGCTGAGATGGTATTCATTTTTCCTTTTAATATTTATTAGGTAACAAACTATCAAACAAATAGAACTATTTGTAAATCTTTTTTTTATTTCATATTAATTTGTAGTACTTACTATAATAATAATAATACAAATATTATTGGGTAATATTTTAGTAATACTAGTACAATTTTGTTAATTAATAATAAAAGTTAATATATTATATTTTAAACATTCATTGTATAATAAAGGAAGATTATACTGAAATTTTTTAAAATCTTAATTTAAAGTTTAGACTGTATTGTTTAATTATTAGTTCAATAATTAGGATTTGGTTTAGGTGGTTATTTTATTGTTCAGGCTATTACAGCATTCTTGAAATAGCTACGTAGAATGCGTTTTACTTGGTAAAAAGAGCAAAAATATAAGAAATCAAATGATGATAACATTTTAGAGACAGTGACATATCCTTTTTGAAATATGACCATTGTATAGTTAATACTTGATGTTAAAAAAAAAGTATTTCTTACTTTTATAAAAAAGTGATAACTATTTCTGTAGGAAATATTTTGATAAAAAATATGTTATTGTCTTTAAAATGATGGTTGCCTTTATTTTTATCACAAGTGTTTTAGATCTGTGTAGTCAGGTCTTTGTGCTACAAAATTAGAGATAGCTTTCTCTTAAGGTGACTTTTTTTAATTAAATATAAACGAAAATAAAATGTTCAAAAAATAATTATTATAATTGTATTTAACTCTAGACCAAATATTTATTGCAAAAAAAAAAAAATATCATTTATAGGATCTTTTATGTAATTTAAAATTAAATTACTAAACCTTATTGGGGGGCGATGCTAGACATAGACTTCATTTAATAATAACCAATTGATCCCAAAACAATTTGGGTTCAATTGGTACCTCAAGTTTAAGGTATTCAAGTTCCTTTTTTTTTTATTGCAAACGTAAATATGAATTAAAGTAGCAATTGCGTTTTTGAATAAAGAAATATATAAATTTTTAACTATATTTCTTCATTCTAAATTTTAGTTTTCAGGATGTAAATTCCACTTATTAAATCTAATTGTAAATTATTTAATTTTCTAGATTTTTGTATTCGAATAATAGTTGTATGTATAATGGATGTATGTATATACTTATAAGTTACAAGTATTTAACAAACGTCTGATCAATTTGTAAAGTGCTGTTGAGTGTTGTGGGTGGGTGAAAAGTAACTTAATATTTCATCTTTTGTTGGAGTTTTTCAAATTAAGGGCATACTATAATATAATTACATTATTTAATGGTCTAAAAATACATTTTTAGCAATCCACGACCTAAAACTTTATCTTTGTGTTATAGTTGTTAAATTAAACTGTAAAAGCTTTTTAAATTACTTATCGTAAACTTTTTTAAAATAATTTTATTACCAGATGCGATTTGTTTAATCCTCGATATTAGGTCTATTTTTATTAATTTTATTAATTTAACACTTATCGGTTGGATACAAATCTTATAGGTTTTGCCGCTGCCCACGTGCACACAATCTTTGAATATTTAATATCACAATAAACGTGTGTAATGGCCATGTACAACGGTAGGTTAGGTCATCTAGGAGTAGTAAATAAAAATAAACTATTTATTCCGGACATCTGCGTTATTTGCCCACTCACCTTATCCCCGTCGTTCAGTTGTACACTGGCGTGAAGGTATTAGATTCTATTGGAAATATCGCCGTCCCCTCCCCCCCTTGGGAGACAGCTCAGTTTCGCCATTAAAATGTCATTAAATAATACTGGATAGTCTTAAATGTTTTTCGTATAATTCCGCGGTTTCGCCGTGTACAGTCTTTCCTTCTTCCCTTTAAATAATTCACCTCGAATAACCCTTAAGTCCCGCGAAAGCTTAAGGACGGCCATTTCGTCCATTCCGCTGCGCCCTTCTGCTCTCCGGGCCAATCGTCATCGCGAACCCCCCGGTAAGGAGTTGGTCCATAATATAAATGTTTTATACCGTTGCCACGGTTAGGGAATTCTAGGCTCGTGAATATTAAACAAGCACCGGGTTTAAAAGGATATCAAATCTCAGTTATTTATGTATTGGCTTTCAACATTATGCGAGCAAAATATTTGGACAAAATTTAAAAACGGTTTTATACATCAAAATATTGCGTCATAGTAGGTACACTTGCCGGTAACAAAAATACGTCAGTGACATGCCTTTAAAGTTGAAATCGTGATCATTGTTGTAGACTGTAACGAATAAATATCTTGTTATGAGAAATAATAATTGTAGTCAAGTTATTTTCTTGGTGTGACAAGTGTAAAAAAAAAAAAAATAACAAAAGAGAGTTGAGCGCTAATTTGATTATTCGTCGTGTCGCAATAAAGGAATTGCGCTCGAATTTCGGGATTCGTTTTACAGAATTGTTTACGAGCTTATGACTAAAAAATTATGTTTTCCTGATTTGTTTATTGTTTTAATGTATTCGCGTCACGTGACTGCTTTATTAAACAAACAAAAATATATAACTTGGGCCAAAGGTTCTCTGTAAGTATTCCAAAACCGAGTGAAAAAAAAATAGGAATTGTTCAACTTATTGTACACACCCTCCTGTATGTCATGAAAATATATTATCTAATAAATAGTAGCATACTTAAAGTACTATTGTTACTATTTCGAGTTATTATTCTAAACGTTTACAGTTAGAATACAGTTTTGTGTAGCTTACGTTTTTTTAAAACGTATTGGAAACATAGAAGAGGTTAACATAGAAGAAGTTATTTCTTTTTTCTGTCTGTTATACGAGTACACGCACAAACCAGCATACCTGAGGCACTTATTGCGGTTTGTGTTGTGTGTATTTTCTGTTAATTTAAAAATATTAATATATTGTTTTTAGCCGTGTCTAATATATCTATTACGAATAATTTTTTCAATTATAAATATTATCATAATTTTACTATATTATTTTTAATTCATATTCTGCACACGTGTGTGTCCAATCAGCCAACATCCTACACTTAATTTATTTCGTCACGAACATCCACAAATATCCCAACATCCTGGTAGTCTGTCGACGTGAATGTTTGTGTGTGCAATTAATTATGTGTGTTTGACGGTGTAAAATTATACGGTCTTAATTCTTAAATCCAAACGTTACAAGTCTATACCGAGTTTCAAAGAATACTCATAAAAAGTCGTCTTAATCTTCTATACCTACAACAACATTGTTTAAAGTTTAAGAAACGAACCCGGGATTTTTATAATAAATATATATATGTATCAATACTACAGTAAATGAATTTGTTGTGTATAGTATGTTATTCATAATATTGTATAGAATACATTTTTTACAAGAAATAAATTACATCTATTAAGTTAACATGGATGTTTTCCTCAGAATTTTACTAGGACCTGATATCTAGTTAATTATTAAATCCACCGATTTGTGGTATTTTCAGCGATTTCAAAGAATAAAGAATTCAAAGAATTAAGAATATATTTTATTTGCTGAATCCATAAATGTTCTCAAAATTAATGTAGAATTCATTTTTAGTGTCCCAGGAGGAAATTAGAAATTTCTAATTTTTGTTTTATAAGTTGCTTAAAACTTAGGAAGAGATTTTTAAAATAAATTGATAATTTAGTATTAAAGTTGAAAAAAAAAAATAACTTAGTACTTTCTATGTATAAATTAATTTTACTTGGTCGTAATTTGATTATTTGCGGTCATTACTATTTACACCCGCTATTAGCGTTGCAACAATAATTATACTTGGCCCATTAAGTTTAACGAGGGATCCGAGATTTGACTTAAGTCCTTATGGTTTGGTGTGCTTGACTCAGCCAAACACCCTTTATGGTAGAGGATGTAATGCTTTTGGTAACGGATCAAAGGTTGTAAATTTGTCTTTACACTTGGACGAAACAACGGCTTATGTTAGTTTTGGGTTGGCTCGATTTCATCGCTACTGAACAAATTAAGGGACATCTACATAAATACTCGAGATATTAATTAATTAATATATTATCCCATCCTAACACCGACCAATTTATACTTGATATTTATCTTTTATAGAGGCCGTAGGGCAACATTATTCGATAAAGGTGTTTTCATCTAGGCGTGTTGCTTATTAAATTTAACCAAAAAGGCTAGCTTAGGTTAAAAATAATTAATTAATAATTAGAGAGATATAACCTAGGCGAGCTGTCCAATTCATGAGTTACCACGAGGACACATCCTACAATTCAGTGCCTAATGTATATAAGCGTTAATATAATTACATTGGCAAAAACACAATAATAGGAACTTTAATTTCTACCTGATTTTTAATTCATACCGTTTTTGTGTTTTCTTTGATTTGTTCGGTGTTATTATTTGTTATCTTTTCCTCCGAATTATCTACAAAAAGCTTGCGCTTGGGTTCGTGTACTTCTTACACTGTTTATTCAGGTGGGTTAGAGAACTGGGGTGGGTTTTTTTTATGTAGCAAGGGACCACGTGCGATCGTTGGCTCTGTTATTATTATTATTATTATTATTATTATTATTATCATTACGATTATTATGTGCGTGTATGTGTGTTTAGGTAGTGACGACGAATATTTGCACGCTAAAGGACGATAAAACGGCGTAGAAAAGTCTCATGAATATTAAACCCGCTGACTACTGCGATACCGTACGGGTACGTGACGGGTGGGCAAAGGCCCTCTCCTCCCCGGTCGGATCTTTTATGTGACCGCCGCTGTCGGTTAGAGATTCTGGATATTTTGGCAGTTTATATCCACCAGCTCGACTCCACCTTGCCTATACTCTACTCGCGCCCCTATTCCGTGTTCACATGCATACTGTTTTTCCAGAAAAGCCCAACTTTCGCCGCTCCACATTATATACATACACTCGACTACCTTTTCTCATTACCATAAAGCTGTTACTGTCGTAAACGCAATCCCTAGCCGCGTCTTCATCGCCTAAATTAAATTTCACCAAACATTATTTTTATCAACACTCGCATACCTCTATTTACCGCACCCGTTTTACCACCGTTGAGTTTAAAGGTGATGGGAAGAACTGTGTTTTAATTAGCGCGCTCAAAATGTTGCTGGCTTTTAATTAAGTCGCATCGATCTTACAGTGCCAGTCGTTCCCTATGTAAGTTTGTTCATTGAGAGCATCGAGAATGAATAGGAAAATTCAAAATTATGTACAAACTTGTATACGTTTTGCGGCGATTACCCAAGTCAAGGTTTGAAATTTGAATACGGAAACAGAGTGGCTTGGATTAATTTTAACCGCAAATGTATTTTATTTCATGATAATTCACTCTTAATATTATAGTTTAATCAAATGTATTACCTTAATAAAAATAATGCATATACCGTGTACGGTATGGAAATAAAAATACTTAGAGAGGGTGGTTAAATAATTGGCCATTGCACAATATTTTTAGAGCTTTTTCCCCACTCTTTATGGTTTTGAGAATGTAAACGTTTTTTTTATGACAGTAACTGCACGTTTAAATTACTAATAACTATATTTACTCATTAAACTAAGTCAAAACGCTTTAGTCGACGAAGTACAGCAAGTTAGCATGTTATGTATATCATGTCGCCGGTAGCTGATTATGGGGCTTGCCCGTGCGGTTAATATAAACTTACTTAATAAAGGTATAATGTTAAGATTAAGTGCATGACGTTTACAGTATAATTTAATTTAATTCATAATCAAATAAAAACAAATCTTGTGTGCGAACATAATCATTTTTATTTTAATCGTAATATTGTCCTTTACGAATCTTTTACGTATAATATATAGTACTATGACCGATATGTCGGAAAGATACAAAAATATAACCGATACACTCTCAAATATCATTAACTGGGTATAGTGAATAGTCTAAAACTAGCAATGTATTTACATAATTTGAAATAATTGCATACCAAACGTTTCACTGTAATGCTGGTTTTTAAAAGTAGAAATACTGTTTATTTTATGACTAATATGTTATACAGTAAATACTTTTTGATTTTATTAATTGAGTTAAACATGATTTTCACTGTTGTGTTTCGATAAGGCGTCGACGAATTATTCGCTGAGGTCGCGCGTAAGATAAATACTAAATAATCATACGGTTACGTACAGACCATCGCCTACTTGTGTTTTAACTTTTAACCGCGTTATGGAAGAATTTGCTTTTGCCTACACTCTTTATTATGCCCACAATTCGTCCAAATGTTGTTGTCCGCCCCCTCATTATTATCTCTCCACGGTGTCCTGGTTTGGTATTCTAATGAATCTTATAATCCTTGTACATTCTATGTATTATGCATTTTGCACATACATATGCTGGAACCGACCGCAATTGATCAGCATTAGTACAAAGGGTGTTCATTTGTCATCCGTCAATCATATCTTCATTGTACTTGGAGTGCGTGCTGTTGCAATGTTTTGGCACATATTACAAAATTTACCTACTTCAGTAACAGCTTGATAGTTTATTAGCGCGGAAACTAATTAATTGACCTCTGTTTCTTAGTTTTAATGTGTTATTTAAAAATTGTAATTTGTTGTACACGGAGAACGGTCTAATTTGTAAATAATGTTGACAGTTGCATTACCTTTTATGACAATATATATTATATTGTGCACACTACACTTTATTTGTGTTATTGCTTAAGATTTCTTTTTTAAATCCCGGGCATTCCTCAATGTCGTTATTGTTTAGACGACGGAACCATACTGTATACAATTTTACGATGATTCATCTATCAACAAGTTGACTAACGCAATTGTAAGAATGTTTTATTTATTGTATAGGTATATTTGTTTAAAATTAAAAAAATTCTAAATCATCGGTGTTTGGTTTTGAGAAAACTTATGGAATATATTGATCAACCGGTAGTTTTAGAAATTAGGCACTGTCAGTCATACGAACAAATTTGGTAGCGTGTGTGAATGCACGCGTGGGTAAAAATTAGATAACGAGTGAATTCATTTTTTGAAAATATATTGTCTTTTAATAATTTTAGTTATTCCTTATAGGTGTATGTTGATCAGTTTAATACTCTTTCAAATTAACTTATAGCGTGATGGGTACATACATTTTTTAAACAAAGTTTGAAATTCTGTACGATGTTTTAAGCAATATTATTATGACATTAAATAAAAATAATTGTTAAAGTCTAAAATTATGATGCAAAAAGAATGTGTAACTATATTTATAAAATTTAATGTCTTAGCATAGATTTATGATCTACAGGCGAGCCATTCTTTTGTTAAAGTGACAGCCATTCATTTAGGGTATTTCTAGGTACGCGGGTCCACCTCTGTTTCTACATTTACCCCTCCCCCTCTTTATATGCATGTTGGTCGTTTCCATTTTCAACAATATGGTTAACAATAGGCTTCTCTACTTATTATAAAATCTAAGCCTCAATTCAATAACTCTACTTATGTGGTTTTCTAAGAATATTTTTTAGAAAGTATGCGGATTGTTATTATATAATCAACCTCTTCTCCATTTAATGATATAAATATATGTTTTCTCACGTTTATAATATGTTTGACTATTTTGTTTCAGGCATAGGTATGTGTGTAAAAGGCGTTTGTGGTAGCTTTATACACTAGTGTACCTTTTAAGGGGATGGACTCTGATCCGTTAAGTGGGCTGTCCGACTGTTCGTCCACTTCGGTCCGGTCATCGTGGAGTAGTTCGGCTGCTGAAGATAGTGAAGAAGAATGGCGACATCAGGTGGATGAACTAAGATGGTACATAAATCCACCTCCACCGGATGCCAAACCGAATAACGGGGTCGATGCCTTGCGACACCTCACGAACAGCAGCAGATATGAGGTGAGTGCAGTAATATTTTTTGGATTTTGAACTTAATCCGCCGGACGATTACACGTATAATCATATACCTACATGTACAACGACCGCCATATTTAGATCATTGAAAAACCTATAGCTCGCTGGACTAAACTTGTGATATCGACAGATTTATGGTTTAGCAGTAAAAAGTCTTCGGCAAAGATGATTGTGTTTCTACATACATGAATGGAGGCGGAGTAGTGTACTCGTGTTGAGGATGATAAGGTGGGGCATGCGTATGTATAGGATTTAAACTATTTCGATGTTCCCTCGAGATCATGGCAATATATATTATACATAAGAAACGTCTCTTATTTTGCTAACAAAAAATGTATAATATCAACGCAAACAAAAAAGTTGGAACCAATCCCCGCTACCATGGTTATCGCATTACCGCTAGGTGTTTGTTTTACATTTAATTTGTTTTGTTTGCGTGCGTGCCGTTGCAATGTGTACTGTGGAAACAGAGACAATGCAAACCAAGTTCCGCATTTTTATTGGCAAAACCTAGAGGGGTGGAAAAACACACTATCCTCTCTTTTTCACGTTACAGTAACCCATAGCTTATTCCTTAATAATGGGCGATCTTTCTTTACCGCCACCGAATGACGACATCAATCATGTCATGTATATTTATGTACAATATGAATTATATAAGTACTTTGCCTGCGTTGTGTTTGTTAAAGTCTGTTATTTTTTGATAGATGCGAAAATGTCAGTGTATAATTTTATGGCTTGATCGCTGCGCCCCCCAAAAAAATGTCCACAGTTAATTGTAAAAAATGAGCACGGATTTTTATTAATAAAAAAATATGACGCAGTGTTAAAAAAGACATTTATTTTATAAATCCTTTGTTAAAGTGTTATACTTTTGGGGTTTCTTCCATTGTCCATGCAAATATCTTATTAAATATTAGTTTAAAACAAATCCAAATAACTAATCATAATAATTGTTCTGCCAAAAATTCAGTTTTTAACTGACTTAAAGAAAGGAGAGGTTATCAATTTGATTAATGTCATAAATAATATATACATGTAAATTTATAAAAACATAACTATTGTTATGGAGTATCGGTCATCGAATAGCAATTAAGCTGACATTCCTTGTGGTAATTATATGATTTATATCATTTTTATGTGTTTTTCTTGCACTTTTAGATGACTGTTTAGAATTTTTCAACTACATAAAACAACACAGGCCTATAACGTGCAAGTTAAACACATACAAATATAGTTTTAATATGAAAGCCAAATATTAAATGTGTAGAAGTTAAATACTTCAAGTTTATGTGTGTGTCATAATTTCACTTTCCTCGTTTAGCAGCCTTATTCCAAACTCGTCGCTGTTCATTTTTTGTTAGATAACGATTAGGTATATGTTATCGATGAAGATTTAAGAGTAAAATTAAAAACTTGTTCCAAAATTCGGTTGGAATTTCATGTCGTAATTTTTTTTATAGCATAGATTTAATTTTGAGGATAAATAAATATTTTAGTTACCTAAAAAAATAGTTAAATAGTAGAAATTCAAACAAATAAAAAACTACATTTTTTTAACTAGTTAAATTCATTTTGTTTACTTCATTTGTTATTATGATTACAAACAGACAACAATAAAACATATGACCTTATTATATTTCATTATTATTAATTTAAACGTTTAGAAACACGACATATTAAATTTGTTATTTACTACTATTAGTATAATTTATATTATTATTATTATTCGTAATATTATCATCACCTTTGTTACGGTTTTATACATTGTGATTATTGTTATTATGCGCCGGTTATGAATTACCTAAAGGTAGTTTAGTAGTTATTTAATTTGCAATCGACAGAACTCTTATCAACGGGCAATGAAATGCATCGAGTAATGAATAATGATAGCGACGTCTAGCGGTTTTTATGTAAGGTCACGTTTTAAAAATAAAATTAGAAAACATTGGGGCGCTGGAGGAGACAGAATTTCGAGGGTGATTTATCCCTGGGGTGCAACTAGAGTGTATATAATAATATGATAATACCGCGATATCATATTGAACGGCATTTAATTTAAATTTGAATTTTATTACTCCGTTCCATCACGTATTGTACTAGTGCATGACAAAGGGGCTACAGCAGGGGATACTGAATATAATTCACATAAACTCACAGCTTCACCCACCAAATACTTTATTGTGTAGAATTATTGTTTTCAATAAGTACGTGTATTAATCGGTGACGCATTATCGCTGCAATACGGATTGAATAGGGAAAAATGCTTTCATACGAGTATATAAATACATGCATCCTCGGCTACACGTTATTACTATTAAGTTGAGTTTAAATATATTTCTTTTAATGTAAACTAGGACGGTGTTTGACCAATTATGAATAATTGTCATTAAGTTATAAAAAAAAATCCTGCTTATCTCCTGCTAAGTATAATGACGACATCGTCTAATGTGTTAATATTTTATACACTTTAAGCGTTTATTTTACAATCGGAAATTTGTAGTGTAATGAGGATGATTATTTTTCCACTATTGTACCGGCACTGAAGCTATGCCCGTCGTACAACGATCTCTTATTGTTATTATGGTTTGTAAATAGCCAACGGTCAATCACCTACATGGTATTATACCTACAATGCACGTTTTTTTTTGAGCTCTCGTTATTCTAAGTAATCCGACATCTGATTGATGTACTATAAACTATAGGACACTCGGTAATTTATATTGTAGAACCATGTTAGAATCATATTTTCTTCGATTCCAATAAATTCTAAAACGAAAAGACACGTGTGAGAAGTCAAGTCATTTTTGTTGTTATCTTTTAATATAATGACAAATGTGCCAAGTAAATAATTTATAGGTCCGGTCGCTTGTCAATCAATAACGTGCATAGAAATTAATGTACAGTAATAATGACAGACATATTTACATTACTATTATTAATATGAGCAAATTGACAAAATAATGTGCATCTGATTTAATTTTGACTTCTGAAGTCTTTCGTCCGTGTACTTATGTAATTACAATTATTTTTTGAGCAACCCAACTAAATCTAGTCGTACGAAAAAAAAAACGAATCTAGATTCTGAAACTACGATAATAATTTATAAGCTGCAGAACGATTGCTTTATCAAATATAAAGGGTATATCATCGTGATCTGACATGAATTACTTACGTTTAATTTACAGTTCTGTCAGATTATTGTGGTTCTAATCGAAAGGCTAAAAATTAATTTTACAGATTTATTTTTATGGTTGGAAATTATAATTTTTCCCATCAAAATTGAGAATAACTCGATCAAATTGACATATTTTATTATTTAACAGTCAAAAACAGTTTTTAATTTATTTAGAGTATTCTTTTGATATAGTCCTAGTACTTGCCTGTCCAGTATACACTCCACAGTTCACTTTGATTGGTGAAAAAAAACTAATAACAACCAAAATATTTAATATTTTTAATATCTAAATATTTGCCTGGAAGCGTTTTATTGAGAGTCATTTTATCACGTTCATTCACGCGGGTTGTATAGACCTGTACAGTCCTCACTAGTCTCCGTTTTTACTCTATACTGCATTTTGTACTACATTGATATGGATTAGAGAAGATATAGATTGTTATTAATTACCTTGAATTCCATCTCAGTCTATTTCCAAATTTCTGTGGGGTAATAATTGAAATACTTGCTTTTGTTTGAGTTTACTAGCAGTAAAATATTAATATAGCGTGGCATAAACCGTATAAGGCGTTGAAGATGGTTCTTCGGTAATAGGAAATATTATCTAGTTAACTAAATTATTACTGGGGGGTTGAGTAATTATGGCTAGCTTGCTTCACAGACTTGATGCCAGCATAACCAGAAACATGTAGCTGCCCGGGAGTCGAACCGTGACGTCATACGCTGGAGCATATGTTTCTGGCCATTTTACCACGGCTAGCTTGACTTTGTGGCTTCTGTTGTAATAGAAAAAAAACATGATAGTAGAACATTTTTAGTAATTCGTTTTATTGTTCTAAAACGATACTACTTTGTCTGTATTATTATATTTACCTTATTTTAAAATATATATGACCATTTTCAAACGTACGCTATTCTTTGAATCCATTTCGGAAATTCAGTAGATGATATCTGCAGTAGGAAATAGGGAGTAAACGGGACCGGTATAGTTTTATCCGCTAATGGTTGTGTAGCAGACTCCCTCGGGTTTGTGTTGATTAGTGTTGATATAATATATTGGACTTAACGATAACAGTAAATATCCCTAGAGTCGTTTACTGCGGCGACACGCGCCTTCTTCGTATCGTTAAGCCTATACCATTAAAATGTGTGTTTTGCAATGGGTATATATATATACTATAATAGTGTAAACTTTTGTTTGACAAAAGGCTGAGATAGAGGAGGAGGTAAAGATTGTAAGATAACTGCTTCTCATACGAGCGCACACCACACCCTAACACAATATTACTTGTCACTATAGCTTGATGAGCAACAATTTCTCGTGGGCTGCAATAACGAGACGACGAGGGAAAATTCATTACTGGCAACGATTTTCTTTTGAAATATTACTGATGGTCATTGGGCTGAGCGGACAATAGGGTGTATATGTGTAGAGAAAGGGCGTTTCGTTTATAGTTTTCCTGTTCGCCCGTTTACCGTGTGGGATTTCCAATTTACCAACAAGAGAGAAATAATACTGCACACGCCATACATGCACTTACAATTTAAATCCACCATCTCCTTCCACAACCATCATCCCTACGCGATTGTCTACTCTATACGGTCTATGGGTTTTTTCGCCTTAGCTCTCTCGACTTCCCCTGCCCTGACCATCATCCGTGCATGCAGTTAATTTGCTCTCGCCGCAGAGATAGACCCGAGATAGACTCGACCGAAAGTTTAAACGCTCTCGACGTTTTTAGTTACACATAAATTATCATACTCTGCGCTTTGTTGTTTTACTTGGATGGCTTTTAATTCAGTCGCT